GGCAGCCTCGTTGACCCTGACTCTCGTGTTGGCCTTGAGGTTGATCGTCGTCTTGCCAGTGCATCTCGTGCATTTGGAGCACTCCGCTGTGTGTTTAACACTCCCGGCCTGTCCATCTGCACAAAGAAAATGGTGTACGAGACTTGCGTTCTGACTGTTTTGCTGTATGGTGCTGAGTGTTGGCTGGTTCTTCGTCGTGATGAGATCCGTATTGACAACTTTCATCATCAATGTCTACGGTGTATCCTAGGAGTCTCGCGCTGGGATCAGGAGTTGAATCATGTCCGGAATTGTGACCTCCGTAAGCGTTGGGGGGATGAGGATCTGGTGTCGGACACTATGCGCCGTCGCCGCCTCCAGTGGTTGGGCCATGTAGCTCGGATTCCTGACAACCGTCTCCCTAAGCAGTTGCTGTTTGGATGGCTTGACGCTCCCCGACCAGCTCAGGGACCTCGTCTTTGGTGGAAGGACAGAATACAGTCAGACATGAAACTGTGCCAAATTGATGAATGGTTTACTCTGGCCCAGGATCGTCAGCAATGGAGAGATGCGTACCGCACTCGTGTGCAGCGTCCTGCCCCGGTACCGCTCTCTTGCTTGATATGTAAACGGACATTCAAGTGTAAATTTGGATTCGGACGCCACAAATGTTCTGCTGATCGCCAGCTGCCTGTAGCGGAACAGCTGGGCGCACGTCAATGCCATGCCTGCCTTCGGTGGTTCCGAAGTGCCGGTGGACTTGCTGTGCACAAGTGCACGACACCCGCCCCGGCATCACCGCCCACACCCCAGCGCATACCAATCACCAGCCATCCGTGTTGCAACCAGCACTGCGCTACCTGTGATCGCTGTTTTAAATCTGCTCCTGGCTTTCGGCGACACAATTGCAATCGTGGACGGCGTCGTGGCGGAGCGGCTTCCTAGTGGCAGTGCTGACTTCTCTCGAACTCTCTCTTCTACTCTCCCCTGTCTCGGGGGCGGCGTGGTCAAGCATTTGGCAGCTGTACACCAGGCCAGGTGTGTGTGTGTGTGCGTGTGTGTGTGTGTGTGTGTGTGTGTGTGTGTGTGTGTGTGTCCCATATGGTGCAGTGGTATGTGCAGCGATTTCCAATCGATAGGTTGCGGGTTCGATTCCCGACGATTATGGTCACACACGTCTTTCTTCTCTTTCTCAGACTCCTCCTGACTTTTCTTTCATTCTCCTGGGTGGTTACCAACAGCCAGTGCATGCCGGAATATGTGGTGTGGTGTGTGCGTGTGTGTGAAAAAAGGGAAAAAGACCAAAAAGTAGGGATTCACTGGCCAGAAAAAGCCACTTCATAGCCGTGTGGTGTAGACCACCAGGCTGAATAGTGGCGGTCAATTCTTCAGCCTTGCAAGCTGTTGAATGGTGCAATCCCAGCACAAGCTGCTATGGCTTCTACTGTAGCATCGCTATCATCGCCTCCGGCGATGGGCGTCCAATGGTGTGTGTGTGTGTGTGTGTGTGTGTGTGTGTGTGTCCCATATGGTGCGTGCAGCGATTTCCAATCGATAGGTTGCGGGTTCGATTCCCGACGATTATGGTCACACACGTCTTTCTTCTCTTTCTCAGACTCCTCCTGACTTTTCTTTCATTCTCCTGGGTGGTTACCAACAGCCAGTGCATGCCGGAATATGTGGTGTGGTGTGTGCGTGTGAGTGAAAAAAGGGAAAAAGACCAAAAAGTAGGGATTCACTGGCCAGAAAAAGCCACTTCATAGCCGTGTGGTGTAGACCAGGCTGAATAGTGGCGGTCAATTCTTCAGCCTTGCAAGCTGTTGAATGGTGCAATCCCAGCACAAGCTGCTATGGCTTCTACTGTAGCATCGCTATCATCGCCTCCGGCGATGGGCGTCCAATGGTGTGTGTGTGTGCGCATGTATGTGTGTGTGTGTGTGTGTGTGTGTGTGTACATGCATGTTAGTTTGTGTCAGTTTGCTGTCTCACCCATATGGAGATAATGTCTCTGAGTGTGACGATGTCACCCCTTGTTCCTTGTTGTGTTTATAGCTGAGTTCTTTGTCAGCTTTGCCCCCCCCCCCCCCCCCCCCCCACACACACACAGTCATGCCTTCATGGAACTACTAGTGCTGCGAGGTACTGCGAGAGCGCCCCGTCTCGCCAGAGCACCTAACCTTGATTTTACAGCCAAGGAAAGGGAATCGTATGGCAGAGTGCTACTAAGTTTGTACGGTGTGAGAACCGTAGTGTACTAAGGTCACACTTAGCATGTTCTTGTGTGGAGCTCCAAGGTAAACTGAGAGAATGCATGATTTTGTACCGTAAAATCCGTAAATAAGTACCTGCCCGAAAGAAATACCCTCTTCATTCGTTTGGCTCTGTCTGTTGAAGTCAAGTCAAGCCCGATAAACATACTGCCCGAAATAAGTACCGGTATGATGCGCACATGCAGCACGTAGCATGTACATCGACATGAAAATGACTTCTCCACTACACACAAGTCAGGTCCGAAAGTTAGTTCGTGCCCGAAAGTCAGTACCCGCCCGAAAGTTAGTACGGGTGTGGTCACTAAATTCGAAAGTAAATACGTACTTATTTACGGACTTTTACGGTACTCCTTATACTATGCAGCTATGTTCATTGTCTTGTCCATGGTGGACAAAGCTATGCGATATTTCTCTTTACGTGTCATACATGTAGATGTCCACTGATTTGTTGTCGACTGTGGCTGCAGGTCGGAAAGAGAAAGAGGTCACTGAAGAAATGCTTGCTAGACGATCAGAATTGGCGCGCAAACGTCGACTCAAACAACAAAAAGAGCAAGAAGAAATTAAGGTGCGTATTTGTAGAGATCCCCAAATACGGAATTATGTTTGTAGAGACAGTATTATTATATCCGTTTGCTGTATTCTGACATACCCTGTCCTGGCCTGGGTTTGACCAGCAGGTGATGTGTGGTACTAGGACATGCATTTTACATCTTCTTTATGGATGATAGTGCTCTGGTACTGAGCGTGTGCTTGTATTAATGCAATTCAATGTGTTAGGTTTCTTTATGATCTGCCCTATCTCTCTCTTGCTGATAGCAAAAAATGTAACCGGCTCTACTGTTACTGTACTTCTTTCATTGTATCTTCCTTGCTGAGAAATGGCCACAGAAACCTCGGTTAGGATAACGGAATTGTGTAACGAATTTCATTAGCTGTTTTTAAATTATAGATCTGCACAGGGCACTGTGAGCAGTAGCATTGAAATAGCTCATGGTTTCTACTTTGAAAGGTTTCATGTACACGCTGTCAGCCTGCCTACATGGCAATTGTGTTATCTACTTGAGTTTGTGTTTGTTACGTCGTGTGTGTGCGTGTGTGTATGCCGTGTAGAAACAAACAGTCAAGAAGCTGATCACCAAGCAAAGCAAGAAAAAAGACGATGAAAAGGTGAGTTGTTTGTGTGTGTGTGTGTGTGTGTGTGTGTGTGTGTGTGTGTGTGTGTGTGTGTGTGTGTGTGTGTGTGTGTGTGTGTGTGTGTGTGTGTGTGTGTGTGTGTGTGTGTGTGTGTGTGTGTGTGTGTGTGTGTGTGTGTGTGTGTGTGTGTGTGTGTGTGTGTGTGTGTGTGTGTGTGTGTGTGTGTGTGTGTGTGTGTGTGTGTGTGTGTGTGTGTGTGTGTGTGTGTGTGTGTGTGTGTGTGTGTGTGTGTGTGTGTGTGTGTGTGTGTGTGTGTGTGTGTGTGTGTGTGTGTGTGTGTGCATCAGCTGTGTGGTGGATACCAGGCTAAAAATAGTGGCGGTCAATTCATCGGCCTTGCAAGCTGTTGAATGGTGTAATCCCAGCACAAGTTGCTATGTCTAACATAGCTGTTCGCTATCATCGCTTCCGCGATGGGCAGGTCTGAGGTCTGAGGTGTGTGTGCTCTCCTGCCTCTGCCTGTAGCTATGTACGTGTGTGATGTGTACCCAACCCCATGGCATTTTAGGTGACCAAAATTTTTGGATTATGTTTTTCAGAGTCGACCACAGACGGGGCACTATTCAAGAAAGGGTACTATTTTTTTCAATGCTGATACATTGACGTCATCCAGCATAAAGGCCGGTTCACAATACAACTTTCTGCGACGCGACACCTGGGACGAGCTGCGACAGCGACACACGGTTCACAATCTTTTCGGTGTTTGCGGTATCCTTATGCACTAGTAGTACTATGAACGTGCACTGCGTGTGCACCCAGCGTAGAAGCTGTACTCCATTTATGTACGGCGCGCGTCGCATGTCGCAGAAGTTGAACTTTCTTCACCTTCTGCGACAGGTACCTTGCGACTGTACGCGACAGCTCCCGACAGTCATTTTCTTGTCACAACTGTCGCAAATCGCGTGTCATGTCGCAAAAGATGGCAAAGAAGTCTAAAGTTTACTATAAGCTATCTTGACTCGACAGATACTGCAACAAGAACTCCGATTTATCCTGAATCCACCAGCGCAATTATATGGGCAAGAATAGCAAACAACACCAAACTTGCACATGTCCTTGATTACAAGCCCGAGGAGGGGCACTATTCAAGAGAGGGTTTTATTTTTTCATTGGCTCTCAGAGACAGGGGGGGGGGGGCACTATTCGAGAGAGAGAGAGAGAGAGAGAGAGAGAGAGAGAGAGAGAGAGAGAGAGAGAGAGAGAGAGAGAGAGAGAGAGAGAGAGAGAGAGGGGGGGGGGGGGGCTCGAATCGCACGAGTACGGTACATGTGCAAAATGAACATGAACTACTGTTGTGCAATCCGTCACACCGTGCACGCACTTTCACATGTTCTCGGGGTACTACTTTATACGATACCATGGCTTTATCAATGATGGTGGCTCTATATCCGGATACGATACCATGGCTTCACATGCGTAGGAACTAGGAAATTGAGGTCGTCCCTCGTTAATAGGGAGGTTTAGTCCCACGTAATCCGTGGGTACTTTACGTGGGTGTACCACGTGATACTCAGTGACCCACGTACAGACGTATTCTGATTCACGACATACCGTGTATGGAGGCTCACCCACGTTCCACCAGAACGTGGGTGAAAATCAGAATGGAGCGCATTGTGCGAGCTGTGAGGGTGCTCAGCTGAAGAAGTTTCCGAAGCACGAAATCAAAATATTGGATGAGCTTCTTAGGCCGGGGTAGCTCCGTTTTTGACCAGGTTTTGGCCTTTAGCTTCATGCTTTTGTTTGTTCCGTGTGACTAAACACAACATTGCAACGTGGGTGCCCTTCATCCACTTTACGTGGATCACCCACGTACGCGTTTCCGTTACGTGGGAACTAAACCTCCCTAATACATAATCTCTGGGACTTGACAAATGTTATGTATTAACGGGATTTATGTACTAAACGAAAGTGTACATAACATGTTTGTGTACCGGAATATTTCACTTTTTTCAACTTTTCTGAGTATTTCTTGCTACCACGACTAGGCAGCGAGATATTCTTGATTCCCTCGATATAACATACAAATTATGTTATAACGGTCACAGTTAGCGAAGATTCTACAGTTTACATGATACATGCCCAGCCGCGCCTGTAGATCTACAGTCAGAGCTTTGTCGGTTTGTGATGTGCGTCCAGAACTATTACTTGCACAAGTAGAAACTAGAACACGATGTGCCTCCACTGGAAGGCCAAAAGACCAACAAATTATGTACTATTGAGGTAGGTGGCATGCGGGTACGGAGAAATGTTATGTACTAACGGGGTTTATGTACTAACGAATTATGTACTAACCGACAAAATTTGTATGGAAGTGACCACGTTTCGTCCGGGACTTGACATTTCTTATGTACTAACGGGGTTTATGTACTAACCGGACTCGTATTAACGGGGGACGACCTGTACTAGGAATACAAGCAAAAAGCTCCTCGACCCGCATCGTTTGTATTACAATTACTTTGCTACTTCTGCCCTGTGCCGCATGCTCTGTGCTGCAGGAAACGGTGACAAAGCGACTTGCAGGACCACGTGTCCAGTATTCCTCAACTGCTGACAGCATTGCCCTTTCGTATCCCGAAGGATTCCAATTTCCTCTTGCTAGCCAGCGGGCAAGGTACTGCAATCATGTTAGCATGTTTTCAGATTGCTTACACCGTGTTACTTGTTCAATGGCAAGCTGATTTCTGATGGTTGTGTACGATTGCTGTGGTGGTTGACGGTGTGTGTTAGTGTGGGCATTCAACACCATACATGCCATGTTCTCCCGGACTCTGCAGCAACTGTTTGCACGAGTGCTACCTGCTACGAGAACATATCCGAAGTGCAAGAGAAAGTTACGTCGCGTTAATATAGTGAAAAGTTACAGGTGGCACATGAGCTTGCAGGAAAACTTCCCTTCACATTCAACTTGGAGCATGTTCATTTGCTAGCCCTTTCTGTAGATAATACTGTTTCTACAAATTTTCAGCCCATTCGAATTACTGCCTCCCAGAGCTAAAATCCATTTCGGCCTCATCAACTTTTCGGCCTGTACTGCTGCTGCCTGTATACACTGTCACACTGAACCTTGCAAAACAAATTTTCAGCCACAACAAATTAATTTTCGGCCAAAGATGACCATGCTGAAAGTAGCCAAAAGTAAATATGGCTAATATGCACTGAATATTCGTTTTTGGTAGGAATCGGAGAATCCTCTCTCCGGTGAGAAGGCAGTATTGCCTGTGCCCTGAGCGAATTGAAATAAAAGAATACAACAACAAGAATATTTGTTGACTTACAGTACTTGCATCATTTTGGCCAATACGCTTATCTTCACTTATGACATCCCTCTGTACTGATGCCAGTCAGTCTCGTGTGTGCATCGTCATAATGTACTATTTGCAGGGAACCGCCAAAGCCCAAGCTATGTGCAGCACAGAATTGTGAGAAAGTGAAGAAGTATGCTTGCTCCTCTAATGGTCTACCCGTATGCAGCCTTGCCTGTTATAACGCTGTCAAGGATCAGCCGGCTATGCCCTCTGCCATGCCGGCGGCATAGCGCTGCAGTGCAGTATAGTGACTGTGTGTCTACGGATGTTGATATGTGTATAAAATATGTATTTCGAAGTACATTGTACATAAGTCATTGAATATAATCATTGCAGCAGCAGACTGCTACTCTCTCTGTATATATAGTTATTAGGGCCATTTTGGTTCTGGCCGTTCTCCATGCCGACTGCTGTTTTGTGCTTGTATATACCGGTATGATGTTTATACCTATCGTCTTCTCTTTCGCATATGCATTCATTTACCTTTAATGGTTCTGAGTCCACAATATGTACATACTAGCTTCTGCAACCAGTAAATCAGTCATGTTTGCATTGGATTAGGATTACCGGTATGCACAACATTTCTACAACTATAATTATGTGTTTGTCAGCACCGGTGTTCAAGTTGGTTATGCACAAGCTTGGTGTTCAGCGTGGCCGAAAAACTTCTGCCAGGAGATTCAACACTTTTTTTTATTTAGTCCGGTGTGTTGTGGTTTAGACAAGCATCATCATTAGTTCCGTTCCTAATCTGCACTATGCCGCCACGCTGTACTTGTTTTCTTGATGTACACGTCGCATGTCTTCCATACCATGCCTTGTCAGGGTACAGAAACACTCACGACGCAAGATTAATGCTCGGCTCAAACGCCTTGGGGTAATGCCAGCAGTCCAGGCTATCGGACTTCTTAATAAAATTTGCTGCAGTGTTTTCTACGAAGCGTCCTGGTTAACAGCATTGCACATGTGAGAGGATTATCACAGTCCTGGTTAACAGCATTGCAGCACATGTGAGAGGATTATCACATGTGCAACAGCAGTTACAGCACCCTCATCTGTGCTGCAGTGTTGATTGTTTGTGGGCATATCAAAACTGATGTAAACAACGAGCCTGCATTTCTGACCTGTTGGATTGGTGTACAGCACTTTGGCTCATGCACGTCGTTTGATGACATCTATCGGCAATGTACTACCAGCCAGATGTAACTAGTGCGTTGGTGGCCAACACAACAGTCACACACCTTGCGAGATGGATGCCAAGTACTGGTGGTCATGTTAAAGAACACTGCGTAGATCTACTGTCAGTGCTGCAGCCTCAAGCTATATTTTGAACGTAATAGGATGGATGCTAATCAGCAGTTCAGAGCATGGCAGATTTTCGTTGATGTTGCCAAACACCTAAATTAAATATGACACTGCGAGCGAGTGGCAGTGATGGTGGTAGTGCGTGCGTGTGTCTGTCTGTGTGTGTGTGTGTGTGTGTGTGTGTGTGTGTGTGTGTGTGTGTGTGTGTGTGTGTGTGTGTGTGACTTCACCGTGTATGCTATGAAGGAGCCATTTGCACTTATGAATTGGAAGTGCGCCCCGGTGGTGGAGGAGCACTGGGACGCTTTCGAATGTTGCTCCGATCCACGACAACTTTAATGAAGATGCAGTCCTCATCGGTCAGAAACCCTTCTGCACGATCGTCAATCTTCTGGAGGTCGGCAAATTTGGGGCACCCGCTGGCTACATTCATTGCAGCAGTTGGCCGGTGGAAGGAACTGCTTGACACATCTGGACGGAAGGTCTCCGACGCATCGGGCTTGCCTGATAGCTGGTTCAGTAGAGAGAACGTGACCTTGTGGCTGAACGGCCAGTCCTGGACTCCATCATAATCATTCTGCATCACGACAAAGAAGAGAGATGCGTGTGTTCCGTAGCCAGCACCATCACCATTTGGGTAGAGCCGTGTGCAGCATTTATACCCATGGTAGTCTGTGTAGAATGGCTGACTATAGATGGATGTTGCCCGACCAGAGATGGCATCAGCACGGCGCTGGGACCAGCGGGTTACCTTCCATGTGAGAACACCATTATAAGCTGCTACCTCGCACATATTGACTCGGAGTTCAAGATCAGCTATATGCGTACTCAGCTCCACAAGGGAGCGCTCCTGTTGACGGACCACCTCATCCATGTCTCTGTTGTGTTGTCCAGGTGTAGAGCGCGATGCCGGGTCATTCACACTACTCAGTATGTCTTCACCTAATGCAGAGTCGACGGTGTTGAAGCCGAGTGCACCTAATGCCCGGGTTGTCTCGCCCAAACCACTAGCGGATGTACCGTCTCGCATGGCACTAGCCTCAATGCTGGAAATCTTTTCTCGCTGTGTCTGTACCTGTGATGCAAGTCCACTGATCATGCTGTGCAAGCGATCCAAGTCAGATCTCTGGACATCAGCTGCTTGGCTCCGGAGATTAGCTGCAGCAGCAGCCATGGTCGACGGACTGGCAATGCTCTTTTGGAGGAGTTCCTGCATGTCGGCACTCTTCATGTTCTCCAGTATAGCCTCCTTGCTGGTGCTGTTAACCACCAATTCACTATGGTAGCTAACTGCAACTGCTAGGTGTTGCTTAAGCTCTTGCCGTAGTACCTAAGCAAAACACAACACAAATAAGTTTCACTGTAGAAGCGAATGCCACTCAGAGAAATGCAATGAACATTTGACAGTACGCAATAGACTTGCATTTAAAATGACACAGCGGATCACAAGAAGCTTAGCGCGGCAAGCCGGTCACGTTCCAGGTGACTTGGACAGTCATCAGCTACAAATGATTCCTACTGTGAAGAGGTGGTATGGGTAACAGAGCCGTGCAAGCATACCAGCTCATTGAAGAGCGGCACAGCATTTCGTAACACTTGAAACCATAGCTATCGACTTGGGTCATGCTGCCCAGATTCAGCGGCTAACGTGAATATCTAAAAACAGAGAGGTTCCACTGAGGCTGTCCAAGAGAGTGCTCAATACCGAGAGGCAGAGCTACCGTACTGGCAATATATGTTGCCGCAGTGAGGCCATGAAGCGTTACATTGGCACATGTTTGCCGCACGCAGGGCGTTACATGCAAAGTCGCACAGGAGCCGTTACACAGGTTTCTATATTGCCGCAGTCCTTTTTTTTTGCCACGCGGTACACGTGCTTTCACAGTTTTCAGCCTTTGCAGTGCAAACTGCAATGAAAAGATCGCCGCACCCCGCCTGACGCGCGTTACGAACGCAACGAAAATTTGTCGCACTAGCCTGGTCGCGCGTTACGCCGCACCCCCCCCCCCCCCCCCCCCCCCTGCGTTACGCGGCAACATATATTGCCAGTACGGTAGTTAACTTGAGCATCCTGCACTGGGCCGAAAAACTCACATGTGTAATTTTAGTAGTCCACAAAAGAAGGAGAAAGGAGAGATGACAACAATTACTCAGTGCAAGTATAGCAAGCCAATATTAAGGTTGTAGCCAGAACAAAAGTGAAGGAGGGGGGGGGGGGGGGGGCAGGGATCATTGGACCCAATTTTTTTTATTTTACCGCCATTTTGTGCTGCCATTTTGGCCGCTACGTTCACTGACACCAGTAAGCAGTCGACCAACTAGTGTACTTCCATTCCATGTATTTTTATTCACCGGCCACAGCGGAGGGTGCAGTGCCCCGCTATGTCGCTTTGGCGAGAACCCTGGATATGTCTTACCTTTTTCTGACAGCCAACCCTGGCATATGGACAGTCCATTGTAGATAAAGGGCACTTCTTGACATGATCCTCCAACTACAAAGAGCACAACAATGCATCAAAGACAACTGCATGCATCAGACATACTATCATGCCGGCACGCATCCATCTAGGCATCCATCTAGGCAAGGCATGCAGATGCAGTACTTTAAAGAATGTTACAAACTTGTGATTTTCACCTGTGACTGATGGATGCTTCATCCATAGACAAGATATGGCAAGCTTACCATTGATCTTTGCAGGAGCTTTCGGCCACACTTCATTGGACAAGTGACTTTCCCAGCAACACATTCTGACTCCCCATGTTGCTGTGGAAGGACAAACGGAGAAAACAAAGAAGAATGAAGATCGGCAGAAAGCATACTTGGAAGTAGCATTCAATGACATAGCAGAAAGGTGCATGTATATACCAGTTACATGAACAGGGTTACACGTACTGTACATCTTCACAACATTGCTTGTTACTGTACTGGTTTTACCTACTTCCAACTAAAGGCTACCACTTTTACAAAATCCATATGTGCTGGAGATCTTCCTATTCGGAAACGTTGACTGAGCTCTCAGGACGATCATCGCGACCCGCAGGCCATGACCTACCTTCATCAACACTGCCGGCACAGGCTTCTTGCAGCGGCGACATGGCAGCATGCGATGCTTACAGTCCAGATCGGCATGCTTCGCCTTGTCTCTGCGCAAGAAGCGCATGCCACACTCGCGGTGCACGCAACGGATCAGTTCATAGTCACATGTGTTATTGTGGATGCCCTGAACACACATAGACACAAGTACACCAATACGGCAATAGCAAAGGACACTGCAGGTACCCCAAAATACGGTCTATCATTCTCATATGCTAAAATATTGGGACATGCATGGGATGGAGAGCAGCTGGTTGCTAGAGACGTTTCATCATACTTCTTCCAAGTACACGTACATATCATACTTCTTCCAAGTACACAAGTACATATCATACTTCTTCCAAGTACACAAGTACATGCCGGGTACATGTGTTATCTACAGTGCCTGCGCCAAACTGAGCAAATAGTGTACAAATAGTGGTTGAAGAAATGTGAAGTTGCCTGTCCAGATAACATTGGACGTGTTTGATTACACACAATTCCGTTCATTCCAGAATAAGTTACGATACACGCACCGTTCGGATTACACAAATTCTACGGTCAGAATGGACGGAATCCAATTCCGTCAATTCTGAAGAGAGGGCGGAATTTCAAATTCTCCCGCCAGAATTTGCGCACTCAACACACACTCTTTTAGTACCAAAGTGCACCTGCCTGGTCTTTTTAGATGCGTGACGAATTCCGGTCGTTCGTTTACATGGCGCAATCCGTTCATTCTGATCATCCGAGAATTATAAAACCTGGGCCCAGAATGTATAATCGAACGCATCCATTGACTGCAATCGCGCATAGCTTACCAGCCAGTCTTTCAGTGATCCACTCCAATTACAGTCAGCATTGGGACACTTCACTTTTAGTACCATTACTTCACGCTGTACATGCCGATCAGGGAATACCTATGGGAAAGAGAAAGAAAGAGAAGTCGCTGGCACATGCAGGAATATGTCCATGGTCGCTAGTACACTGCTTCCGCGCATGCAGTCCCGTATAACTACAGGGCCGGGTCAACCTTCCAGCTGCAGAATGGGCAATTCGCATCATACAAGTAAATCCAAGTAGCATACACCCTATTCAGAAACAATCAGAACCTACTCGCACAGTGATCATTGCACCTGATAAACCTGTTGTGTATAAATTAATAGTGTGCCAGTTCAAAGCAAACTATACAAATATGTTCTTCCCCATTCCGCTTACAATATGCAGCAGGAAATGACTGCAGAAAGAAGCACTGCAGAACCTAGAACTAGATCATAATCTACGGTCAATCATGTAAGAGATTCGGGAGAGTGGCACGGTTCCTTGGCTCTTACCCCAGTCTTTTGAAGCGGTTCCTTGCAGACTGAGCATTCTGGGACAGTCAAGCGGCTGCAGTGTGAGATTATCACGGAGACATGAAGCACATGGTACTTTCAAAATGCTTTCATATATTCCTAACATACCAAATAGGATCATCAGATCTAGGTACATATCATGGACAGTCAGGCAAATGTAGTGCAATCAGGCACTTTCATTTCACCGGCATACCCGGAGGGTGCTGTTCGGAAGCTTCAAATGCAAGTATTACTTTATCACAATTACTACCACTATCAACCCGGGTCACAGATGCCGCCTCTATAGTAGTGTTAGGGCACGATTCACCAAAACATGCACTGCACTGGTCTCAAGGTGATCTGCAAGCATTACTGAAGCCATACTGACTGCATAACCTACACTTACTCGAGACAAGCCTTGCAGAACAAGTGTCCGCAGACAGTTTGCATTGCATTTTCGAATGCGGTGAGGCATATTGGACACTTGAGATGATCTGGCAATATGTCCACGAACGGTACATCATAACCCATGCTTGCGTGGCCTTCTGCAATGCAAACAAAGAATACAACAGTTTGAGATTAGCTAGCTGTTTGTTCCGTACATCAATGCTTCAGCACTTACATCACTAGCTGTGAGACATATTCCCTGTGCCGCTGCTATGCATGACACGTGCCATAAGCAACACCACGTACACGCTATACTAGACTACTAGCACAGAAGAGCATAGATTATCTAAACCCTTCCGGGCAGACGCCGTTCAGGACGCCTCAACGGGTTTGAATAAGGGAAATGTTGGGATAGTGAGAGCGTCACAGATACGTACAAGATCATGTACTAGTAGTTCTACAGTGCATTGGTGGGCATGCACTCACACACAGTGCATTGGTGGGCATGCACTCGTAAGCAGCATCCTAGCTATCATCCGGATACTAGATCGTCCTAATACTCGATGCTCTACTGTACTCATAGGTGAAGGATAGTATTAGGAGTGCTTGACCTGTGCCCTGTACGTGTTTGCAGGACTAGAGTATGCAGTTTTCTTAGCACGTGTCTGCTGTCTGCTTAGCATGTGGCTGCCTCTTTCTGAAGGATTCAGGTAACTAAACATAGCCGCTATGATTGGCTCAAGGGAATGTAAGTTCGTTTGCACAAGCCACCATAGCTTACCTGATGCCTATCATGCCACCCACTGTCGCTTCTGCTAATCTTGGTCTCCAACCTAGATGAAGACCGAGGACACCAATGATTATGTTACATCAACGCAAAGACGAAACCGTAGGAATACACAACTGAAACCGCCGAGTCACAGTAGAACTGAATTCTTCGACACATGGTACCGTTCAAGGTATCATTAACGTGCTCGTTCACCTAGTCCTTGATGAAATTCCAAAAGGGAAGTAATGTACAGCAGCAAAGAGAAGGCTGCCAAGTCAAAAGCTGCAGTGACCGATCAAGGAGGTTCTGGCATAAGTCCATATCAACATAAAATCATGCAACAATACTGGGCAATGTAACATCGCACTTCACAGGTCTATGCAGTATAATGCAAGATGAGAAACTTTGACTCCGGGGGTGAGGGGCAATGCATGCATCATCCACAGTTAATATAGGCGTCATTGCTCTCGCAACCTCTTCACCAAGAAATCATCCAAGAGGCTCACACAGTGAATACTTCAGATGTCCGATGTCATGCAATAGCCTGCTTAGGTAGCTCTCGCGGAGCGGTACTAGTAGTAGTCGACTTGCTTCAACCTCAACCCATATGTATAGCAGACTGGGCGGATTGCTTATGAAGTTATGATTGCAATGGGAGCATATCAAACTGATCATGTCTACAGTAATCAGAGACTACACAACGGCTCGGACTTGGTTTTCAGCCGGCGCATAGCTACAACAATCCCGTGACTGTAACTGTAGTACGGTACATGCGGCAACAGAACACGATAACAAGAGAACACGATAACAAGAGAACACGATAACAAGAGCGTGCAACTTGAATGAATTGCTGCTACGACAATTCTTTTCGATAACGCCATCTTTAATACACTGATGCAGTGTGTACAGGCTGGATTTAACTGCAACTCAGTAGTACGCACTACACCATTTCCTGCCGCTTTTCTGCATCAACTTTGATGTAATCCAGGAACTTTGCTGTGACATACACGTAACACCCATTTAGAGAAAGTCAGAAACCGCTCACTCTTGTGCTCATGTGCGTAGTCATGGTATTTCATGACAGTAGCTAGCATCTGGGAGTTTACCAGTGTCGAACAATTTGTGAACCAGGGCGCGTTTGGTTGATACAACCCAGAACAGGATTCACCAGAGCAGCGCATTTGGTTGGGGCCGCGCAGTGCACCTCATCTGGATCGGCCAGAACATGTTCTGATTGCTCCGGCTTCGAGCCTGGAGCAGCCAGAGCAGTTTCACTTTTCACAGTGAAACCTGGCAGGAACATTGGATCTTGGTTCCAAATGATCACGTGCATACGCTTTTGGGTTGCACTTGGCATAGACTTGTAGCGTACAAAGCGACCATGGTGACTCGTATACATTTTTAGACGAATGCAATCACGTCTTGCGCAGTTTCGCATGAACGTACTCTGTTTCTGGAGTACCGTTTGGTGGGCATGCGGCTGCTCCATGTGCACCAGCTGTTCGATCCTGTTCTAAATCGTACCAACCAAACGCGCCCTCAGACTACGGAATACACCATTCAGTCAAGTGGTAGAGTTCACGTGTATTCTGGGTTACAGCAGCGCAGCTGTGATGCTGGACGAACAGCAGTGCCACAACTACATGTACAATTATTATTGTAGACTGGGGGCGGCCCGGTTGGTTGATCTTCAGGTCGGTACGACGTAGGTCTACAGGCTCTGTTTCATGGTGTATGTACTGACTGAGAGAGACCGTAGTAGAGTCCTACAAAAGTCATGCATACATGCATGCATACATACAATGAACACGAGTCGACGCCAACTCTAGTTCATGCAGACGTGTACATAATGCACGAAGGTCATTATGACTGTTATTTTCCAGTTGTCGCGCTATAGCGTGAGGCTTCGCGTTGGCCTATTTTACATTAGGTTACGCTCTTCAGCTGCACACAGCAAGCCTCTAGCTCTGTTGGTGCAAGGCGAGTTGCTCGAAACAGGATAAAAAATATATTGCACAGTGCTGCCCAGAGCTTTCAGGACAGAACGCAGAAGAGTGTTGCCGCTACTCGGAGTCTCCTAAGGCTAAGCGGACGCACACAACTGGTTGCCACCTGCCATATCACCAGGGATTTCCCTCGCTACTTACCGGTAACATGTTTATTTGTGTGAAAGTTTCTATAAAGCCACAACGGCGTACTTTTGAACCTTACCTAAGCGCAAATGCATGCCATCTTTATGTATGACACAGAGAAAAGAATAGAGGAAGTCGTACCGTGTTCGTTACAATTCTGAGTCGTCCACCACTAGTGTCCTCCGACGAGAACTCATCTTCACCCGTTACATCAACCAGTCCTCGAGCTGTAGTCTCTTCTGCCAAACTGCAGCTGCAGTGAGGACGAAAACCTTCGCCACTTGGCGACGGTTCACATAAAGGAGGTATTCTCCTGAAGCAATAATAATAATACAGTCATTGACTTCTACTGATCTACCAAAACCGTGCCCCGTGCCCTTTCTCCAACGTTTCTCAGCCGCGATGTTCCACTTCCAGCAAAGACGATTGAAATTCGAAGCAACTACTTAGTATTTTAGTTGCCCAATACATGAATGGTATGACTGTACGTCTGTGATCTACGTGGCCTCCCGCCATAGCCTAGCCTAGCGCCTAGGCATGTTGCACTTTGCCATTATTGCCGATTGGCCACGAGCCAACCACGAATCAAGCATCAAAGCGTCAACTCCCCCTTCAAGCACCAAACATATAACCGGGTATTCCCCGTCCAGAATCCCACAAGATGAATACGTCAGCTGCATTGCCATTGGTTTCGTACAGCTACAGGTAAAAGACTAAACCGACCAAACAACATTACATTTTTATCTACTATTCTTGCCCCCCCCCCGGAAAACAAACGTTGCACACCCCGGTTAGGCCACCCTTTGTTAATTCATTGTTTAACGTCCTTTTTTTCGCGAAAAGGTACGCGGGAGGGCGGAAAAAAACAAAAGCCCATTCCAAAAACTGGAAACCCCAATCAAACATTTTGACCAGTAAAGCATTGTGATATATACAATATTTCTGGGTCTAACGGCACTTGCAGGCATAGAACAACACTCTTTGATGGTACATTGGAGCACATGCCTGATGAATCCAACAAAACAGGTACATAGCATGGAGTTAGCATGTCATGAATTCATTACATCTGGATTTTTACTAGGACACACACCGTACGATATTTTAAAAAAGCCAACAAAAAAAGAAAAAGAACACAAGACAAAGGCATGCCCGGGAGGCAAGATTATAAGTTTAAGGTCATGATCGGCACACTGTGAAACTACACAATCATGTATTTACAACTTCGCATATTGTTGGTACTACTACTTTCTTGTTTTTTTTTCCGGTCGGAGGCAAAAAGGTACGCGGGCGCGGACGTTAAACAACGAAAAAAGAAAGGGTGGCCTTACCACAAGAAACAAGAGCCTTCGTAGTGTTTCGAAGACTGAACATAAAACGGCACTGAGTCAGTATGTGAATCTAGCCACAGTTTACATGTATATCAAGAGTGCATACATGTAAACCATGTAAACAGTTTATGGACTCTTGTTTTCATTAGCAGGGAGTACACAACATTATTTTAAATATACAGTAGGTATCGGTTATAGCGTGGGTGTTTGAAAAACGACATTTGATTCTTATTGCTGATATTTCTTACAGACGATAAATCACGTGTGACATATCATATGCGCGGCGGGATTGCGCGCACGTTTGGCATGTGGACGCGTACACATGATACACACGGATCAATCAGACTCACGGTCGTGCTAGGCGACTGCGGAGCAGCGGATACGAGAGAAGTCGGAAGAAAGAGTCCGATTGGACAGAAAAAGTGATTCTCCAATGCTTCCTTGGACACAACTCTCTTTTTGTGTTGAATATTATTGTATTGAGTATGCACAGAGCACAGATGGTATTACTACAGGCGATACACTTTGCACTAATCTGGCATATTTTGCTACACAAAATCCATTCTTAGGGCTGATATATTCTACTATGCGATAATACTGCTTGTAAGAATAAATATACACATAAAATATGTGTTATGATTATGAAAAAATGAGTGTTCATTCTTGTAAGCAGTATATTCTTGTATACGACCACACTATAACCGATACGCACTGTACATGTACCATACCAGGCCCGTAACTCAAATAGACAATGCCAACCAGTAGTTTTGGGGTTTTTTTCACCAATGTTCTCAAAGGGCAACCAGCAGCTTTCGGCCTGTTTATCAATATGACAATAAAGTAATCCCACCTCCACCAAGCTTGGAGTCATGTTGCTCAGTGGTGTCACGGTGAGGTCGGCCGGAGAGCGCGTTTGGTGGAGATGGAATTACTTTTCGCCAATGACTTGTATTAATTTTAAAACCCCATTTTTGTGAAGGGGTTTACTGGACTACTCCCTGGTTACTAGTGCATGTGTATGTACATGTAATTGCATACAAATTACAAGATTAGTACAAGCACATTTTTATTATTATTATTATTATTATAGACAACACCTCATGGCATGAGAAGAAAATCATCCAGTACGGGACATGTACATGTACATGTACATGTAGCTCCACTACCACGAGAGCAGAATGGCGGTGCAGTTACATGATTGTACACTATACATGTACTTCAATGTAGTTGGGTACGTTGCCACGGTCAACAATAATGTTTTTTTATGTACAGTAGTTAGAGTGAACCGTCAGAACGGGCTCACCTGCCCCTGCCATCCTATCTGGTTACTCAAGAGAGTTGTGACTTCTCCATCGTGATCGCAGCTGATGACGTTCTATTATGATTGTATAAGGCAAGCCTTGCTTGATACGGTTATACATGTACATGTATATGCACATAACGCAGAGCTCACTGACTTGTCAGTTTGAGCACTCTGGCAAGGTACGTTCGGGCCTGGGTTAAATCTGGCTTTGGAACATTTATTTTCCATTGCTATCAGGTTCGGCCTCATTTTCTCTGTGCTGCGCTGATGAGTTCACAAAGAACGAAACAGCATGCTGTCCACAGATTGTGTATACTATATGCACATACTAATGACCACAGCATATCACAAGGCACAAAAGACACACTGTATGGAAAACAGCGTTCCTGACTGCAACCATAAACCAGTTGGTAGAGTCCCGATCTTGCGACCATATGAACCATATGGGGTTGTGCAAAAAGCACACAGACAGGAATAGCCGGGAAATACAGAGCAAGGGACAGGCAGCCGCATTCAGAGGATTGTACCACTTAGGACCAGATTTCAACTCGCAAGTTCTACTGGTAATATCCTGAAAGGATCAGAGAATTTCCTATTGCCCCCCCCCCCCCCCCAATTATAGAGGGTCTGAACTGGGGCACAGCAATGGTCACTACGGTATTGACCGTACCACTTATTATCGTTGGTACAAGTACATGTACCCCCCTTTTTTTTTAAAGGAATTACTATGACCAAGAGTACATAACCCCCCCAGAGTGTGCAACGCCGATCCAGCTCTGCACAGGGTCTTGGTCTAGCGGAATCGGATCTTCTGATGTCATGCATACACTCCACACCAGCGCAAGGCCGGTCTCGAGGCAGGGCACCATTGTTTTTGATCCGAGAGTACCCGCGACTCCCCGGGTTCCCCTCAGATGTTTACGGTATTATGACATCAGAAGATCCGATTCCGCTCGACCAAGACCCTATGCAGAGCTGGATCAGGCGTTGCACACTCTGGTGGGGGGGGGGGGGGGGGTTATGTACTCTTGCTATGACCATTGGCTCTAATTAAGAAAGTGGTGGACATCACGCAACTGCATCACAAAGAAAGGGGGGGGGGGGAGGGTTGTCAACTGACAACCGCTCTATTCAGTTGCTATTCACGATCGCACGTTCTGACGATGGGTGACTGGCCCGAAACGTCATAATTTTTCGACATCACAATAAAGCCGTTGTCAGTTGACAAACCCCCTTTTCTTCATTGGCTCTAAGTTTTGAAACATTTAGAGGAGGATCCTAGAATGGCACCTCCAATAAAAACTGACTGTACCATCCTGAAATACCTCCCCACACCCCTGGAAAGGTTTGGCTTCATCTGTGCTTCCATAAGAAAGAAATGACGCTTCAAGTGAACATTTCGTACAGATCCCTATTGAGTAGGGTACACTCTTCCCAGTTCAGTGGAAGTGAGTGAATTCCATTGGGAATACCAGTATAGGACAAAAGGAGCGTCACAGCTTCCTGGAAAAGCAAAAAGGTACAAGAGAAAACTAGTGCACAATCGCGTGAAAATAAAGAAAAATTAGAAGCCTAGACGGAGACAAAGAAAAGGTTCAGCAAGGAAAGGACATACGGTACAGTAACATGTTAGCTACTTTAGCATGAGGCATGCCAAAGCTCATACATCAAAGTAACAATCAAATCCTGGCAAGTGTTGTTCATTGTCTCAAACCTGTCAGGATTTACAGCAGAGAAGTTTCATTAGAAAAAAATGCACATCACTATGCCAGGGCAATTCTATGGAGTATGCAAGCTTCAGTTATAACCAGAGACTACTTTCTGGGGAGAAGACTGGCAAGTTGTGATCATGATGGTCTCAAACCTGACAGACATAGTCTACATGGTAAAGTTTTCATGGGAGAGATTCAAAAAGCAATTTTGAAGTATGATGGTTGAGATGTTGGCTAAATATTTATTTCACTTTTCATGCTCAACATCTTTTGCAGAAAAATGATGAACTCCTTGTGGGTATTCTCAGCACACGTTGAAGTAATCTCATGCATTGCTTTCTTCTAAATGCGTATAAACAGGCCAGATAAGAATGATCGGAAAACTTCAAGAGTTCACACAAGTCATAACGATAATAGGGTGCCTTGAACAAGCCCCTACTCTATAATATTATTGATGCTGGAGCGCGGACTGCACTAGCATCAACACTACACGGTGTGTTCCTTCAGGTTGCCCTTGCCACTGCTATGTAGATAAGCTGAGTAATCCCAGTGATGACCATCGCCTATAGGAAGATGACTGGACGGAAACAGCATGTGTCGCCAAGACCTAAGCATTGGTAGAAGAAATACACAGAGCGGTGTAGTCCAAGGGCGAGTTAGCACAACGGCAAAGAGAAACAATGGTTTGTAAATGGAAATCTCACAGACCCATGCTGTCAAGTTCTAGTTCACTTTTTTCAGCAGTGATGATAACTGTCCTCATAACGCTCAATGGTAGGAAGTGCTGATAGGAACTCTTTCCATAGCCAGCAGTTGAAGGATTGCCAACTTGACCAGCCCCATGGCGTGTGGGACCCAGAGCTGTACTAAAGCTAGCGAAGCAGGCCCAGGTCCCTCCAACTACGCAGGAAGAAGAGCTAGTACATCTCCACCAATGGAAGGGACCGAAAGAACACAGCAGCGCTTGCTGACCAAGTCAGAGTAATGGACATAATCCTTAGTCCGTGCACCTCAGTGTCATCGCTACTAGTGTTACTTCCATCAGATCATCCAAACACAACGCAGACAATGAGTGTGAGGAACAGTCAGTGGCTGTTCGATCAGTAGTAAGATCAGACTACTTCCAAGTACCAGTGTCCGGAACCAAACAAAGGCAGCCATGAGTTAGCAACTAAAGGAAAACACACCCTCGCGTCTCCATTCGTCAATAACACCAATTCACGCTGGATGTGGGCGACAGCAGTAATGACTTTCGATTTTGCTGGGTGCAGCAGGATTCCAAACATCAGTTGCACAGCTCGGACTGAGTTTGATACTCATTGAGTTACCTCTCCCAAACAGTCTATTTTCAGTTATCTTCTTATGAAAGGTGTGCTGTGTTGCCCAAAGTTGCCTTAGTATGAGCTTTAGCACTTGCTGCCCAATTAGCCTCAAGTGTGATCCCATCAACGGATAACTAGCATAATAGCAGGCTCAGCCAGAGTATATGAGCATACAATATACTGTATAAGCGGAAATATTCGTCTGGAATTTAATTTCGTCTTTTTCGTCCAAGGTTTTGGACTAAATGAAACGCCGGACTAATGCAGGTTTTCAATACACTCTTATGATCCATGGACGAAATTTACAACCAGACGACCTCTCTTTCTTTGGAGTTGGACGAAATTATTGACCGACGGAATTTTCTGCCTGCACAGTACGTAAAGATAGGTAAAGATGACCGGGTAACAAGGCTGTACATAGTGTCAATACTTCTTACCTGCCTTCCACCAGTCCAAGCAAGAAAGCCCAGTTCGTGTTAAAGCCAAAGTCATAAGGATTCTTGAAAAACTGGAGATGGCACAAGAGTGAGAAACATCAAACAACACACAGTCCTGTTAATATGTGTCAGTGCTGACCTGTGTACATGGATGGCATGGCATCATCCGGTCAAAAACGAGAGACGCTCTTCCGGATACTCTAGGCATATTCTCATGTCTCTGAATGGCAGCTATTTCATCCTCGGAGCCTACCTGCTACTGGCAGTGATGGCTTACCAGCAACGGTCCTTAAATCCTGTGCTGACCTTCTTGCACCCTCACTGATGCTCATCAACAACAAATCATTGTCCGAAGGCCAGCTGCCACCGAGCATGGAAATCGCCAATATCACTCCCGTCTACAAAGGTGGTGACCCCAGTCAACCCACCAACTATAGACCTGTCTCATTGCTCCCTATAGTCTCCAAGCTGCTCGAGCGTATCATCCATGAGCAACTCAGTCAATACCTGGCTGAACACAATCTCTACCTTTCCAGTCATTTCGGTTTCAGACGCCAGCACTCTACAGAGGATGCTCTCACAATGGTTACAGACAAATTCCTAAGAGCCCGAGATGATGGGCTGTCAACTGGCGCTGCATTCCTAGGCATGTCAAAGGCCTTTGACAAGGTCCAGCATCAGACACTTGTGGAAGACCTATTCCAGCTTGGAATCTCCGGCACAGCCCTGAACTGGTTAAGCGACTACCTCTCAAATCATCAACAACAAGTAGTCATCAGCGGCAATAGCAGCTCATCCTTCACATGTTCCGAGGCAAGTGGGGTCCCCCAAGGGTCTGTACTGGGACCACTATTGTCTGTCATATATGTCAGGGATGTGGCCAGTGAAGTGGATCAGTTTGCCGTCCAGGTAACCCAATTCGCGGACGATATCATGCTACACGATAGCAGGGAGGACAAGGTCATGCTGTCACACAACCTGTCCTCAGCCATCACCCATCTCAGCAACTGGCTTGGTGAGCGCAACCTAATCTTGAATAGTCGAAAGACACAAATATTGTTTATTCCCGCCAATCATCATGACGACAAGACATTGAATGTGCACTGTGCAGCTACACTCTTCCAGCAAGTGACAAGCGCCAAGTACCTGGGCTTGCACATCGATGAGAACCTGAAATGAACACAATGGTCGACCATATAGCCAAGACAGTGTCCTCAAAGATTGCCATTCTCTACCGCCACAGGCAGTGCCTCCCAATACCATGTCGTTCAACCTACTTGAGATGTATAATTTTACCCACATTCCAATATGCATGCAACAGCTTTTCTTCTTCCCTTTCCTCTGCACAACGTGATCGTCTTGAGAAACTTCTCAAGTGAGCGGTGTGTGTTATCTGCTCTGCTCCCTTCCTGTCTGCAACTGCCCCTCTTTATGAACACCTCAGCATTCAACCTCTGCAATCAATGTATTGCCGCAAACTCCTCCCGCTAACCTTTTGTGTAATTCATAATAACTGTAGTGTGCTTCTTCATGACCTCATTACACCTCTGTCACACACCCATCAAACAAGGAGCACAGATGTTCTCCTGCTTCTTTTCCCGAGGGTCACATCTGCTGCTGCCACACACAGCCCATCATATCAATGTCCTGCTCTCTGGAATAAGTTCCCTGCATCTATACGATCACTGGAAAAATCAGGTCAATTCCAGACCGCTCTTTTATCCCACCTGAACATTCACTGACCAACGTTGCTCACTGATCAAATAATTATGACATTGTAATCTTTCTTCTGCTGTCTTAAGCCCTACTCTATTTTTTCCTTCTTTTAATCTTCTCCTTATATTTGTGTGCCTGTAGTCAATCTCGTGTAAAAAGGCAACACTGCCTGTTTGTTCTTCGACATCCAATCCAATTACAATGATTTCTTCTAACGTACAGTTCCACATGTTTTTGTTTGTTGTTGTCTACTACGTGCTGTGTGTACTTACAACGGATCCACAAGTAATATTAGTTCGAGGAAACACTTAAAAAGGAGAAAACAACGATTTCAAAAGTTCCATCGCAATCCCTGGACTTTCACAGAACATCCCTTGACCCCGGGATAAACACCCTATTCCCTGGACTGTCCCGGGAAACCCTGGACAATTGGCATGTATGCAATGCCGATTGCTAGTGGAAAGTCCCCTGCTGCACTACTCATGGGTTGTCAACCACGCTTGAAGTACGATGTGTTGAGGTCTCGCAATCAGTCAGAAGTCAATTCATTTGAACAGAATGCCCATCTCACCCCAGAGTACTAGTATAAGTCTGGCGACGCAGTGTTTGTTCTCAGTTTCCGCAGATCACAACCTACTTGGGTTCCTGGTGTTGTTCTCTCCGTAAGCAGTCCAATGAATTACAGTGTTCAAGTGGAACACGTCGTCTGGAAAAGACATCGCAGCCAACTGCGTCCGAGGTCTGTCACATTGTCTGACCTGGCAGAACAATGTCAAGCTGAACCACCCGGTCTACCGCCTACCTCACAGATTCCGCCGCCACTGCCTGACCTGCAAACTACGCCGACGGTTTCTACCAGTTCACCTGCTCTGCTACCGTGTGACTGTCAGATCTGGATCAGGTCGATGAACAGCTTCCGCCTCTGCCACAGTCGACACCTGCATCAGTGACTCCGACACATGCCCGTGTTCCGTCTGATCAGTGTCGTCCTGCACCAGATGGACCGCCGTTGACAGATAGTACACGTACAACAAGGTTGGGTCGCTAAGTAGTTACACCCAGCCGGTATAAGTAACTGAGGGATAACTTGTTGCTTTGAAATGGACAGTCTGTTTGAAGATTGTTCCAAGATTTTGAATGTGATTCCCGCCTCTGGACTATGGACAGTACTTGCATAATATTGGTATGTCCTACCATGATTCACATGGCATTGTATATATGATACGTATAATACTCATTTCATTTCGTTCCATTTTCTTTGTTTCATTCATTCCACCTGCTTATTTTTGGGAGGGGGATATTGTTATAAGGCCACACGTTTTTATTTCTATGTTTCTCGTCACCCGCGCGCATACGATTCAGGAGTCTGGAAGAAAAAAAGAAAAAAACTGTGCTGCACTGACTAGACTGTGCATGTGGGAGCCAGCACACTCATGCACACGTACATAATGTGATCTGGCCTGCGCGACACATGATCAGTGTTGCCACATCATTCTAGCCAGATATCAGTAGCATGAAAAAATAAAATGCATCATCCGGGGGCTTTGCCCCCGGACCCCCCCCCCCCCCCCTCCCCTAGACCTATATAGCGACCTCAATACACACACATGCGGCACTGATAAGAAAAAAAACATTTCACGGTTATGCGTGACACTCAGGCTGAGTTTGCCGATTTTCCCCGAGACGGATGATGATTTTGCTTAGCGCCTCAGGAGAGAGCTATGGAAACACTCGTGCTGCGCAGTAAAAGTCAAAAATCTGGATCACGACTCCTAAACCATGCATAAGGTCAAACTTGAACACTTTCATGGCTGTTGTCGGCAGGAGAAGGTCAATTGTCGGCAGGTCGTGACATGCCTCAAAAATCGGCAGGCTACTGACATGTCGGCAGGTGTGGCAACACAGCATGATGCAAGAAGGCATTTTTTTGTGCGCAATCTAGCTGCACATGCTCAGATTGTGACAGAAGCTCCTGGCCTACCACATACTAGTTGCTAACTATGGATGGTGTATTGGTGGATTTTAGTGTGAACAAAGGTCTAATAAACTTTTTTTATTTTTCGGTCGTTTTTTATTTTTTCCACCTCTCGCATACGTTTTTAGATTTTCAGGTGACGAGAAACATAGAAATAAAAACGTGTGGCCTAATCATGTACAAAGCTATCAGTCACTAGAGCAACGGAATTCCTACATAATTATTAGGATTAGTGCGCATGTGCAGCGCAAGGAGTTAGTTGGTTCCGGTTCATGAAGTAAGAGTTTGGAAATGTACCTTGATTGAGAGTCCCTTGTTGTGTGCTTGGCAAGACATAACAATTGACGACAAGAAAACTAATGTCTCAGAACTAACCAGACGCTGACGGGCAAGGCGCTTCGCCTCGATTTGATTCGTGTGTCGTTCAATGGAAGTAGTTCCTTGGCTTATAATCCAGAAGTGCCATGATGTAAGAGAGCCAAGAACAAGAAGCACGCCTGCAGCTAGTAGGAATATAAACATTCTACTCCATGCCTGCCAGGATTTGTAGAAGTTATTGAACCAGGCACCAAAGGGCTGCATAGTGGCAAGGAAAGAATAACAGCAGTGCAAACCAAACAAAGACGGATCACGGATCACTCATCTAATTTCAAGTATCAAAGAGCCCACCGAATGTAATAATCGCTGTCTCACCAATATCATTCTTCAGCCACGGTGGCTCTGTACAATGCATAAGGAAACAACTGTCCAGAATAGGGCTCAGCTGCAAATAGTGTTACATGCTGAGGGCATACCGGTAGTAGGCACAGCATTGGTGTCAACACTAAGAGAATAGAAGTACCTTACCAGCGTGACTGGGCTCCAATCCACTAGATAGCGGTTTATTGGAACTGCTGATCCCTGCAAGCAAGTACACCAAGAACAAAGAAAATCACTTTGATGTGAAACATGGGAATTCGGCGAATACACTATTACGCTAGCTACAGTGAAGTGGAAAGACAGTGACTGTGTCAGTGGTCAGTGGGTGAAAAGATTTCTACGTATGTATGTAGTAATTTACTACACGAAAAAGAAAGTGTCCTCACTAGTTATCTACACCTGACTCATAGAGTTGATCTGGTGGTCAAACACATTGGTCACAATCTTAAAAACACAAAGGAAGAATCAAGTGTCAATGTAGTGTTTGATAACCAATCTTGGAAGGATGTTGATTACTAGTACTGGCCATACTCGCACCGCCGCACCGCCGCACCTAATCAACACCTGAAAAGCAGGAGTATGAGAAAAACCGGAACTGGAGCAAGTGCACTCACTCCGCTCTTAGATGAAGAGAAGTACTAAACCCACAGAGAAACTGCTGGATAGCGTTTAGGAAATAAGGCAAATACACATACGTACGTAGTAATCATCCAAGACAATCGGCAAACTGGTCACGGACACGTAGAGCACACCCAGGCACATGTAGACACAGAACATCCAGAAGTAACGATGATTGTAGTGGCCCACACAGTTATTCAGCCAAGCTGAATCCATTGCATGTAAGGACAACACACTGGTCTACAGTGCAGTGCAATTAAAATGTCATGCACAGATGCAAAGTGCAAAGAAGGAGACTGAGTCATCAGGCCTGAACCTCGGCCACATTCATGCTAAAAAATGATGACCCTACAGAGAGTGCACGCGCATGTGTGCGTGCGTGTGTGTGTGTCGAGAAATAACAATGCGCTATAATAGCTACGCAATGGGCAAGGTCAAGGTCAAGGTGTGTGTGTGTGTGTGTGTGTGTGTGTGTGTGTGTGTGTGTGTGTGTGTGTGTGTGTGCGTGTGTGTGGACCTCATATTGTCACAGTTCACAGCACAAAGACTTGGTGGGTACACCTCAGATTCACATCCTAACAGAGATGTCAAACAACACAATAAACAAATAAACTTCACAGCTCGTGTAAGAATCAGCCAGGCTAGCACTTCCACACAGTATACACAGTAAGAATCAGCCAGGCTAGCGCTTCCACACAGTATACACAGTAAGAATCAGCCAGGCTAGCACTTCCACACAGTATACACAGTAAGAATCAGCCAGGCTAGCACTTCCACACAGTATACACAGTAAGAATCAGCCAGGCTAACACTTCCACACAGTATACACAGTAAGAATCAGCCAGGCTAGCACTTCCACACAGTATACACAAAAAGAATCAGCCAGGCTAGCACTTCCACACAGTATACACAGTAAGAATCAGCCAGGCTAGCACTTCCACACAGTATACACAGTAAGAATCAGCCAGGCTAACACTTCCACACAGTATACACAGTAAGAATCAGCCAGGCTAGCGCTTCCACACAGTATACACAGTAAGAATCAGCCAGGCTAACACTTCCACACAGTATACACAGTGAAAATCAGCCAGGCTAACACTTCCACACAGTATACACAGTAAGAATCAGCCAGGCTAGCGCTTCCACACAGTATACACAGTAAGAATCAGCCAGGCTAGCGCTTCCACACAGTATACACAGTAAGAATCAGCCAGGCTAGCACTTCCACACAGTATACACAGTAAGAATCAGCCAGGCTAGCACTTCCACACAGTATACACAGTAAGAATCAGCCAGGCTAGCGCTTCCACACAGTATACACAGTAAGAATCAGCCAGGCTAGCACTTCCACACAGTATACACAGTAAGAATCAGCCAGGCTAGCACTTCCACACAGTATACACAGTAAGAATCAGCCAGGCTAGCACTTCCACACAGTATACACAGTAAGAATCAGCCAGGCTAACACTTCCACACAGTATACACAGTAAGAATCAGCCAGGCTAGCACTTCCACACAGTATACACAGTAAGAATCAGCCAGGCTAGCACTTCCACACAGTATACACAGTAAGAATCAGCCAGGCTAACACTTCCACACAGTATACACAGTAAGAATCAGCCAGGCTAGCGCTTCCACACAGTATACACAGTAAGAATCAGCCAGGCTAGCACTTCCACACAGTATACACAGTAAGAATCAGCCAGGCTAACACTTCCACACAGTATACACAGTAAGAATCAGCCAGGCTAGCGCTTCCACACAGTATACACAGTAAGAATCAGCCAGGCTAGCACTTCCACACAGTATACACAGTAAGAATCAGCCAGGCTAGCACTTCCACACAGTATACACAGTAAGAATCAGCCAGGCTAACACTTCCACACAGTATACACAGTAAGAATCAGCCAGGCTAGCACTTCCACACAGTATACACAGTAAGAATCAGCCAGGCTAGCACTTCCACACAGTATACACAGTAAGAATCAGCCAGGCTAGCGCTTCCACACAGTATACACAGTATACGCAGTAAGAATCAGCCAGGCTAGCACTTCCACACAGTATACACAGTAAGAATCAGCCAGGCTAGCACTTCCACACAGTATACACAGTAAGAATCAGCCAGGCTAACACTTCCACACAGTATACACAGTAAGAATCAGCCAGGCTAGCACTTCCACACAGTATACACAGTAAGAATCAGCCAGGCTAGCACTTCCACACAGTATACACAGTAAGAATCAGCCAGGCTAGCACTTCCACACAGTATACACAGTAAGAATCAGCCAGGCTAACACTTCCACACAGTATACACAGTAAGAATCAGCCAGGCTAGCACTTCCACACAGTATACACAGTAAGAATCAGCCAGGCTAACACTTCCACACAGTATACACAGTAAGAATCAGCCAGGCTAGCACTTCCACACAGTATACACAGTAAGAATCAGCCAGGCTAGCACTTCCACACAGTATACACAGTAAGAATCAGCCAGGCTAGCACTTCCACACAGTATACACAGTAAGAATCAGCCAGGCTAACACTTCCACACAGTATACACAGTAAGAATCAGCCAGGCTAGCACTTCCACACAGTATACACAGTAAGAATCAGCCAGGCTAGCACTTCCACACAGTATACACAGTAAGAATCAGCCAGGCTAGCACTTCCACACAGTATACACAGTAAGAATCAGCCAGGCTAACACTTCCACACAGTATACACAGTAAGAATCAGCCAGGCTAGCACTTCCACACAGTATACACAGTAAGAATCAGCCAGGCTAACACTTCCACACAGTATACACAGTAAGAATCAGCCAGGCTAGCACTTCCACACAGTATACACAGTAAGAATCAGCCAGGCTAACACTTCCACACAGTATACACAGTGAGAATCAGCCAGGCTAACACTTCCACACAGTATACACAGTAAGAATCAGCCAAGCTAACACTTCCACACAGTATACACAGTAAGAATCAGCCAGGCTAGCGCTTCCACACAGTATACACAGTAAGAATCAGCCAGGCTAGCGCTTCCACACAGTATACACAGTAAGAATCAGCCAGGCTAACACTTCCACACAGTATACACAGTAAGAATCAGCCAGGCTAGCACTTCCACACAGTATACACAGTAAGAATCAGCCAGGCTAGCGCTTCCACACAGTATACACAGTAAGAATCAGCCAGGCTAACACTTCCACACAGTATACACAGTAAGAATCAGCCAGGCTAGCACTTCCACACAGTATACACAGTAAGAATCAGCCAGGCTAGCACTTCCACACAGTATACACAGTAAGAATCAGCCAGGCTAGCACTTCCACACAGTATACACAGTAAGAATCAGCCAGGCTAACACTTCCACACAGTATACACAGTAAGAATCAGCCAGGCTAGCACTTCCACACAGTATACACAGTAAGAATCAGCCAGGCTAGCACTTCCACACAGTATACACAGTAAGAATCAGCCAGGCTAGCACTTCCACACAGTATACACAGTAAGAATCAGCCAGGCTAACACTTCCACACAGTATACACAGTAAGAATCAGCCAGGCTAGCACTTCCACACAGTATACACAGTAAGAATCAGCCAGGCTAGCACTTCCACACAGTATACACAGTAAGAATCAGCCAGGCTAACACTTCCACACAGTATACACAGTAAGAATCAGCCAGGCTAGCGCTTCCACACAGTATACACAGTATACACAGTAAGAATCAGCCAGGCTAGCACTTCCACACAGTACACACAGTAAGAATCAGCCAGGCTAGCACTTCCACACAGTATACACAGTAAGAATCAGCCAGGCTAGCGCTTCCACACAGTATACACAGTAAGAATCAGCCAGGCTAGCACTTCCACACAGTATACACAGTAAGAATCAGCCAGGCTAGCACTTCCACACAGTATACACAGTAAGAATCAGCCAGGCTAGCACTTCCACACAGTATACACAGTAAGAATCAGCCAGGCTAACACTTCCACACAGTATACACAGTAAGAATCAGCCAGGCTAACACTTCCACACAGTATACACAGTAAGAATCAGCCAGGCTAGCACTTCCACACAGTATACACAGTAAGAATCAGCCAGGCTAGCACTTCCACACAGTATACACAGTAAGAATCAGCCAGGCTAACACTTCCACACAGTATACACAGTAAGAATCAGCCAGGCTAGCGCTTCCACACAGTATACACAGTATACACAGTAAGAATCAGCCAGGCTAGCACTTCCACACAGTATACACAGTAAGAATCAGCCAGGCTAGCGCTTCCACACAGTATACACAGTAAGAATCAGCCAGGCTAGCACTTCCACACAGTATACACAGTAAGAATCAGCCAGGCTAGCGCTTCCACACAGTATACACAGTAAGAATCAGCCAGGCTAGCACTTCCACACAGTATACACAGTAAGAATCAGCCAGGCTAACACTTCCACACAGTATACACAGTAAGAATCAGCCAGGCTAGCACTTCCACACAGTATACACAGTAAGAATCAGCCAGGCTAGCGCTTCCACACAGTATACACAGTAAGAATCAGCCAGGCTAGCACTTCCACACAGTATACACAGTAAGAATCAGCCAGGCTAGCACTTCCACACAGTATACACAGTAAGAATCAGCCAGGCTAGCGCTTCCACACAGTATACACAGTAAGAATCAGCCAGGCTAGCACTTCCACACAGTATACACAGTAAGAATCAGCCAGGCTAGCGCTTCCACACAGTATACACAGTAAGAATCAGCCAGGCTAGCACTTCCACACAGTATACACAGTAAGAATCAGCCAGGCTAACACTTCCACACAGTATACACAGTAAGAATCAGCCAGGCTAGCACTTCCACACAGTATACACAGTAAGAATCAGCCAGGCTAGCGCTTCCACACAGTATACACAGTAAGAATCAGCCAGGCTAGCACTTCCACACAGTATACACAGTAAGAATCAGCCAGGCTAGCGCTTCCACACAGTATACACAGTAAGAATCAGCCAGGCTAGCACTTCCACACAGTATACACAGTAAGAATCAGCCAGGCTAGCACTTCCACACAGTATACACAGTAAGAATCAGCCAGGCTAGCACTTCCACACAGTATACACAGTAAGAATCAGCCAGGCTAACACTTCCACACAGTATACACAGTAAGAATCAGCCAGGCTAGCACTTCCACACAGTATACACAGTAAGAATCAGCCAGGCTAGCACTTCCACACAGTATACACAGTAAGAATCAGCCAGGCTAACACTTCCACACAGTATACACAGTAAGAATCAGCCAGGCTAGCACTTCCACACAGTATACACAGTAAGAATCAGCCAGGCTAACACTTCCACACAGTATACACAGTAAGAATCAGCCAGGCTAGCACTTCCACACAGTATACACAGTAAGAATCAGCCAGGCTAGCGCTTCCACACAGTATACACAGTAAGAATCAGCCAGGCTAGCACTTCCACACAGTATACACAGTAAGAATCAGCCAGGCTAGCACTTCCACACAGTATACACAGTAAGAATCAGCCAGGCTAACACTTCCACACAGTATACACAGTAAGAATCAGCCAGGCTAGCACTTCCACACAGTATACACAGTAAGAATCAGCCAGGCTAGCGCTTCCACACAGTATACACAGTAAGAATCAGCCAGGCTAGCACTTCCACACAGTATACACAGTAAGAATCAGCCAGGCTAGCACTTCCACACAGTATACACAGTAAGAATCAGCCAGGCTAGCGCTTCCACACAGTATACACAGTAAGAATCAGCCAGGCTAACACTTCCACACAGTATACACAGTAAGAATCAGCCAGGCTAGCGCTTCCACACAGTATACACAGTAAGAATCAGCCAGGCTAGCACTTCCACACAGTATACACAGTAAGAATCAGCCAGGCTAGCACTTCCACACAGTATACACAGTAAGAATCAGCCAGGCTAACACTTCCACACAGTATACACAGTAAGAATCAGCCAGGCTAGCACTTCCACACAGTATACACAGTAAGAATCAGCCAGGCTAGCACTTCCACACAGTATACACAGTAAGAATCAGCCAGGCTAGCACTTCCACACAGTATACACAGTGAGAATCAGCCAGGCTAACACTTCCACACAGTATACACAGTAAGAATCAGCCAGGCTAGCACTTCCACACAGTATACACAGTAAGAATCAGCCAGGCTAGCACTTCCACACAGTATACACAGTAAGAATCAGCCAGGCTAGCGCTTCCACACAGTATACACAGTAAGAATCAGCCAGGCTAACACTTCCACACAGTATACACAGTAAGAATCAGCCAGGCTAGCACTTCCACACAGTATACACAGTAAGAATCAGCCAGGCTAACACTTCCACACAGTATACACAGTAAGAATCAGCCAGGCTAGCACTTCCACACAGTATACACAGTAAGAATCAGCCAGGCTAGCGCTTCCACACAGTATACACAGTAAGAATCAGCCAGGCTAGCACTTCCACACAGTATACACAGTAAGAATCAGCCAGGCTAGCACTTCCACACAGTATACACAGTAAGAATCAGCCAGGCTAACACTTCCACACAGTATACACAGTAAGAATCAGCCAGGCTAGCACTTCCACACAGTATACACAGTAAGAATCAGCCAGGCTAGCGCTTCCACACAGTATACACAGTAAGAATCAGCCAGGCTAACACTTCCACACAGTATACACAGTAAGAATCAGCCAGGCTAGCACTTCCACACAGTATACACAGTAAGAATCAGCCAGGCTAGCGCTTCCACACAGTATACACAGTAAGAATCAGCCAGGCTAACACTTCCACACAGTATACACAGTAAGAATCAGCCAGGCTAACACTTCCACACAGTATACACAGTAAGAATCAGCCAGGCTAGCACTTCCACACAGTATACACAGTAAGAATCAGCCAGGCTAACACTTCCACACAGTATACACAGTAAGAATCAGCCAGGCTAGCGCTTCCACACAGTATACACAGTAAGAATCAGCCAGGCTAACACTTCCACACAGTATACACAGTAAGAATCAGCCAGGCTAACACTTCCACACAGTATACACAGTGAGAATCAGCCAGGCTAACACTTCCACACAGTATACACAGTGAGAATCAGCCAGGCTAGCGCTTCCACACAGTATACACAGTAAGAATCAGCCAGGCTAGCACTTCCACACAGTATACGCAGGTACACGATCACCCTTATGGATGAAGCCAGAGCTGTCATTAGAGTGAAGCAAAAGGAAGACAAACAAACTCTGAATGTAAAATACTGCTCTCTAGCTGGTCAGTTGTACAGTACATGTAGAAAGGATACGACAATGGTGGTCCATCTTGAGCGTGCACCTGCAATAAGAGACAAGAGACAAGAGGCGATGAAAAACATCAGGAAAGTTGGGTGACTGAATTCATCTTCCAATATAACAATTTCAACAGCAAAGTTGATAACAACTTCTAGGATAACTTGTCGCATGCCAACAGAGTCCCCTTGGATGAACTGCAGCAATGTTCGTCATTATAGGCTAGGTTTGCTGTATTTGCAGAACTGCAGGACACATTTTGGATGCACCCTTTCAGTCTCAAGCTCCCTTGTCCACACCACACTTCAGACATGAGATGTATTGCATCAAAATCAGTTTCAGTGACCAAAGCTTGGTCAAAATCAGGGGTATTAAATCCAGGTGCACAGTTTGCACTCTGACCAATAAGCTACAGAACAAAAAACATGATGGACAAACTACACACACTTGTCCTTTAAGACACACGCACGCAAAGACCTTACACTTTACAAATGGAACAATGGTGGGTGCGGGGCGGTTTCGGCTGCAAGCCTGGAATATAGCAACACATCAAAGTACATAATTATGGAATTGTATTATACACCAGCACACAGGTGCAGAGAGTTGAGTCCTACGGTCAAGCACACAGGTGATGCACGCTGGTTACTAACATACTGCCACGGATCACAGTCTAGATACTTGTGAGTGAAGATAAAAAAACATCTTTCATCAACCAGCCAATGAATTGTTGTCAGCCAGGCTAGAGTAATGAAAATGCCGAACTTAGGATCCACTGGACCAGAACATTTATACAGATTTATAATTCTTTTCTTATTGTCCGCAAACTCCTGTTATAATCCCATATACGTTTGGAGTGATGTTCTTCACAGTAGTTAGAGGGTAAACAAACTGCCGGTAGTGACTGGACTGGGCCCAGGGGACGAGTGGTGGTGGGGCTACTGCTGGTATAAAATGTCACCGAAACGGACACCACGAGGAGCATTTCATCACTTACCCACTATATTGCATAAAGCCTATGGAAGAGTGGATCCAGAAGAGGTTTGTTTGCTTGTTTTGTTTTTACATCCTAGCGTGTTCAAGGTCACTTTCAAGCGCTAGCGGTATTGTACCAGGCTTCAGCGGCAGTGATAATCATCCCAACACAACACAAAGCAAACTTGCAAGATGTCTGCGGATAGAAGAGATGAGGCATTATCATATGCATGTTCTGGAGCTTACACTTCTTGCACCATTTCCAGTCATGGCGTAGGTCTGCTTCATTCGCACCTTGCACCTGAAAAACAAAGAGAACAAGTTCACTTGTCATGGCTGACGGCAGCAAAGACTAAGCGTGTAACATACATTTCACTCAGTCCATTTCCTCTGCCAAACACACCAGAACAATGATCAGAAACAGTCTGGTGGCAGATTCCATACCACAGAATGTGGGCTGGCCATTGGCTATGTCCTTTGGCGATGATACACTTTACTTGTCCTCGCCCACAGAAAAATGAGTTCTCCTCATGGACAGCTTGAAGATGAGCGCCGCTGAAGAGCGATTGACCAAAATTGAAATGACACAGGTTTTAATCCTTGAGGTTCACGGTGCCCCAGCATTTGTCCTTGTCACAGTCAGCAGTTACTGGCAGCCTACTGTGTGGTACTGATCAGGACATACTACTGGTTCCCTTGACTCCACAGCAGTACAAGGACTGGAGACTCGCCAGGAAAGACTCACCCCAGACTATGGTACTCATCTCTAAGCTGCTTGCTATAGAAGAATGATTAATTCACTACATGTACACAGTGGGTTAACTCCATTCGTTGGTGAGTGGCCAATCCCTTTGACCTGGCTAACAAGGATGCAGTATGCTAGCATTGACATACCAAGCAGCAACGCCATGGAAAAGAAGTTCTCTGATCAAACCACAAAATCTCTAACACACCACTCTCAGGCTTCTTGGCACCAATCGGACACGATCGGAATGCCTTTAGTGTAGGTGCAGCAGTATAGATGAAAACTGGCACTCCAGCAGTGTATCTTGACTGACCCCCCCCCCCCCCTCTCTCTCCTGAAAGTACATGTAGTAACCCTGCATCACAGAGAAAGTCTACTTGTACGCCACTAAACCATTGTGCACGCATGGGTGGTCACCCAATGTAGGTCCTGTCGGACTCACGTAAGTAGGTCGGCCAGCAGGAGTCGTCCACCCCTTCCAGTAGTGAAAAGCTATGTTGATCAACAACCAATGAGCCACAGCACTATGCAGCAGTACCACGGGAAGACTATATCGCGCAAGTAGCATCGGCAGTAGAAACAGGTACCAGTTGAGGACTACGCACGTGATGAGAACTATGACTGCAAAAACGAATGCCTGAACACAAACAACACAGAGATAGAACGCACAAGACGCGTGGAGCTGAAGAGAAAATTTCGAGCTCTCAACCTGTCTCAGGTCGGCTAAGTTATGCAATCCAAGGACTTCATGTAATGATACTTTCAGCAAAAGCAGTGCTCATTAGTTGACAAAAACCCTCTCTATATTCACAATTTATCATTTCTGTATTCAGATCCCAAGATAGTGTAGGGTACCGGGTATAGGCAGAAATATTGCGTAGGGAATTTTTTCTTTTTTACCTTTCAAAAGGTTTTTTTCATTCACGGATGAAATTGACCGGACAAACTACTCTTCTGCAGAGCTGGATGACATAAAGCAACGATTTTAAAAGTTTTCTGCATAGACAGTACTAGCTGACAGAGCAGCTTCAAAAGAAACAAAGCAGTGTGCTGTCAATTTCGATGTTTCAAGCATTGCTATATTGCAGCATGATGTAGGCGTTGTTTGTGTGAGCTGCATTTCGGGTCAGTACATCACGATCGTGATCGTGATCGCAAGCTGCATAGAGCATGAATCATGTAGCACTGCGAAATCCAGGCTCAAGTCCGGAATGGCGGAAGCAGTCTTTGATTGGTCCGGCCATGCCATAGTGTTCCATATTTCGTGTACAATACTGTCCCTCCAGGAAATCGCGATTCCACGGATGCAACAAATTTCGCGATTTTGGCCAAAACCCGCAAATTTCTGAAAAGTCCCCGATTTCCCGCGTTTTTTGTTGTTTTCTGCACTTTTCACGCAGCATACAGTGCTTTCTATGATCCTGTACGTGGGTTATTTGCACAGTACGCAAATAGCGATTCTAATGATGCAACAAATTTCGTGATTTGGCCCAAATCCGCAATTTCCTGCCAATAATTCCGCGAGTTCCTGGCAAGTTCCGCATCTTTCCGCATTTTTCGCCGCGTTTTTGTTGTTTTCTGCCGCAATTTCTTGCGCAAGTTTTCGATGACTTTTTCCGCAAATTCCCGCAGGGACAGACAATATGGCAAGTACACCACACATAAGTGACATAACCTCCTCAGCAGTAAACACGCATTGGTGACCAAACAGTTGGTCCGGCCATGGACTGACCAACCGGACCGGTTCTGCCGTTTCTGCACGTGAACGCACATCATTTCAGGTTCTATCGATTCTTGTCGTCTCCTTTAAGTGCACATGCTACGACTCCCTCACGTGAATGCTACAGTTATGCCAGTACTGCCAGCAGTGTCTCACTACTGCGAGAATATCTACTAGTACAGGCAATTCACACCATTCATGTCTAATGACAATTTCAGGACTTCTCAGTAAAGGATGGGAATGTTGGTATTTTGTGATGACAAAAGTGCATGTAAAAGCACAAAAAGTTATCATCGTTCAGTTGTTGAGTGATTACCAAAATCCTCTACCACTTACAGGCCCAGCATATCTCAGTCCGGTACTGAATAATATATTCGCAGGGTACGTCAATGCCGTGAGTACCCATTCCAAATCTCTGTTCGAGTTGTGCAGGTGCGATCGGAAAGTCAACAGCAGTACGCGAGGGTATTGCAAAGACCAACTCAGCCACCCTCGTCGAGCCATTGCTACAAACAATCAGACTAGGAATGGTGATTAGAATCTTCAGCTTTCTTCTACATTTCGTCTTTGGACAAGTAGAGATCTACGAGCATCCAATGTTATGTATGCCACCACACTCCACACTACAGGTTCTCAAAAAACACATATTGACGTGAGATCGCGATCTCGGCATGAGCTATAGCTCAGATCGTGATTTCAAATAAATCACAATCATGTGGCACGGGATTTCCCCGACCGGAGTGCTCAGTCCATTCAAATCAAACTGCAGTGTGCTTTTTTGAAAACACTTTCCGAAAAAATAGTGAACTCTGTGGAAGAGCCAGGCGTGAGGGAGGATAGGAGAAGTACAGGGCAATGGCTTCAACATGACCTCTATCTCTTCTGAGGTTCGCGACATAGGGAGCAATTTGAAACGCTGTCAAACTGCCAGCGACCTTGCTGATGCTCTCTCCCGTGCACAGCATTTGTTGGATGACGAAAACCAAAGTGGAAAAGATGAGTTCCTGTCAAGACATTTTTCACTGTTTTGTCAGACCTATTTATGCAGTGAGAATGTTCTAAGGTTGCTGTCAGAACTGGATTCTCGCACTCTAGAAAGAGGATTCGCAAAGTTCTTCCTCACTGGTCCACAATGCGAGTCTTTCCTGGCGCTCCAAGATGCATTTCAAAAATGCCAGTAAGATCATTTGTTTAGAAAAAAAAACCCTCAGATATGTACAGAATATCACCTTATGTCGTTTCCATCTTGTCTAGAGTGACTTGATTATCTCGTGGCTATTGGTACATGTATATGCTTTACTCATGCGGCATAGCGCGCGTGCGCGGGTGCATGTGATCTCTAGCCAAGGAACAGCAGCGGAACCATGCGTTACACAATACTATTGTGTCAATGCGTATTGTACGCGATCTGTCACATATCATTTATTGGTATATTCTCGAATGCATCATTTCCTTTATTTCAGATCCAGCTTTGGAATCCTGTACATAGTGGAGCTGTTGGAGAGGTTTCTCGGTAGCGAGCGATTAGTCAAGCTGCTCAGTGTATTGGACAAGGCAGATGCTGACAGTGGAGATGCGCTGATGGATGGCAACAGTCACACTAGTCCATCTCTTGTAGTTGACCATACCATAGTTCAGCTATGCAGCCTTCCAGACATTGTAGCCAAGAAACTCGGCGCCCATCACGATCGGTACGTGCTATGGGGCAAGCTGCATGATAACTATAGTGCTGCTCAATGAAATCCAGTCGCGTCACTCAAGTACGCGACAGGCGTTGCACAGCCCTAGACCTGCGAACACTGGACTGCGAAATGGTGCAAGGCGTAAACTTGAGTGATGCGACTGGATTTCATTGAGCAGGACTGTATGTTCAACCTGAATTTCAGTGCCATGTTTCTATTGATACCATAGAATTTTATGATGAATTGAAAACAATGTGTTGGGAGAGTGCCAGCCATGGAATTACACCCCCCCCCCCCCCGCCCCCCCCCCCCCCAAATGACAAATGCGTGTGCTAACAATTAACTTGCAAATGAAAAGGACGGAGACGATTCCTGAAGAGCGTTGTACGAAAACTTGTTAGAATCATAATTATTGTCCTCTTCACTATTTCTTCCTTCTTCCATCGTTTTACTGCACATTGTTTCCATCATTTGACACTGCACGAATAAATACGGTATACAAATGTCGATTCAGCTCATCTTATTGATTGCGGTTTTGAAATTGTTGTCTCCTCGTCGTTTGTTTATCTATCCTATTTATCACCGTTAATTTGATCATCGGAGTATAAGCCAACCCCCCCCCCCCCTTTTGAGGGTGAATTTTGAGTGTTCAAAGTGCAGCTTATATTTCGGAATGTAAGATACATGTTTCCAACTTTCTATTGTTTTCCGTGTGTTGGTGGCTGCAGCTCGTTTTTCTTCCAGGAAAAGTATTTCACCACTTTGGGTGAACGTGTTCTGTCAGTTCTACACTTGGTTTACAAACAGCTGTCCAGTGAGTGCTGTAATATCAACAGTCATTGTATTTATGGTTGATTAATGTGGTGGTAAACACACACCTGGCAATATGGCGGTAAATACACGCCTGCCCACACACGCTCTCTAGGCTGCAAATTTATTCTGGTACAGAGCTCTCCTTCTCACCACCACCACCATCAGTTCGCGCCTGGCGCCTGGTCGATGCATGGTTAGCAGCATTCATTCTCCCGAGTTATTGTATTGGTGGCTAAATGGTTTCAAATTCTAGTCTTACACAGTTTGTAGCAGTAATAAACTATTTTGCTCAGTTCTCCTTGGTTTGTATAAGAAGTATAGTCAGTGTCGCCCATGGAGGTGAAGAACAAGCCCTGATGACCGTTGACCATGCACATCGTTGTTGCCTCCAAACCAGTTACATGTAGCCACACGCCCGCACGGGGGACAACAGTACGAGATAGTGGTAGCGACTTGTTCTATCTCGTCCACCTGCACCATCTTCCTCTTTGCAGAGTCGCAAAGCTGCTCCCTGAAACTGGTGTGCCACTTGGTCAGCAAGGTTTGCCTGCGCGGTCATACAGGTAAGCTCGTCTGCAGTGCCTATGTGCCAGTATGCCACGTGGACCCGGTTAATGTCTTGTGTGTTACACTGTTATCCCATTTGAAAACATTGCCTGCAATACTGCATATTATACTGCTTGTCGGGATGTTTTTTGCCTATAAAGTATACCTTCACTGATGTGCGCATGTGTGTGTGTGTGTGTGTGTGTGTGTGTGTGTGTGTGTGTGTGTGTGTGTGTGTGTGTGTGTGTGTGCCAGCTAGTTCGGTCGGTGGGTACACTTATGCCTGATTGTGTTGGGTCTGTTGCCAACAGGCTCGGCTGCTTGAAGGTGTATTGTTGTATCTGCTACCTTTGTTGGTTTCAGGGTTCGTATACTTTCTATTTGAAGTATACATACCTGTTAACATGGACTGCTTCTGGCTAGATTAACTCTTGTGTAATCAATGGTGCTAGTGAGGCTTAGATCAGATCCACTCTGATTTAGCCACCCACACTAGTAGCAAGTATTACCTTCACTGGGGGCAGGGGTAACTGCAGTCGGATCCCAGGACGGATACCCTGATGCCGTCAATCCTTTTTCTGCACCTTGTCCTCACCCACTTACTAAGGTGTGGTGAGCCCATAAGTGGGATCATTTTCAAGTCCACCCAGAGTTTTGGGGATTTCAGGGGGGTCGGCCGTTGGGCGGTTCAATAGCCAGTTGAGTCATCTTTCCAAGATTCCTTTTGAGTCTCTCTCCCCTCTCCCGGGGAGACCCACGTGACCAGTTTTGGCAGTGAGCAACAAGTACTTCGAGTACAAGTGTGTGTATGCACAATCTGCATGCAGTACAATTTTGTCCTCAATGGACTGGTTAGTGTGGCACACAGAAATGAGGGTTGACCTGATAGGCTGATAAGCAATAGAAAATAAATTCTCAGAGATGAGAGTACTTTGTTAGAGTGCTCAACAAGACAGAATTAGTAAGCTGCATGCAGTGCAAATGGAAAAGCAAAGATACCGCACTATGTGAGAGTTCTCCACCACTATACATTGGGCCAGGCAGGTGGGGAAGTGAAGTACACAGAAGTGCAGTACATCATCACTGTAACTACTGGCTAGTTACTGCAGCATGCATGTAGTATAGTTACTGCTATACATGTAGTATAGTTACTGCAGCATACATGTAGCTCATGTGGCAAGAGATGAACGTACGGTATGCAAGGCATGGAAAGGTGTCAATGAAGGAGCCAGCGGAGAGGTGTGAAATAGTAAACTTACCTCAGCAATATGTGATGTGACAAAGCGAAGACAAGCAGCACGCCATACTGTCATGCGGCTATGGACTTCACACTATGGAGAGGAGTAAGGTGTAACTTCATCAAAGAAAACGGGGCAATGTTTTGGATCTATCTACATAGGTTAGGTTGTTGGTGTGAATATAATTATGCGGAAGTCAACACCTGTAAATGACGATCACAATGCCCACATGGTACAATAACGGCACAGTCAGAAAGGCACTGGTCCTGAGTACATTCAAGACCTGTTGACGAAATTGGGTAGGAATGGGTAGTGTGTAAACTGCAGTTCTATGACAGTGCAGTATAGTGTGGTGCTTGTCTTCATTTTGTCACTTCACATAGCGCTCATGTTAGTGCGTCGGTCTTCTTTACTCTTCCTCGGCTCCTCTTTGACCACTTTTCACGCCTTGTATAGTTGATCTTATGCCGTTGCAAACTGCTTCACTTTATTTTCTTTCCCTGAACCAGAACTGACTACAGTGTATTGACTTTATTAATTTTCTTTTCTCTGTTCCTGGTGTATTTTTCTAGGGAATCTGTTCGGTGCCATTCTGCCTGAGCTATGCTGCAATATGCAGAGCGACTTCCTGTGGCGTCGGATTGGTCACCGGCTTGTGTCTGGTGTTGATGATCGACCACTGGAACCTGTGCTGGAGTACTTCATTACCACGTTTGAGCCGTAAGTGCATGGAGGTCAGTTTGAATATCCATGCACAGTTTTTTTGAGATACGAGTCGTGCATACAGCTTGTTTGTGAAGACGCTGTGTAATAGTATGAGTGCATACCTCCAAGGGTGTGCGGCTGCCTGCACTTTCTCTATCCAGTGCTGTGATGGCAGAGTGTGACATTGCGTGGCATGGTTCAATAGGCTACACTGGCAAAGAGGTACAGCGGTACCACCCGAAAGTTGTATCCAAAGCAGGGTTACGCTATAATAGCCTATTGCATGCAACCATGTAGCTTCCATGCACAGGGTGCTGGTGTGGGAAAAAGGAGAAGGCGAGAGGTTGCCACTGGTCATCCACAAACTGCTGGAGTGCACCGCCAATGCCAGAATTAGAGGCATCAGTCATTAGGCAAATAAGAGCAGTGGGATGTGGATGAGCAAGGAGAGTTGCCTGTGATAGAGCGTCTTTGATGTCACGGAAAGCAGTGATTGCATCATCTGTCCACGACAGTGGCACTGATTTAGGACAGGCAGGATGAGCTTACAGCGATGCATGCAATGGCTGGAGAATGACAGCAGGGTGAGGTATGAAACGATGATAGAAATTCACAAAACCAAGAAAACGACGCAAAGAACGAGTAGTAGTGGGCTGTGCATAAGATTGGATAGAGGACAGATTGCTATTTAAGGGGGTTATACCTACAGGATTAACATGATGCCCTGGAAAATCTAAAGAGGATACAGCGAACTCACTCTTGCTTGGATGGATGACAATTTGTGCTCAGCCAGGCGCTGGAAGACGGCACGAAGGTGTTCCATGTGGCTCTTCTTGTCAGTGCTAGCCACGAGAAGGTCATCGATGTAGTTGAAGCAGAATGGCAGCCCACGTAGCACCTGGTCCATAAAGCGTTGAAATGTCTGGGCGGCGTTCCGGAGACCAAATGGCATCCTGGTAAACTCAAACAGTCCGAAGGGCGTGATGACGGCCGTTTTCGGGATGTCGTCAGGATGTAGCGGTATCTGATGGTAAGCGCGCACCAAGTCCAACTTAGAGAATACTGCACAGCCATGAAGTTGCCCTGTGAAGTCCTGCAGGTGAGGAATGGGGTAGCGGTCGGGGACGGTGGCATTATTCAGTGCGCGATAATCTCCGCATGGCCGCCAATCACCAGAAGGTTTAGCTACCATGTGCAATGGTGAGGACCATGGGCTGCACGAAGGACGAATAATCTCGAGATCCAGCATATGTTGAAGCTCCGCCTTGGCTGACTGGAGCTTGTCAGGTGCTAGGCGGCGAGCTTGAGCGTGGACCAGGGGGCTTGGTGGTCACATGATGAACACCTGAGTGCCGGGGCTCTTGTTACTAGTCTTGTACTGTGGAGAACGGACGAGTAATGCCAGAAAACTCAGTGAGCAGCTCTTGGACAGGATGAGGTGCCGACAGGAGGTTATCAACAGGACGCACAGGAGAAGCGGTAAACATGGTGTGTGCATTAGTGGAAATATTCGTGAGGCAATCAACCATCTTACCACGAATATCGACGAGCAGGTGATGAGCATGGAGGAAATCTGCTCCTAGAGTAGCCTGTTCCACCTCAGCAACCACAAAGACTCACTGAAACCGGCACCGGTGCCAGAGTCCCAAGTCAACAGTAACACTACGGTGTCCTTATAAGGCATCGTGCAGCACTGTGCTTTATCACCAAATCGGCGGTGGTAGAAACAGAGAGTGTCGTCAGGCGCTAGGCTGGTCCTTCTGTGGCCGTCGTGGAGATTTGCTATGGCCATGCCCTGGTGATCGGGATCGACCACGGTGCTGGGACAAGCTGGCACGGTCCAGTTGTTGACGCAGAGAGGAAATTTTGGCCCGGAGTTCTTGCAGTTCCATGGACGCGTCAGGGCTGGGTGTTGCAGGCGTAGCGACGACTTGATTTAGGGCAGGCAGCGGAGCGCTGGCGATTTCCATTAAAGGGGAAGTATACCCTAAAATCAAATTTTCACCAGTTGTAGTCTTCGGGGTGCTGAGTCGAATGGTCTTGGTCCGAGGAAGCTGAGACGCTCCCTTCCTACTTGAATCCCAATCGAACTCGCGCACTTCCACCGAAACTGGGTGACTGCGCCCTACTAGATGGGGATTTGTATGCAAAATGTCACTAAAAGCGCCATTTCGTTCTTATAAAAGCACGGATGACCGCGATTGGCCCATATGTTGTAGTCTTTTGGACGCTGAGTCGACTGGTTTTGGTCCGAAAAGGCTGCGATGCAGCGTTCCTCCTTTATTCCCAATCGAACATGGTTGAAGAAGCGGTCACGTGCTCGTGCGTACACCAGTCGCCTGGTCACCGTGCCTGCAGGGTACAACTTACTAGCCTGTTTGACCTTTTTTGGGTGCAGTCCTGTCACTCGAGTTGAACTCGAGTTGAACCTTGGTGTGAAAGTTGTCGCCTGCTGGCGCGGTGACCAGGTGATTTGGGCACCCAGGAGCACGTGACCGCTTCTTCAACCATGTTCGATTGGGAATAAAGGAGGAACGCTGCATCGCAGCCTTTTCGGACCAAAACCAGTCGACTCAGCGTCCAAAAGACTACAACATATGGGCCAATCGCGGTCATCCGTGCTTTTATAAGAACGAAATGGCGCTTTTAGTGACATTTTGCATACAAATCCCCATCTAGTAGGGCGCAGTCACCCAGTTTCGGTGGAAGTGCGCGAGTTCGATTGGGATTCAAGTAGGAAGGGAGCGTCTCAGCTTCCTCGGACCAAGACCATTCGACTCAGCACCCCGAAGACTACAACTGGTGAAAATTTGATTTTAGGGTATACTTCCCCTTTAAATTGTCGGCGAGGGAGGCCTGCTGCTCCAGAGACAGTGAGGACCATGCGCACATGAGGCAGAAGACGCTGCAGAAACAGCTCCTGGAGCACTGCAGACTCCACAGTATAGGTACCCTGCAGCTGGCGAAGATGCCGGAGGAACTGGGATGAACGGCGATCTCCGAGTTGTGCCTCCGTGAGTAGCTGTCGGATGCGCTTCTGCTCGCTGGCGCACAAACGCTCAGCGAGGTGACGTTTCAAGTGGGCGTAGGGCCGCTGATTTGGCGGTTGCAGTAGCACATCTCGCACCTCATGAGCGAACTCATAAGATAGCGAGCTCACCACGCATTGGTACTTAGTGTTTTCCGCGGTGATGCCCTTTATGGAAAACTGCGCTTCTACCTGCGTGAACCAGAGTTGTAGATCGTTTGGCCAGAACGGTGATAGTTTGACAGAAACGCTGGTTACTGCTGCTGGTGGAGGTGCTGGTAAAGGTTCTCCATCAGTGGCATGGGGACTGGACGCAGTGGACTGGAGCGGCGTATTGGAAACGGCTCCGGAACTCAGCGGACGTCAACGTCCGACAGAGGCAGGGGACGAACCAGCGTAGACATAGTAAAATACGGCATATTCAAGGTCACCAATTGTGGGAAACTTCGGAAAGCATGCAGATTCCTCACATACAACACCACACGGCACAGCAAGCCAGAATTACTGAAGTTCAGAGAGAAAGAATGACAACCGTCTTCTAACAACCAAGGGAAGAGAAGCACTTCTTGTCGAAGGGAAAATACAGAAAAAGGAAGAAAGCCGAAAATGGGTACGCGACGTAGGGAAGTACAACTTTATCGTACCACGCAATACGGTGTGTGAGAACCCCGCTCGCGGGTATGCGGGATCGGCAGAAACTAGAGTAGAGTGATTGTGGATACCGTAGTGTCTTGTATTAAAGCCTGTCTCATATAGAAGCCTGTTTTGAATAGAAGCCTGGTTTTCAAGATACACTGTTAATGGCACATAAGCCTGGTTTTAATGTTGACATACAGTAAAACCTGTCACGGCGACCACTCGAATAAGGCGACCACCTGTCCCAGAAGACCACTCACTGCAGCCAGGACCAAGGGATGCTATTTCCAGTCAAATGACTCTGGATAAGGAGACCACCTGGTTACAGAGACCACACTTTGAAGGTCCCTTGAGCGGTCGTCTTAGACAGGTTTCACTGTACATAGAAGTACCTGTCTTGTATAGAAGCCTGTCTCATATAGAAGCCTGTAAAATTACTCCCCCCCCCCCCCCCAAAAAAAGTCATATAAGCCGCGGGCTTTATACACGACTTTACGGTACACGGGACCAACAATAAGAAAGGGTCAAGACTCCAGGGTACAAGTTGTGATTTTAATAGACAAATGTGACGGAATGTCACGAGGGGTTTGGAGTGGATATACTACACAGGTAGGGTTTATGTGTTTGTCATGTGAAGTGAAATTCTTCCATCACAGACTTCATAGAGTGCAACTGCACACTCCTGTTGGCATGTTACAATGTACTCAGTACTCTTAGTAATAGGACCAGTGATTGATTTGCTGCCCTTAACCATCTTCTTGGATGTAATTTTCTTCTCTTATAATAAAAGCTCTTGCTCTCTTGGTTGGGTCAGGCCCATTACACTTTGAGATATGGGAAATGATATAGAAAACCGTCCTTGCGCGTTCCCTTTGCTCTGGATATGGCTGCGTATGAATACCTGCAGGAATGGTGAATTATTGACTGCTATCTCCATTCCTTCTGGATCTCTGTTTGGAGGCAAGATATCACACAGTTGTCCATTCCTCTTATTGGGTATTTTCCTTCTCTTTTCGTATCTTAAATGTGCTCTGTAAGATCACTGGTGGAGGAAGGACCACTGCACTGGCTTCTGGGTGATTCCATTGCTGACCGGGCTCACATCTGCTACCTTCTCACGAACAAATTCCTGTACTCCCGCTATCACTTCTCAGTAAGAACTCTGTCAGTGCGTGCATGCATTGGTATAATTATATTTATATTCCTTCTCTTCCTTTGTCAGTTCACAGCGATTTTTACTTCGTTGAATGCAATACAAGTACATATATACATGTATCTGCACATTTGTCTGCATTGTTGGAAGCAAAGTTGAATTCCGGTGGTGCTGTTAGGGAACTCATGAAGGCTAACATTCCGGTGCTGTTAGGGAACTCATGAAGGCTAACATTGTAGATACATGTATTCGTTGGTTTTTTTCTCATCGTTTGCATGCGTGTGTGTGCGTCCGTGTGTGCATGCGTGTGTGCATGCGTGTGTGTGTGCGTCCGTGTGTGCGTCCGTGTGTGCATGCTTGTGTGTGCATCTGCTTCTGTGTGCATCTTGTTGTATGTGCATCTGCTTGTATGTGCATCTGCTTCTGTGTGCATCTTGTTGTATGTGCATCTGCTTGTATGTGCATCTGTTTGTGTGTGCATCTGCGTATGTGCATCATTGTTTGTTGGCACGTCGCCGCCATTGACTCTCTGCAGCTAGCAGCTGTTCAGAATCTATTTTCTCTACTTCACCATGCCAAGAAGAAGACAAGGGATAGTCTTTGTCAGAAGGTACACCCTCTGTGCTTATTGATGGCTCTATGCAGGACATGCTTATTGATCGCTCTATGGAGGACATGCTGATTGGTACTCTATGCTGGACATGCTGATTGGGCACTCTATGCAGGACATGCTGATTGGTCACTCTATGCAGGACATGCTGATTGATGGCTCTATGCGAGACATGCTGATTGGCAACAGTTCAGGTTCATGTTTTCCCCATGTGCAGTATTCTGCAACAGTCCTTTCGAAAGGCCCCTACTGGCAACCCGCTGTAGTTCACTGTCTCTTGTCTTTGCAGACCAATTAGTGGGTTACTTGGTCTGATTGGGGTTGCTGACCTACATCAAACAGAAGTCATCTTGCAACTTGGCAGGCCTGTACTCTCAACTTCAAATAGGGGTCGTCCGTAAAATAGGGATACTTTTCAGGCAGTTCACTTCCCCGACTGATCCTTTGAATTTGAAGTTCTCCTAATGCTTTCAAAACAATTTAATATCTAAATCAAAACTTTATAATGGGAGGAGGGGGCGAGGAATTCGAATGCTTGCTATTCGTCAGTGAGCTGAAACAAAATATCAAAGTACTCTGGAAAAACATAAGTAAATGCAATGATCAGCATTGGTGTGTGTGTGTGTGTGTGTGTTTGTGTGCGCGTGTGTGCGTGCGTGCGTGTGTGCATGTGTGTGCATGTGTGCGTGCATGTGCATAATTATGACTGTGCACTCTGTACAGGTGTTTGCACGGACCCTAGACATCTGGTGTGATAACAACAGTGTACAGCACACGTCCTATGAACAACATCGTCACCTGACCAGGGCATTACTACTCTCAGTCACACGGCTGGATGAGAAATCGTTGGACCCGATCAAGCCAGGTATGTCCCTTCTGAATGTAGTGTGCACTAGAATGTGTAATGTGTTTTGGAGGGAGGGAGGGAGAGAGAGAGAGTTTGATATGGGGCTTTTTATGAAGGATTTTGGCAGGAGGAAGTTTTATGCGAGAAAGTTTATGTCCCTACGAAGTTACTCGTATGGACCCTACAGATTAGTAGTAAATACTAGGCTTTTTGCTAGTATGAATTAGCGGACCGAAAGAAGATGGTAATAGCTAATTAATTCCTACAGATTAGTAAAGATGAAGACTGGGCAAGTCGAGAGCAGAGTCCTTTGCTGCGGGGTCGTGCTGACACCGACTTTTGACAGCCGGTGGAGTCTATCCAGGAGCTGCTTTGGAAGGCTGGAGAAGTAGCAATTTGAGCCATATGACAGATGAGCCTGTATCATACTCTCATACGAGACCTGGCGGGTCCTTAGGGTTAGGCCTGCCATGTCGCCATAGCTGGCTCGTTGCCTGCCCGATCTTCAGTGTGATATGGCCAACATGTGCCTGCCAGGAGAGATCACTGTCGACGGCAACACCGAGGTGTTCTTGCGGATGTTGCTTCCAGCCGACAGACGTGCAGACTTACTTGGGAGAAGTATCTGAACAGTCTAGAGCAATGTCATCATCAAATTCCTGATTTGCCGCATCCGGAGGTAACACGGCATGAGCTGATTCCTGACACATGCTTCTGTAATGCGGGAGATAACTGGAAGCAGTGACACAAGGTGGTAGTTCTTAGGCAAAATTGGGCCTCCACTCTTGAAAAGCGGACTGACGTTGGACAACTAACGTGTTACTGAAAGGACATAGGAGATTCACCAGAGGACATAGATTATGTTGATGATGGGTGTATGTATGGGGGCAATGGCTAGATGACACTTGTAGGGATGGTACTTGGAATTTGGTCGCTGCCCGTTGCCTTGACAGGGTTGATAGATTTCAGACTGTTTACCACATCCTCGGCCATTACTGGGAATTCATCTCAGAGCTGGATCGACTGCTACTGACAAAGTGTACGCCACAAACGTGTGAGTTTGGCGTTGGCTGCACGTTCGGCTTTGGTATTACCTGCAGCCTTTTCTTCCTCAGATCCGAGTCGGCCGTGAGGCGATGGAACACAAGGATTTACACGCTAGCTCGCAGTTATGCAGCCTTTCCTGTCTAAAGTTGACTGGCACAATCTTCTCTTCATGTGGAACTTTCGTCCAGTTTTCGTCACTCTCAACCAAACCCCACTTGCATCGATCTTTCCTGTTGGGGAAGAACGGTACAATGCAGCTGGCATGACCCGGCATCCTTTCTGAGACTATATTAAAAACTGGCAGAAACAAGGCGATGAAGAAGGACCTTGTAGCTACGAAAGCAACAATCTGAAATTTCCCATCCGCAGCAATACGTCTACAGTACAAATAATCACTACACGTGGGAGGAATAACAAAAGTGTCCCCGCAAACTTTTTTTCGCACGGTTTGAATGCATACGGCCTATTGATCATAATACGAGCTGTGACATAGTCAGGCCTGCTTTTTTCCGGAATATCTTTTTGTACTCGTGCACAACAACATTAGCACCTACAGTGGCAGCTCAGTGCTTCCCAGAGGCCACTAAGCCGGATTCATTAATCTTACGCCGGAGTTGTCCAACAACGAGGACATGCTTCCACGCCGCAGCAGGTTTCCTTGAAGTTACTTGCTCCCAGTTAGTGTCATCACGGACTGGTTCAATATCAAAAACAGGCAATTGATCTGCAAGGGAGTTGGAGGGCATGCCATCTCTGCCGTCAGTGAGCTCCTTCACTTGCTCATCAAAGTGTGGTGCGCCCATTGTGAACTCTCCCAGCTTACATGCACCGGTACTTGTACCGCTACTATACGATATAACCAATCCAGCGTGGGGATTGCCCCAAAATCTACACTTGGGGAGACATTTTAAAAACTTTGCATTACATTACATTGTGCAGTATAGAAATAGGTGCAGTTTTTCTCATTTGATGGCATTGTGTCCTTTTGCAGCTGCTGGCCTGGCTTAGGTATGACTGCTTGTGTAGTACCTCTCAACTGCCTATCTACATGCACGTGCATCTGTCTATGCTGGTGCACGCATGTGTGTGTGAGCCTGTTGTGAGCCTGGCATGAACCTTACCGTATGTCAGCGCCTTTAAAGCCATGGCCTTATATTCGAAACACCGCTGCTTTCCTAGATATTTTAGATGCAAAATGACTCACCCACTACGCCATGCCATAGAAGTCAAAGCCCACACAGAAATTTCAATCTAAATCTACTTGTTCACCCTTCCTGCTGGGCTGTAAGTTTGTTAGCATAGTACTTATTCCTTCTTTTTTTGCAAAACATACTTCAAATGTCATTTCATTTATGAAGCCCATGGCTTTATAACTGAGACTGGCTTTATAATCGAATATACTGGCATGGCTTTAAAAAGGTGCGGACATACGGAATGTATAATTATTATAATGGTCTACCTATGTGGATGATGCTTGGGCAATATTGTATCTTTGATCATTGTTTGATTGCAGATTGTATTGCGAAGCTTTTGGATGGCGTCCAGGTCCACCTGAACAGCCCTCTGAAGCAGGTACGCCGTGCACTTGTTCATGTGTAGTCTGGGGGCCAGGGGGGTTATTTTTGAAGTTTCGTTCCGGGTAAGAGGGCACCAAGTTTTTTTTCGATTTGAATGTCAAGTATCTTCAAAATGCTGCAAGATGGTATGCCATTCAATCAAAATTTCCATCGGGAAGGTCATACAATGAGGTGGAAAGAATTGATGATGGTTGCCATGGCAACAAATCAGTAATTCAAATTTACAGGAGAACTATGCGATATTTTGACAAAATTCCTGCTGGATATAAACACATCCAATACGTATGACTAGTTGGCCAAGTTTGACTGAAAACAAATAAACTTCAGGGCCTCAAAGGTGAATTATAAAATCGGATCTACTGCAACTATACATTACTGTACATACGTAATTAAATATGCATGCATACACCGACAACTGTGCAAATATATTGGTGACCAGTGTACATGTGACATCTATAAAGCCTATTAGAAAAGAGTTAGAAATGAATAGAGCAGTCTGTGACCATTGGTGATCTAATAGGGTATTCACACGACAGGCACTTGCACGTTTTACAGGGAGTGATATACGAGAAAAGTGACTGTGTGGATTCACACCGCTGCACTCGACGACAGGCACGTTTGCATTTTTGAATGCTTCACCGACCAGTAGCCATGGGTATTTCAAATTTTCAAAACACGCATATAATAATTATCATGTTGAAAAGAGCCGCGTAAAAAATCAAGTCTGGTTTCGCGCTTTTTTGGTGTAAATGTACTCGTGCACGCAACGATTATCGTGAAAGTGGGCCCCCAGCTCGCTTGCACTTTTCAGCCACTTTCAGCCACTTTTCTCGTTCACAGGTAAAATACCATAGCAATGTTCCGGTGCACGTGGATTTGCCTGTCGTGTGAATACCCTATTATGGATATACATGTACATGTATGTATGTATGGCGAAGAGGAAAATGTATGTACAGGCAATGACGCAACACTATCTGCAAGGAATGCGATACAGCTAAGGAAGTGTGGCATGAACACATAACTGGGGACCACACTCGTGTTCAGGAAACAGAACAAATGGCAAGTCGTGCATTGCATTGTCTATGACTCTTCAAGCCCTGCCAGGTTGGCCAACTTGAAGTCGGCTCAGACTCAGGACGACTCTTCATAGTGCAGTTACTTGTATTAATCCGCATCCTCGTTTGTTATTCCTGCTGGCACAGTGTCCTCTTGGCAGTTAGAACATTCAACCACAGGAGCACCATGCGTGCAGTTGCAGACATCAGTGCACAACATGTTATGGCGACGACATGAGCAACGTCCATCCTTGCAACCGCTTCTGCAACCACAACTTAGAAACTGAAGGAGAGCCACTTGAGCGAATGGATTTTCCGATCGTTGAACAGCAAAACCTCCAAGCTTCAAGTACTTGTCGGCATCAGGATGAGTTTGATATAGTTGTGTCATCTGGAGCCAGCAGAGTGACATAAATCGAGCATAATTATGCCGGTCATACGAAAAGCACCATGGCAGAATTTCATGAATGCAGGACAGATGAAGCTTCCAATCAGGTGATCGACTGGACCGGATAAAGCGGAGGAGCAGCTGTACCATGTCGATGTAGGACGACCAGAACTTGAAGTTTGGCAGTACCTTCGCTTTGTTCTCACAGAACAGGACATACTTGTTACGCAGCTCTCCGAAGACTGGTGATTGGAGGAGATTGGACAGGTTGTCGCTGGAGATGCATCTCTAACTCAAGCAGGAGATTGTTGAGACTGGACAGGTTGCCAGGAATGCCATTGTCATCTGCCTTGACAAACTCTTGCCAGAGCATTCGATCAAATGCCTCTGCAACCGTCTTGTGATAGTGCACTGCACGGTTGTAGTGCTTGCCATCCAAGGCAGCTGATGCAGCAGCAGCTCCACTGACACCTGATTCAACTAGGATGTCGAAGAGGCCAGCATCGCGGAAGCGTTTGCCGATAACTGCAAGGAAGGTGCAGCAGATATGGAATGCTCCCAAGTGAAGGACAACGGAAGAAAACTCATCTAGTCGCTGGATGACAATGTCCATCGCTTTGGCATAGATAGCCTGGTCTAGGACAACAACCGTGAATCCAAGGCCAACGCTTTCTGAATGGTCCAGGCACTTACGCAGAATTGCGTGAACAGTTGACATTTCTGTTGGTGATGAGTCAATTACAGGACAGTATCCAATTGAACTCTTTTCAGGAGCACAAGACTTTGCCACCAACGCGTTGAACGCTGTCCATGCTGGCACAGACTGAACAGAACTGCTGTCACTGATTGATACCAGGCAGGGCTCACTCGCCTGTACGACTTGCCCTGGCGAGCATCCAAGCAAAGTCAATTTGCTGTGCATTGTCTGCGGAGTGTCTGGACGGGACAAAATCAGAATCATCCAGAGCAGGCATAGGCCTAGGGTTTGCTTTCGCAGGACACACAAAGTCTGGCAGTACTTCAGGTTCGAGGACAATGGAGCGCTTGCGCTTTCAGCCTTTTCCCGGGGGCAGAAGAGGCTGAGCCTGAGATAATAATGGAGGCGAAATGGTCTGCACACCATCCAAATGAGGCTGAACAATGATGGTGTTCGTGCAGTGCATAGTGCCTTTTCCACTAAGCGTTTCTTTGTTTAAATCGTTGTTGTCAGCAACATAATAAAACGGCTTTGAACGGCTGATGGCACTTGGAATAGCGTGGGCGTTACCACCTTCACGGACCTTCTTCTCAGCTAGCAGTGTCTCACGCTCCAACACCTGTCAGTATGCAATAGAATGTCCTAGACGGTTCAGCATGGTAATCAGCATGGTAATCAGCATGGTAATCAGCATGGTAATCAGCATGGTAATCAGGAGCTTGCTACAAAACACGTGATGGAGAGCCATGGCAAGGACAATATGCTTAACAGGAACAAAGTTCGTGGCAACAAACACAATGTCCTGGCCGATGGAGGTAACATAACGTTGTAGCGCAGCGTCCTCAATCCGCACCTTCTCGCTTACTATGTCCATAGCGCACTCTGTGTTCATCGCCCACACCAGGAAGTTGTGCAACAAACCAGGAACAGACTTGGCGCCTTCGTCTGGTGTCAACGCAGTAGGTTCACTTTGATGCTCCTTGTCCATGGCAGCAGCATGGTCGGACATCTTGTTACGCAGGATTCTGGCAGCATGATATACAATGCGCACTTCCTCCATTGCAACCAGCCGCTCATGTCTCCGTGTGGATGCAGCAGAACTGGAGTCATTATCATTGTGATTTGATCCAGAGTACGACTCAGACTCAGACTCCTGCTCCTTGCTGGTCTGGCTGAACAGGTTTGCAATTATCTGCTGGGAATGCTCCGTTGCATACACGATTTCAGACTCCTGGTGTAGTCACCATAGCACAACTTATGATAGTGCACTTCTCGCGCGATAAGGCTGCTCACAGAGACAATAGTGATCAGCATTTCCTCGTCCTTTCGAACGATGGCTGTGTGTCTCAACTTGGCTTCCGCTGCATCCGTTTCCATTTGAGATGTCTTCTGCATCGTGTTTTTCTTGGGCAAACGCTTCTTCAGTTGCTTACAAAAAATACAAATCTTGCTGCGAGGTCCAAACTGAGGCACGGAAACACTTTGACGCGTACTGCGCCTGCTCGACGCATCTCCATGACTCTCAGCACTCATTATTATTATTATTACTCTTTACCTGTACTTCATGGCTGGGAACAGCGCTGAATTCTGTCGTCGTGGTTATCGCCATCGACAAGAGTTTTATTGTCTTGTCAGAGATGAAGTGTAGCTCTGCACTACTAAAAATTCACTGACAAAAGCAGCCGGAAAACTGGTCTCTACTCAAAGAGATATGAAGAGAACTAGATAAGTGCTCTAGGTCAACACGGAGCCAGAATATTAGGCATGTTCAAGTGTACAAAAGATGGACACACTGCGAGCTATACAGTACAACCAGAACTCAACCACTTGGCGCAGCGTCTTCATCTTTTATTTCTCGCCACGTGGTGTTTTTTTGAAACTGAGAGCTTTTTACGCATGCTGAGTGTTTCTCCTGAGATGCACTGTTCCGATGACATTTCGCCGATGCATGGTCGATGCACGTCATTTAGGCGTCAATGGCGGCCAGGAAAGATGATCGATTTCGATGCCTTCCTGGGCGATTCACGGACATATTTTTCTCTTTTCATGTAGCACCATGGTCTACTTCCGATCTAGAAATTTTTTTCGGTGCCCCCTCACTCGGAACGAAATCTATTAGACGTGACTTTTTCCTGATTTGGCCCCCGGACTAGTGAACATTAATTTTTTTTATTCCACACCCCAAGGCAAGAAAGACCAACCAGATGGGGAGGGGTGGATGCCAACCACGGCCAAGAGATACTGTTTACGCTAAGCATTCGGTATTCATGTTGTATGTAATGGTTGTTCTGTGCTTTGGAACTGAACTGAAGAGTGCACAGCCCATGCATGCTTGTATAGAATGTATCGGTGTCGGTGCTGTGCAGCGCAGGTCATATGCGAGCACGGTGCACGCAACGTTGCGGATCAGCAATGTATGCTAGGGGTGAACGAGTCCTTTGAAGCCTTTGCTAGGTTCTTGGATGGTTATAGATCTTCGTGTTATCCCTAGTTGTTAATGCAATATCTGCAGACTGCACAACTAGCGGCTCATGTCTGGTACAGTGCCTGTTCTGTCTGCTGACGGCTGCTCTTGTAAACAAAATATCTGTACTTTTGTTTGCCTTTAGACACGTCAGCTGGGAATGACAACAGCAGAACTGCTGACAGACAAGCTACAGATGTCAATTGAAAGGCTTCAGTTTGAAGTGAGTTTTGGCTTTGGTAGTGCTCGTGTGTGAGCAATATTGACTGAATCGTATCCACGTTGTACTGTCTTGTCTCGAAGAAGGATAATTGAATATGACCTTGATCAAAACCTATTTGAAGTTGTGGTGTAGTATTTTGAATTCTTTATTCTCACGAAGGCACCGTCGCCAATAAGAGATAGTAGTATTTCTATTTATTGTTTTGTCGCCTTGCCTGGATTCGGGAGAGCATTGAAAGTTGGAATGTGGAACTGGGAAGTTGAATGTGAGAAACGAAATGCAGCTGACCTCAGTAGACTATGTATGCTTCATTAGCACAATCTGCATGGCTGTTCTATGATTGGTTGGTTGGTTGATAGGACAAGGTGAGGTTGTTGCAGGTGAGGAGGAGTGAGGTCACAGAGCATCTGGTAAAAGGAGAGCGATCGCTCTCGCGCGCCTTCGCTCTCCTTATTTTTCATTTTGGGCGCACTTTTCGTCGCGCGCCTTGAGAATTTCGAGCGCATCCACATCACTATGAAGTGCATTCTGCAAACACTCTAATATTTCGTAACTCGGCTTTCCCTGAACGGAATTGAGTAATCGAAAGGTCTATTCGCATTAGAAAGTTTTCAGCTGTCGGCTCCAACAAATCCGAAGGCGATTCGAGGTCGAAGAGGGGAGTTACGGCACTTGCAAGGTATTTTACTTCTCGCTCCACATATACTGGCATACACAGAGACATAGACAGCAATAGCTACAACACACAAAGTGAAGGGTAGTTGGCCGCAGCCAGATGTGAACCGGATAACGAGTGAGGTATGGAAGCAAGCAAGGACTGAGAACAGAGTGTCTCAGAAAGAATAGTCGTGCCAGTGGATAGCAGAAATAGGCCATGATGCAGAACCACTTGGGACCGTCAGATTAATTTTCCTGGACCGAGCCAGCCGGGAAAAAACCCTCGCGCCGACGGACGCATTTGTGAGGGAAAAAACCGGGTGTATATCCCCAATGGCGATTAGGCATCATGTAGGCATGGCAAGCACATCACGGCAAACAGTGATAAAAAGCATTGATAATATGCACAGAAATAAAGGGTGGGAGGGCAGGGACACTGGTGAGACTCAAAACTGACTGAAGAAGTCAGGAAAAGAAGCGACAACAAAGAACACACCAGATGCCATATTTGCAACTGAAAAATATTTCGCGAGAAATCATTTCTCGCCTATCTCGCTGCGCTCGGCCGGCGAGAAATACAACGTCCCGTCGCAAATTTTCACTTCCGCATTTGGGTGGCAATCATAATTTTGACATAAAGGGTTTCCCTCTGTTGCGTGAGATGTCGACAGTCGAGTCCGGGCATGCATAGACCTGTGTGACGTCAGGCACATGTCTTTAGCGGTCAGCTGCAAAAGAAAGGAGCGCTCTACGAAGAATACTACAAAAAATACCATGGATAAGAGTACATAACTACACAAGAGTGTGCAACTCCAACGCGTGTGTGGTTCATCCGAAATCCTAGTTCAACTGCATGGTGGGGAACTAGACTGGCGCCAGACGCGCTAGAGTGAGGCCGAGGGCAGAGTTTCGCGATGGGGAGATTCGATTTTAACTGACTGAAACCGGCCAAACACGAAAAAGCCGTGGAACCGGAAAGGAAATGGTGGAAAACTGCGCCACTTTTCTGTTCTTTCTTTTTTCACTGACGCGCGACGCGACGTGTCCTTCGTGTTGAAGAAACATGTCCAAAAGGCAAAATTGATTTATTATTTCTTGTTGAGAACTGTTTCAGGAAGGAAGAGTGTAGTGAGGGAGAATGGAGACTCCTGCTTCAGGACTGGACGCTACTCTTCCTGTTTTTCTTTTCTTTTTGCACGAGGCAAGATGAAGGCCTGTTTTTTAGTCTCTTCATCTTCTTCCTCTTCTTGATCTTCTGCTCACTTTGTTTTCCTTCAGAAGTAGTTGATTAGTCGTGTTGGTTTTTAGTTTCCTGCTGAAAGAATGGATATTGCAGGCTCTATCCTATCTCTTCAAGAAGTCCTTGACATGGAGGATAAGCTGCTGGTATAAAAGACACAGCACTGCACTATAATCGCCCTCATTTTCCAGTGTCTTGACCTTACCTGATGAGAGTTATTTTACTCGAAACAGCTGTCGTAAGGAACTATTTCCAGTATCGAGCAAATTGATAATGTCCTGCTGTTGGTGGTGGTGTAAGAGAGTTTGTGTCGGCGTAGAGCGCATGTTTGGTGGTGGTGTAGAGAATATTGACTACTAGTATGCTCAAGAGTACATAACTAGACTGTCTAGTTATGTACTCTTGGTATGCTTCGTATCTCTTGCTTTTTTCATGCAATTTTTCGTTCCTCTTGCTGTGTGCGTACGGGCGGATGAGGCAAATAATTGTTGCCTGAACAGTCTACACAGTCCTAATGATGAACTTGTGCCCAGCAAAGTGAAATTCTTTCCTGCTCAAAGCACATTGCACGCATGCATGGAGGCCCAGTGTGCGGACGAACATGTAGACAGCAGCACAAGCCATTGTCAAGTGGTCTCTTAGGTCTGAAGCACACACCACAGACCAACATCTGGGGAAAAAAGGACCAACAGGTGGCCAAAGATGTCTGCACTGAATCACATCTGTTTCATAGGCCAATTTTACAAAACAGATTAAAATTGTATCAGGTAGTCTGGTCACGACATGATTATGAGCTTAGAAGTATGAGCAGCCCAATCACAGAAGGCAACACAAAATTCCCAAAATACACTACAAACATGCACGTAACATACAAGGGGCTGCTAGTCCCAAATAAATAATCAAGAAGCAATAGCTGCAGAGGGGCTGGCAGTCCCAAATAAATAATCAAGAAGCAGTAGCGGCAGAGGGGCTGGCAGTCCCAAAATTTAATAAATAATCAAGAAGCAGTAGCAGCAGAGGGGCTGGCAGTTCCAAAATTTAATAAGTAAGCAAGAAGCAGTAGCAGCAGAGGGGCTGGCAGTCCCAAAATTTAATAAGTAAGCAAGAAGCAGTAGCAGCAGAGGGGCTGGCAGTCCCAAAATTTAATAAGCAAGAAGGCAAGCCTTGACAGCAACACAGGGGCTGGCAACAAGCAAGCAGACGAAACCAAACTATGGTGCTCTATTTCCGAAGGAGTGGGACATCATGAAGGTCCAATGCAGTGTCACGGTAGTCTTTGTTGGACGGATGAGGGGGAAGGAGACCACGCTGAAGAGTGAGCGTCGCTCGTGCACAGCGTTGCTGTGGAATAGTTTACCGCAGAAAGACGCCCTACAGCAGCTTGCTTGAGCTGTGCAAACACTGTCTCGACCGCACTGCCGGTAACTCTAACAGGAACAATGTAGTAGTCTGGATGACGGCCATTGAAATCTGCACACAGTTCAGTGAAGCCGAACATCATCAAGCGGAGAAGGTCCCATGTCTGCCAAGCTAAGAACATAGTCTGCGAAGGCCTTGAGAATGATTGGTTTGGATGAGACTTCTTCAACTCGATCAGCCAGTCGGAGAAGAACTTGTATCCCTCCTGCATTGAAAGTAGAGGAGCTGACTGGCTACTACAGATGCGTTGGTGTGAGAGTGCTCCCTCTTCAAATACTTTGTTGCAAGCTTGGAGGTACGCAACCGTTGCCTGCACACTGGAAGCATTGCTTGGAGCTGGGGACTCAGCACAGTGTGACTTCAACTCCGTAATGACAAGCTCCTGCTGCATCAATTTAGCAGGGTACACGTTTAGCTTAGTCCACGCATCACGATGAACATAATTCTTCCTGAGGCTCGGTACATCTCTAGGTACACCTCGATTCTGGCGATCACGTTCCCGGTCATACAAGTCAAAGATACTTTGCCAACCAAAGGGCACACCATCTCCAGTCACGAAGCTCTTAGCACCACCTTGACGGGATGAATACAGCGCATTGATCATGTTCTTAAGCTGATGGCTAGGACACACCACGAAGGAAAGCTTGTGTTTGCGCCAGTAAGGGTGATCAATAGAAGCGTTAATGCGATGATCATTGCCTTCCGCCGCAAATGCACCATGAACTCCCAACATAGACTTCACCATCGACAAGTTAGTCGCAGCACCATCGAACACTGCTGCAATTGCCTTGAACCCAAAGCTATGCAGGAGTTGCATAGATTGCAGAAAGCAGGCCATCGTGAACTTGGCATCCAAAGACGTGGAGGAGGTATAGTACGGGCCAAATACATCAAAATTCGACGTCAAGTCTCGCCAAATGACCTGCAGCACATACTCTGTGCGATTAGTGTTGTCAACACTGCCAAGCTCATAGAAAATATCATTCAGAGACGCCATATCTTCATCAGTCATGGCTAGGCCGTATATCTCTTCACTCTTGCTATTCCATAGGACCTTAGAGACGACTTTCACCTCATCAAAGATGATCAGCCCTTCACCCAAGGGCTTCAGGCTTCCGCTGGCTTCACTTCGCTCCTGGTGCTGTTGGTAACGTTGCTGTTGGTAGTGAATACCTTCCTCACACCACCCTGGCTTGTCAATTCTTGCACTTGTAAAGTGGTTGAGTGAACGAAGACTCGGGAGTTGTAGTACGCCCAAGTCCTTGAGTGCTTTATAAGCTGCTGTACTGCGGCACTTTACAGCCAACGCCAAACGATACGTCACCATGCTCCACCTGTTGCCACGCAATCCCGTCTTGTTCTTGCTCTGGTCCTTCTTAACTGCATCAATGACCGCCACATCCTCCTTCCACGCATCATGTATGAGGTCACTGTGCTCCGGATTCAGGTTAATGGCTTCACTGAGCTCCTTGCCGAATTTGTCACTAATTATCGTGCACGCCTTGGACATCTCAGAAGACTGACTGTCAGACAACACAAGCACCAGGCGCTTGTACTTTGCAAGATCCCTAGACGATTGACGCCGATCAGATCGGACATGCTGAGCTCGAGTTTTTCTGCTATTCGGTGACATATACTTGAGTGGTGCTTTAGAAGACGTTTCCGTGCGCTTTGCCTTGACATCCACATCAACACTCTTGGCACGCGTCAGGATAACTTGCAGCTCCTTCTCCAGCCTCTTACAAGCCGAGCACGACACTGTTGACATCGCCTTCATTTCCTTTGGAGCATTCCTGGGGATTTGAAACCAGATCTGGCACTTATGCGAGTCAAAGCGACGAAACGGCATGGACCACACTCGTATTCCCTTTGGCTCATATGGCATGCTACTGTACTGTCCATCAGTGTCATCAAGGCCAGGACAAAACTTCCATCCAGAGGAAGCAGGGAGCGAGGCGAGGTGTGGGTTCAGCTTCGACAAATTTCCACAACAGCTGCCCTCATCCACAAAGCCACCAAAAAGGGCCTCAAACACATATCCACCATTACTCTTGACAAGAAGCCTTGCCACAGGAACTGGGGAACTATGGGCAGAGACTGCAACGTTAGTGGAGGAAGAGACTTCAATCCAAACTTCCTCTTTCAGCTGCAGCTCACAGCAACGAAGTTCAGCATACTCCGGACCCAACTGGTTGAGGTGACGGCGGACATCATCAACGGACACTCTGCAGGGCTCTTGGGCTTCAGTTCGTGAAGCTGAGTACGACAAAAATACCCGTTTGGGTGCAGGAACAAACTTGGAAATTCCCAAAGAAGACGCAAGGCGTTTTGGGGTTTGCTCGTTGCTCGTACTGCAAACTTGTAAACAAGAAGCCCGAGGAGAAAGAGGAGGAGAGGGAGTATTACTAGCGTCAGAAACAGGAAGAGTAGCGTCCAGTCCTGAAGCAGGAGTCTCCATTCTCCCTCACTACACTCTTCCTTCCTGAAACAGTTCTCAACAAGAAATAATAAATCAATTATTTTGCCTTTTGGACATGTTTCTTCACCACGAAGGACACGTCGCGTCGCGCGTCAGTGAAAAAAGAAAGAACAGAAAAGTGGCGCAGTTTTCCAACATTTCCTTTCCACGACTTCTTCGTGTTTGGCCGGTTTCAGTCAGTTAAAATCGAATTTCCCCATCGCGAAACTCTGCCCTCACTCTGCCGTCTAGCGCGTCTGGCGCCAGTTTGTGGGCCAAAGTGCGATCCGAAGACTGCAAAACATCGCGCACGCCGCGCACCATGCAGTTGAACTAGGAATTCCGATGAACCAGATCCCATGAGTGGAGTTGCACACTCTTGTGTAGTTATGTACTCTTGATCTTAGCGAATTGTCTCAATTTCCCGAATTAATTATTGGGCAGCTATTGGGTATTGAATCCGATTGGGGTATGGCAAGATGTTGAAAAAATCTGTATTATGCTCGCATTGGATAGATAAGGTGAGCAATTTTTGGGGGAGGGTGGTGGTGACTGCTCTCCCACCACTCTCCTTGAGAGGATAGCGAAAGCGATTGTTCACTCTCCTGGATTTTTCTTACACAAAGGTTTGGAGGAGGTATTTGATGGTGTGGATAAAAGTTGCCTGTCGTAGGTGTTGTCAAGACTCGACAGGGTAACATAGGAAGTTAAAAAATGGTGAAGGAGGAAGCTGTGGTGGACTGGTTCAGCTAGTGGCATGCGCAGGCAGGCACAGGCTGCTCGTCGCTGACCACATTCCAGTCGGTCTTTCTGTGTGCGCGTGATGTTGGGTAGCCAGTGGACGGATGTAGGTGGTGTAAAGTGTGAGCAGGCTGGGGTATGGAGGTGGCCACATGTATATTATAAGTTGATGGAGAGGTTTGGGACTTACTTACTTTGAGCAAGTAAAATATGGGTGACATGTTATTTGATGATGTCAATGTGGCAATACTCGGTAGCTTGTTGTAGGGATGTGTTAGCGCAATGCAGAGTTGGTGATTTGATGTACTCTTTGTTCATGTTTTCTCATGTTTTGGGGTGTGTGTCTGTGTGTGTCTGTGTGTGTCTGTGTGTGTCTGTGTGTGTCTGTGTGTGTCTGTCTGTCTGCATGTGCCCACGTGTTTACGCGATCGTCTGTTGTTTCCTTTCTGCACTGCTAAGTATGAGTTGAGCGATGACTGTAAGGAATTGCAGAAACTCGTTTTGCCGATGGACAAGCAGGCTAACCAGTATGTATTACAGGATATGTACATGTGCTCGTATGTGCATTATTCATGGAACAACTGTGAATGTCTTCAGTGAGAAACTGGTATAATGCAAGCTGGGGTTTGCACTTTGCAGGCTTTGATCTTTTTCAGGTGTGGGTATACATGTACTATGTTCGAGGTAGCACCCCGAGAAAAACACCAAAATAGCTGTATGATCTCTGTTTGATGCAGCTTCAAGTACACACCGGAAAAGAATATTTTCCAAGAATCATCCACGTAAGCTACACTCGCTGACTGTGTCTGTGTGTCCAGGCCCAGTGGTAGCCGCATTGCATCTGCCTCTGCCTCACAGTGCACCTTGAGCCTGTCCTTTGTCTGCTGTGTGCTGACTGTGTGCTGTCTGTCTTTTGACTGGTGTGTGTGCTGCTCTTATGTATTCATTCCTATTTTTGGCTCCTACATACCGGCAGGCTCTTCACGGTGGAAAGTGGATCATCAAAGGAATCCAAACCTAGCACTGACCCAGTGCAATCCAAGTCGAGCATGCCTGCTAGGTCTACCAACCGTGCGTCTAAGCCGTCAGCAGCAGCTGCACCCAAAGTGGAAGAACTGGACAGGTGGGCTGACAGAACATTGTCAAACTCCAGTGTGTTTTGGACTCTTTTGCAGTGTACATGTACAGTGTGTTTCGCAGTACTGTACATGTACAGTGTGTTTCACAGTACTGTACATGTACAGTGTGTTTCACAGCACTGTACATGTACAGTGTGTTTCACAGCACTGTACATGTACAGTGTGTTTCGCAGTACTGTACATGTACAGTGTGTTTCACAGTACTGTACATGTACAGTGTGTTTCACAGCACTGTACATGTACAGTGTGTTTCACAGCACTGTACATGTACAGTGTGTTTCGCAGCACTGTACATGTACTTACAATAGCAGTTCTCTACATGACTACTGTGAAGTGCTACACATGCTTTTTTTGTTGTGGCAGCTCACGCACCCTGCTGCTACCCTACTCTTTTCTAAAAATAAAGGAAAAATGTTTCCCAGAAGAGAGCCAGCATTGATTTTATCAATTCCATGCTGCGGTATTGCATTGGTTTGTACTTTGCAGTACGACGCTGGAAGAGTTGCCTCACACCTGTGGCTATTAATCACCAGATCTGGCCAGTTTCTGCTTCCTTATAATTATTATAACGTGCACAGTAGGTCAGTTCCTCTCTGCGCACAAAGTGCTCAATGCTCGAGAAGGCAGAGTTAAATTTAGGTCTGCGCCTGCTAAAGGGGCACGTGAATCGGGCCATTTCCTGGTCACAGCAGACCCTCCGACGGTTTGAAGGATTACTTTTGGCAAACTGCATCTGAACAACAAGAAAGGTACACGGGCAAGGAGCCATACAACGCGCTTCAGAAATGTCTACTCATCCTAGAAAAAGACGTTAGCTGTATATGTTGCTCCTTCAACAGTGTGCACTGTACCATTCTCCCCTGATCACGCTTGAGTACTTCCTTAATGTGGTTCCACAGTACTGGCTTCTTGTGTATTGTTAGGAGTCGTGTGCACCATGATTCGTAACCACTTTTTGAAAAATTGCTCATCTTTTCACAAGGTGTGTCTGGTCCGACAAGAAAAAGAGAGGCCAGTTTCCATAAGGATAAGGTGGAGCCAGCTTTTTCACCATTCAGGGCCCGGTTGTCTAGCATAAACTTCCGATTACTGGCCGCGCCGTCACCGCAATGACTCCCTGGCAGAGACACTAACTTCCTTGCCATTCATCAACAGGGTGGAGTGCTTGTCGCAGCGAGTAATGACCTTGCATGGGCCTTGGTAGGGTGACTGGAGCGGTTTGCGCACAGAGTCCGTTCGGACATACACATGCATAGTCATGGCTAGATCACCAACGGAGGCTGGCCAGCAGGGTGGTCAGCAGGGTGGTCTGCAGTTCTTGGCCTGATCACCAACCTTGCTGTGGAAGAAACACAGACCAGGACGACCAGCGTGGTATACGGCTCAGTATGCGGGGGACTGATGAGGAGCTCCCAGACCTCCATTGAGAACTGCTCCGACAGTGCCGTAGCCACATAATCGACCGTCCACTGCGCGGTGATGCCATGATGGCTGAAAAGGTACTCAGCATGACTCGCAGTGTTGCCACACCTGCCGACATATCGGTAGCCTGCTGATTTTGGAGGCATGTCACGGCCTGCCGACAATTGACCTTCTCCTGCCGACAACAGCCACGGATGTCCATTTTTGACCTTCTGCTTCGCTTAGAACTAAATTAGAAGTCATGATCCAGATTTTTAGTTTTAATGGTCATGATGAGTGTTCCCATAGCTTTCTCCTAAGCCAAGGTGCTAAGCGAAATATTTATTCTGCTTCAGGAAAGATCGGAAACGCAGATTTGTGAATTTTTCTTAATAAACAGTGCCCTTTGTGTTTGTGTGCATGTGTATAGTGGGGTTAGTATTCTATGATGGGGGGGGGGGGGATCCAATGGACAAAAAACGGGCAGCTTGACACTGGCGGCTTAGGTGCTATGGCTGCGGGATGTTGCAAATCAGGGCCACTTCCAATACCACTGCCACCACCACTGTTACTGGCTGTGGCCTGTGGCCTGTTCAGCTGATCAAGCAGAGCCTGTTGCTACTGCTGTCTGAGCTCCAGGATTTGCTCCCTGGTAACGGAGATAGCAACCGGGAAAGCTTTCCCTTCACATTGCTGGCCGGAGTGGCCATGGTTGACAATGTATCCTTGCTTTGTACTTCAGTAGAATATCGGGGTCACCAATATATCAAATTTAGGTCTGCGCCTGCTAAAGGGGCGCGCGAATCGGGTCACTTCCTGGTCACCATGGACACTTCGACTGTTAGCAGCAATGATTACCGTACACGTCACTGTTAGAAGGATTGCGCAAACTACATATGAGCATATGAGTGAGGAGTAACGTACAGGGGCAAGGAGCCATGAAAAATGCTTCGGAAAGGTCCGAAAAGGGACACTATCTGGAAGAAAAGGCAAGCTAGATGGTGGCAACAGGACGCGAAATGAGGTTCGTTATTTCGTACGGTATCGCAATATGCCATTGGTCCGCTAGAACCAGTGTTGACCAAAACATTGCGGAAAGTGCAGCGTGGACAGCACAAAATCACGTGGGTAACTTTGAAACTTATGACTTAACAAGTCATTGCACGACATCTGGTGGAACAAATTTTTTTGTTGCAACTAACGTTACTTCGAGTTTCACGCTTGCACGATCTTGTTGTGAGCAGTTAGGGGAAAGTGCTCAACCTTGGAGAGGAAAGGGGGGGGGGGGGAGAGAGAGAGTGCGGTCTACACGGTGCCTTAATTAAAAGTATATTATGTATACTTAGGGTACCTCAACTCAACCACTTAAAATGTGGTCTCTTTGCTGCATACGTTATTTAAACTGTTCACCAAATTTTCCGGCATGGCCCATCATCAGGGTGAGAACAGAAAAATGGATGCTGTTCTGTTTTAATACTTTAAAAAGCTCCACTGGTATTCCTGAATAGATCCGTGCCTGCGCTTGTTGGTTCTGCGTTTGTGATCCATCTGTCGGCAGTGACGATGACTCTGATCTGGAGGCATACCCTATGAACGAGGCTGACATGGCTGAGAAAAGGCAGGACGTGGGAGAGTCTAAGCCGCCCGTCTTCTTGAGGGACTGCATAGCAGGTGAGGGGCTGAATCGCTTTGTCAATTTGTCTTTGTTGTACTGGATGCCTGCTATGCCTGGGTGAAAGCTGTGCCTGTCAACAGCGAAGCTCAAACATATTTGAATCTGTCAAGGAAGGACAACAGCTGGAACTCTAGCTCTTGTAACTAGAACCCAAACACTCTGGTGTGGAAACAATGCATATGCACTGTCGCGGTCACACTCAGTGTGTATCACCCGAGTCACTGTACACAAACTTTGTATGCAGGCATGACTGGAAGTAGGTGAAAATCACATGCAACGTCAGAGTCAAGACCTTCCGATCACAGTATTTTTTCAGTCTTGTCGGTGTTTGCTGTCTTATAGATCACCGGTGGTATAATTATGGATTGTATCTCTGGTGTTGGTTGACCGATTTTCATAAATTCGGGGTGTTCATTTCAGGGAAACCCTTAGTCCATGGCAATTGCGTAAAAGTTGCTTGAAATTCCTTGTGTTACCTGTTTGTTTTGTTCAGGTCTGTTGGCAAGAGAAAAGCCATTGCGAACAACTACATGTTTGGCATCTGCTGAAGTACTGATCCGTCGAAACCCTCCTGAACTTCAAGAGGTAAGCAATGCACCGTACACGTGTCTATGGCAATCATCTGCTGTTACAGACTGAACCGTTCTTGTAGCTTTCTTTAAAAAGCACCGTCATGTGCCGTATTTGTCAGTTATAAGTCGACCCTACGTACTTGGGGTCTCGATTTCCTGGTTCGATGGCGATTAAAAGTCAACTACTCCTTTCTTAGGCTGGCTTTTAGGTCATAAAAGTTCGACCTATAACCAGTATAATTCGGCATAATGTAAGTTACTTTTACGATGGCTGCTGTGGTTCGATGACCGGAATCTCGCCTCTGTGATTTAACCCTCCTACCCGACAAGTGTGCATCCATCCTGAATTCACTTGGCATGACTGTGTTCACTTAGAAGCTGAGTGCAATGCGCCTTTCTCTCCTTTTCAATTTGGCCAGTGGATTAAGTAGTGTTGTCGTTGGTGCTCAGCCCTGTTTTTGCTTGCTGCTTCTGCTACTGCCTCCGTCGTCGTCGTTGTTGTCTATACCCCTTGTGCACAGGTCTGTGGAGAACTCATCAAGATTTTGCTGCACCTCGATGACGAGTACAGTTTGGATGGGTTTGCGGCATATCGTTTCCGTTCTATGATAGCCGTTACGGTTCACTGTCCAAAGCAGGTTAGCATGACCATGTATAGCCGTTACGCTTCACTGTCCAAAGCAGGTTAGCATGACCATGTACACCTTGTGCTTCCAAGTAGTCTTGCTAGCAGCCAAGCTTTGTGCAAATGGAAATCATGGAATTGTATCACGGGTTTCACCTTGAACACAGCTGCACTGTGCATTACTTCATTGTATAGTTCATTCGGTGTGCACATGTACTAAACACTCAGTTCTTGGAGGGGAATTTTGACCACTTATTTCTTCAAATTATGGTGTGTGTTCACTACATCAGCTGATACATCAAAGCTTGCCTTGCACCAAGGCACCACCACCAAATGACAATGGAAGTGGCTGGTGGGTGGGTGGGTGCGTGCGTGCATACGGGCGTGCTTGCGTGCGTGTGCACGCATGCATGTGATTGCGTGCATGTGTAATACCCAGCAATGTCAATATTCATCTACATTTAGAAATTTGTGGGTTAGCTGCCTCTTGATAATTAAAACAAATCGTGAGTTGCGGACCATGGTCACAACCCGGCAGATAGCACATTTTATCTATAACATGTGAGGTGTAGCCACTTCCATTGTCATTTGGTGGCGGTAACTGTTACCTTGGTGCAAGGCAAGCTTTGATGTATCAGCTTATGTAGTGAATATACTTATAGGGCTTGAAAGTGATGACGTCAGAAGTCGAAATCTAACGACAAATAACGACCTTTGGATCCACTTGGGTCCAGTTTTTGTATTGTCCCATACACGTTTGGGTGGTTTTCCTTCACAGCATAGTGACACATCCACGGGTAGTGATTGGACTAGGCCCTCCCGGGCGTGGACCCACACCTTCCGGTGGATGTGTCACTATGCTGCGAAGGAAAACCACCCAAACGTGTATGGACCCGTATACAAAAACTGGACCCAAGTGGATCCAAAGGTCGTTATTTGTCGTTAGATTTCGACTTCTGACGTCATCACTTTCAAGCCCTATTCTGCTGCCCTGGTCTGTGATCTGTTTTCATGCCATTGGTAGGTTTTCAGTAAATCCTCCCTCACCCGTATATGATTGTCTGTCTGTACGTGTGTTCAGGTCGCTGCATACTTGACTGGAGAGTTCTATGCCGTCAACTACAACCTTCGTCAACGAATGGACATGCTTGATGTATGCTTCTAATAGTGTAACTATTGAATGGTGTTTTGAGCTGAATATTGCATTCAACTTGGGGCTAGTCTTCTGCAGCTGTGCGATAATAAGGGGGGGGGGGGGGGGGGGGCTTATCGGGCTTGTCCAGTGTTGGTGTAAGAGTGTGATAGAACAAAACAAGAAGTGTGTCTTCATTCATGCTTGTTCTTCTGTTCAGGTGCTGGAGAGAGCTGCTCAAGAACTCTCTTCTCCAAGCAAGTCACTCCAATCCAGTTCTGCTGCACGTTCTCTGGTGTCTATCGCTGGGCCAGGTGATCTACCTAGCTCTGCTGCAGACATATCATCGACTTTTGCTTCGGGCACATCCACAAGCAGACACAGTGGATCGACTATGGCCGTGGCTATATCCGGGATGAGCAAATCCCCTCAAGACAACGAAGACTGGAGAGCTACTGTTGAGAGGCGCGTTGCACAGAAGACCAGGCGTTTTGCTCATGTGAGTGGTGACAGTGTGTCGTGCTGAAACCTTCATGACTTTCTTCTCAGTGCCTCAGCTGATACCATAACAATTGGCTTATTGTTGTAACGATCATTGCTCACAACAAATTTGCTCTTTTCTTTCAACTGGCTTTGAGTATGGCTTCTAGCAAAGTTGCAAGAGTACTCATCTTGCCCATGCTCAACTATGCCTGGACATCTTACTTAGGATGTTGAGAAAATGCATTCTTTGTCAACGACACAGAAATCACATGACACCAAAAATACCGCCTGAGTCGGGGAGCACTCGGCGCACTCGGAAGTTCCCTGCCTCTTCCTCTTCTCACTGCTTCTTTCTCTTGGTTGTTTCCTGCAGGCATCAGGTCAAGGACCTCAAGCGACTGCTTCGCGGTTCAGTGCCGTAGCCGGCCTGTTCTTCTTTCCACTAATGGCTAAATTTGATGGGTGAGAAAGGCACTATGTGCAGTACTGTGTGCTAAGTGGAATCTTTCTAGTTCTATGGCTGGTCAGCAGTTCAATGTTAGTTTTGTTTGGCTTTCTTTGGTGATGAAGCACCCCTCCTCTGATGTGGATTGTTCTGACTGTTCTCGCTGCTATCCTCTTCAGTGGCCTGTCAACGTTGAGTCTACTCGGATCGGATTTCCTTGTGCTTGGTCGTCTCATTTTCACACTTGGGTCAATTTTGCACTGCGCAGCACATTCTCCGGTATGCATATTGATATACTGAGTGTCCCCTTTATTTCTCATTGATTCAATCTTGCTTCCAATGGTAGCAAACCCACACATATGTAGGGGATATTAAGTAGGGCTGAGTCGGGTAGCTTTTTCTTTGGGTATCGGGTCCGGGTAGTTTTCCACGGGTAGCACGGGTACCCGATCGGGTAATGTTCCCATGGTAAGACCACAGTGCACACCGGCCCCTTCCCTTGCGCACTGGGTAGACATGCGTGAATTATTTGTACACGTGCACTGTACATGATGTCATCTGCGACTTCAGGTTTTCGGGTACTAGTCGGTACCCGTCTACCCGAGGTCCTCACGGGTAGCACGGGTACCCGACTACCCGTGCACACCACTAATATTAAGCTATTACTTGTAGCCATGTTGAGGAAAGTAGATTACGATTGCTTGATATTACCAGTGCAGGTCCGCTCAGAATGTGCCAAGTCAGCCACATGTCCAAACGAGGTATACGTGACATGACACAGGCATCCTGTAATAGCTGAATAAGAAGATGGTGACTAGTAGTAACAGATGTTAGTGAATGTTTTTTTTACAGTCTTCACGTGAATCAACGAATTGTCTGATGGCGCCCCGCTTGTGCCTTTGCTCCCGTGTATCAGATATCTCGGTCAATGGCTGGTGCACTGCTGGAGTTTCTATGGGCTCTCCGTCGCCACGCAGAACCGTACGTATTGATACGTGCACTTCTCTGCTACCGATCTATGTGAAACATGACATAAGCTGTTACTGTGGGTGTCCACTTGTTTTCATATGCAGGGCTTGCTCACAGTTTAGTGATGCACAAAGGCAAGACAGGCATAGCGGGATTTATGTATTTACTTACTTATTTCACGTTGCCGTGACCAGGGAATAGAGGCCAATATGGAGGGAGGGGGCAATATCCAGCCATGGCAGTAGGTAAAAACAATGCAAAATGACAAATTACAAGAGGCAATAACCTGCACAGGGTGAGGCAAAGAGGAGCAAGTCTGAATGAAGAATTAGCAGTTATTAGAACTCAGGCTTCATGTTGGGATGGTCTGTGGCCATGACTGAGAAACAGAGAGCACCAGTTTCAAGTCCTGCTTCGAAACACGAGGATTTTCATCCGTGTTCCGGCCCACTAGGCTAGGAGCCAGGGGGTCATCAAAAGTGAGGTGTGTGGCACCCTGTCCAGAAAAGAGTTTTCAATGGACTTGGAATGCATAATATGTAGAGGTAGTATCGCAGTTGCCGATCGGATCAGTGTGAAATTGGCCTTGCTGTGTGGTCACCAGGAGCAGAGCTGGACATTGGCATACAGAAGTACGAAACAAGAACAGTTCAGTATGCTTCACCAACAAAGAATGTCGTGGCCCACCTACATGTACGAGAAATTCGTCGAGAATAAAAAGCTTTGGCAAGATGGGGGGGGGGGGGGGGCAGTGTGTACTTAGACTAGCTAGTTGTCCGGCTCTCTACTTCTCTACTTCTCTACTTCTCTACTTCTCTACTTCTCTACTTCTCTACTCCTCTACTCCTCTACTTCTCTACTTCTCTACTTCTCTACTTCTCTACTTCTCTTCTTCTCTTCTTCTCTACTTCTCTACTTCTCTACTTCTCTACTTCTCTACTTCTCTACTTCTCTACTTCTCTACTTCTCTACTTCTCTACTTCTCTACTTCTCTACTTCTCTACTTCTCTACTTCTCTACTTCTCTACTTCTCTACTTCTCTACTTCTCTACTTCTCTACTTCTCTACTTCTCTACTTCTCTACTTCTCTACTTCTCTACTTCTCTACTTCTCTACTTCTCTACTTCTCTACTTCTCTACTTCTCTACTTCTCTACTTCTCTACTTCTCTACTTCTCTACTTCTCTACTTCTCTACTTCTCTACTTCTCTACTTCTCTACTTCTCTACTTCTCTACTTCTCTACTTCTCTACTTCTCTACTTCTCTACTTCTCTACTTCTCTACTTCTCTACTTCTCTACTTCTCTACTTCTCTACTTCTCTACTTCTCTACTTCTCTACTTCTCTACTTCTCTACTTCTCTACTTCTCTACTTCTCTACTTCTCTACTTCTCTACTTCTCTACTTCTCTACTTCTCTACTTCTCTACTTCTCTACTTCTCTACTTCTCTACTTCTCTACTTCTCTACTTCTCTACTTCTCTACTTCTCTACTTCTCTACTTCTCTACTTCTCTACTTCTCTACTTCTCTACTTCTCTACTTCTCTACTTCTCTACTTCTCTACTTCTCTACTTCTCTACTTCTCTACTTCTCTACTTCTCTACTTCTCTACTTCTCTACTTCTCTACTTCTCTACTTCTCTACTTCTCTACTTCTCTACTTCTCTACTTCTCTACTTCTCTACTTCTCTACTTCTCTACTTCTCTACTTCTCTACTTCTCTACTTCTCTACTTCTCTACTTCTCTACTTCTCTACTTCTCTACTTCTCTACTTCTCTACTTCTCTACTTCTCTACTTCTCTACTTCTCTACTTCTCTACTTCTCTACTTCTCTACTTCTCTACTTCTCTACTTCTCTACTTCTCTACTTCTCTACTTCTCTACTTCTCTACTTCTCTACTTCTCTACTTCTCTACTTCTCTACTTCTCTACTTCTCTACTTCTCTACTTCTCTACTTCTCTACTTCTCTACTTCTCTACTTCTCTACTTCTCTACTTCTCTACTTCTCTACTTCTCTACTTCTCTACTTCTCTACTTCTCTACTTCTCTACTTCTCTACTTCTCTACTTCTCTACTTCTCTACTTCTCTACTTCTCTACTTCTCTACTTCTCTACTTCTCTACTTCTCTACTTCTCTACTTCTCTACTTCTCTACTTCTCTACTTCTCTACTTCTCTACTTCTCTACTTCTCTACTTCTCTACTTCTCTACTTCTCTACTTCTCTACTTCTCTACTTCTCTACTTCTCTACTTCTCTACTTCTCTACTTCTCTACTTCTCTACTTCTCTACTTCTCTACTTCTCTACTTCTCTACTTCTCTACTTCTCTACTTCTCTACTTCTCTACTTCTCTACTTCTCTACTTCTCTACTTCTCTACTTCTCTACTTCTCTACTTCTCTACTTCTCTACTTCTCTACTTCTCTACTTCTCTACTTCTCTACTTCTCTACTTCTCTACTTCTCTACTTCTCTACTTCTCTACTTCTCTACTTCTCTACTTCTCTACTTCTCTACTTCTCTACTTCTCTACTTCTCTACTTCTCTACTTCTCTACTTCTCTACTTCTCTACTTCTCTACTTCTCTACTTCTCTACTTCTCTACTTCTCTACTTCTCTACTTCTCTACTTCTCTACTTCTCTACTTCTCTACTTCTCTACTTCTCTACTTCTCTACTTCTCTACTTCTCTACTTCTCTACTTCTCTACTTCTCTACTTCTCTACTTCTCTACTTCTCTACTTCTCTACTTCTCTACTTCTCTACTTCTCTACTTCTCTACTTCTCTACTTCTCTACTTCTCTACTTCTCTACTTCTCTACTTCTCTACTTCTCTACTTCTCTACTTCTCTACTTCTCTACTTCTCTACTTCTCTACTTCTCTACTTCTCTACTTCTCTACTTCTCTACTTCTCTACTTCTCTACTTCTCTACTTCTCTACTTCTCTACTTCTCTACTTCTCTACTTCTCTACTTCTCTACTTCTCTACTTCTCTACTTCTCTACTTCTCTACTTCTCTACTTCTCTACTTCTCTACTTCTCTACTTCTCTACTTCTCTACTTCTCTACTTCTCTACTTCTCTACTTCTCTACTTCTCTACTTCTCTACTTCTCTACTTCTCTACTTCTCTACTTCTCTACTTCTCTACTTCTCTACTTCTCTACTTCTCTACTTCTCTTCTTCTCTTCTTCTCTACTTCTCTACTTCTCTACTTCTCTACTTCTCTTCTTCTCTACTTCTCTACTTCTCTACTTCTCTACTTCTCTACTTCTCTACTTCTCTACTTCTCTACTTCTCTACTTCTCTACTTCATATGAGCCAGAGCACGCCAAAATATGACCACAGACCAAAAATTCGATTTTCAGTTTTTTGTTCAAAAATGATCTAACACACCTAATGTTCACTGTCTGAAAGTTTTGGATTGATCCGACATGTCTTAGTGTTGCTACAATGGTATTATATGCAGCACTGTTGAAATGGTGAAATTCTATATGTACAGCAATGGGATTGTCAGTTTGCACACAATTGATATGCCCCTTGGTTCATCCTTTCCGGGTCAGTTCCTCTGTCCAGGGTCTTATAGCATGAGCTGACAGGTACTCAGCCACATCCAAATTGTCTATAGGCAGCTGAGCTAGGTGTCCGAAATACCCCCTGTTTGAAGCACCACTGGAGAACCGCCAGCGAAAACACCGTCAACATCTGTAGATGGCCGAAGAAGTTGACACTCGATGTCCTCTCCATCACACTCCACCTGTACTTTCAGATATACAGTATACACTGCTGCACACAGTGTTTCTCAACATACTCGACGTCGCACTCATATTCCCCACACCAAAGCCCATCTGCACACGGCTTTCTCCGCTCACCAGAGAGTACTGCTTTCGCTGCATACTGCTCATGCTAGCGATGTTCCGCATAAGGGTCCTCAAATTATCGACTTGAGCAAGTTCAGGGAGCAGCAGAGTCCAGTGATTGTTTTTACACTTGCAACCAATACTGGCATTGTCCCGGATATGTGCAGCGATGTCCATTCTGGCCAAATCATCGGCCGACTCACCTCCCAAGTCAGTGTCGATGCCAATCGCTTGCCAAGTTGTCATCAGAGTAGAATTCCTCGTCACTGCAGATCGTGGGACTACCAGCATCAATTCTTTTTACGCTCGATGAAAGTGTCGCCCTCAAATGACTCGTCGCTGTAGCCATCATCGTCTTCCTTCTGTTTCCGACTCGAATCCTCAAAATATTTTATCCTGCGCATGGAGTGCGATGATGTCGTCTTCTTCCGCTCCGCAGTACATTACTACTACTAGGCTCTTCTGTCGATACATCGATGACGATCAGTTTTAGGCGACTCAGCGCAACATGGAATACAAACTCTAACAAATAAACTTACTTGCAACAAAGAATTGCATCCGGAACAGTCCAGTCGACCGAGGAGAACAACAACAGCGACTCGCGTTGCACTGCACTTCGTATTTTTTTGCCGCGGAATTCAAATCGCGATTATCTCGACTTTTTCAAAAAAAGCTGTGGTCATGTTTTAGCGCGCTCGGGCTCATATATACACATGCATATCATGCATTTAGACTTGAAGAAGGAAGTGTACAATACAATAATAAAATTACTGATCTGCCACAGGTACATGCAGCATGGTAACATAGGTCCTAACCGGGGTGAAAGCCGGAAAGGGTACGGTCTACATGACTGAGTACTGTAAAAGCAGAATTTTCGGTGGTGTAAAAGTAATATTTTCGGTATTCTCCAAAATCGGCGGTTCGGTGGAGGGAAATTTTCGGTAAACCCGTTTTCCAGGTAAGTGTACTAGTACTAGTACCGAAATTTTCGATGCGTTTTATTTTAGGTAAAAATTGTCGGCACCGAAGTTACCGGAACTAAAACACCACCGAAAATTTCTACTTTTACAGTACCTTGTTCAACATTGCTGTCCGAGTCAGACTCATCTCCATTATCACTAGGGATTGTCGAGAACTGATTCTGGCAATCTTTGCATTGGCAGATGTCAGTGGGTGACAGGCCAGTTTGCTGACAAGAACAAAGCTGGCCTTCACAGCGGGGCGGCCAGTCTTGTTTTACCATGTCCTGTAGCACTGATGCACTGATCCGAGCGGTTGTAGTAGTAACATTCGCACCAGATGTCTCAACTGAGCTTAGTGCAGGCAAATCTGGACAATCCTGGCACAATAAAGACGTGTCATCTGGACTTTTGGGATGGGAGAGATCTCCTTGTTGGATCAGCAGCTGGACAACGGATGACGGTGAAAATGACGACGAATGCAGCATGGTCGGCTTGTGCCTATCCCACTCATTCATAGTTGAGAGTGCTCCATCAAACGCCTCTTTGATCCTCTTGATCAGCCTGTCGTTGCGGTAGTCAATGATGGGCACACCCAAATCGGAGAGATCCGTGATATATGCCTCCTTTACCAAACCGAGTGGAGCTACACAAGATCCACGCAATGCATTTGTAAACACACCATCACATATCATTCTTGTGAAGGCTTTCTGGTGGAAGTCCTCATGCAACTCGCATTCTTCAATTGATTTTTGTGTGTGAATTGGGAATAACACGTCCCATGGTACACTGCATCTCCAGCTACACCATCCACAGCACCACCACCACCACACAACAACTCACCAAGGATTCTGCTGTCGCCTCTACTGCCGCTGCGTTCTGCAGAGTAACGAACGCCGTCTTGGTAGAGCACATCGTGATGGACTCGTTGATTCGATGGGTCTTTTGGGACTGCTTCTCAGCACCGCAAATAATACACTCTCCTTTCGCAGTCTGACTGACTGAACTTCTAAGTGACTGCTTGGTTGGCGGTGGCCCTGCGGGAGCACTAACATCTGTAGGAACAACACCACCATGGTCAGGGCTGACGTCATAGCACTGCTTTTGCCTTAATTCACACGCTGTTTCCGCTTTCTCTGCTTTTCCGAACTCCACTCGCCGTCAACTTCGCCCTTTACGGCACTCTCAGAGTCCTAAATAAAACTGCATCACTCTCCATCGTCGGACAGAACACCACACAGCTAAAAGGGATTTCATGGCAAGGAAGACTACATAATTTATTTATTCACAATCACGTGGCACTAGCCAATGAAAAGGTGATGTGGGCGATAGCCAGCCATGGCGGTACTAGAGCTAGAGGGGAGAAAGAAAAAGAATGAAAGGGGAACTGAAGAGTAAGAGAAGCGCGGGGGAGCTAGACAATGACTCTGGAAAGCCAGCAAACTAAAAGAGAAAGTGAAAGATGGTCTTCTCAGGATACTTGAAGTTTTCTGCCAGCCTTCTTACTCCGAGGCATAGTACAACGGAAAACTATAATAATTTTCTCTTCTCAAGTCCAGCTTCAATTTCACACCAAATGAACTTGGTATTCGGCAAAACCACTTCAGCTGAAGAATACAACGTCGTATGGAATGGACGAAAAGTTGTATTCTGGATGAGAAAGTTGTCTCTCTAGCAGGTGAATGGACAAACCCTCTCGGACAGTGTGTCACTTTGTGGTGGGCTGATCTATTCACCTTCCTCCACTTCAAAGAGACAGAACAGATCCTTGATTGCGCCTTGATCCTTGAGGGTGCAGGTGTTCCTATGGGTTGAGAAAATTCAGTGTGACTGAGTTTCTTGTCTCATTCTCTCACTGTGTTCATTTTATGTTGTGTTGTTGCTGCTACTCCTGCAGGTTTATGCGGCAGTCGGTCCTGTTTGCGCATTGCATGATCCTGTGCAGTGTAGATGGACAGTTTCTCCTTGAAGACCATCCCAGGGAGATGGCTGATTGTCACAGCTGGCTAGCTGGTGAGTTTCCCATTGCATATACTTGTCAAGGCTTTTCCGCTTCCGTTCCGGGGTTTTGTATCCTGGGGCAACTTTACAGCCCCGTGCTCAAAAACGCTGCAGTGCGCGACAAGTAAACACCCGTGAGGAGTGCTGGTCCGTCTGTTTTTTTTTGGAACTGGTTTTACGTGTGGTGTCCCTCAGTGATCCGGTGATTTATGCAGTTACAACATTAAAAAGTGTTTGTCAGTGTACACTCGACGACTTTCTTCAGCAGCGTACTGTAAAGAAGGCTCAGATGTATCCCAGCATGCGTTTCAACCATCATTGCAGCAAGCTTTGCCGAAGAGTTTTCCTTATTTTTACCCAACAACTCCAAGCCTTGCGTGTCCCTGGGGTTCACATGTTTTTATCCAGCCGCTTCCATTGGCCTTTTTGTTCTTCTTGCCCCTTGCTGGAACAAGAGATGAGAAGTCTGCAGTGGCAATGCCGTTTTGAGTCATACGGTAATGTACATGATTGTGTTGTGTTGAGCAGGTTTTGAGTCATACGGTAATGTACATGATTGTGTTGTGTTGAGCAGATTGCTTATCATCAGACCCAGATGAAGAATGCAGGAAATTGGCTTGCCATGCTATGCCAATGCTGGAAAACATCTTGTCAAAGGTACGGTATAGACTGTGCATGTCCGTTTGCTTACGTTTGTATGTGTCTGTCTCTTTTATGTGTATATAATCTGCCTTGACTCCCGGGCTTGAGTGTGTATTCGTGTGTGTGTGTGTGTGTGTATGTGGTGTATGTGTGTGTATGTGTTTGTTGTGTGCACGCCTGTGTGTGTGTGTGTGTGTTTGTGTGTGTGTGTGTGTGTGTGTGTGTGTGTGTGTGTGTGTGCGTGTGCGTGCGTGTGTTGTGGCATGTTCAGGCCCTATATGACTTTCACTCTTGGTTGTCTTGTTTGCATGTGCGTGTGGCATTGGCAATGCGCACATGTTCATAAGAATATTTTCAGTCTTCTTGACTACTTCTTGTCTTGGTGTTATCTGATCTCAATGTGGCCTACATTCACGTGTTCTGCTCTAGGGCTAATATCAAGCTCAGCACATGCTTGACTATCACAGCTAAGGCTAAGCAGCTGATCAATCACGTATGGAGTGTAAGGTACATTGGCCTGGCCTGACATCTTCCTTGGACAAGCTATCAGTTTGGTTAGCTATGGTTCACTGTAGCTTACGTTCACAGCGTGGCTCTTGCATGGCAGCACCTGTACTGGAACTGTGCAGGTCTCTGGAGGTCCCTTGGTTCATGCGGTATATCTGGTGCAGTTGGAAACTATGTGCCCTATTCACCGCAACGCACTGTGGGGTTTTGGCACACATGGCGTTCAGGACGCGACCACTGTCTTCTCTACTGACATTTAACTGGCATTCCCACAGCCATGGCTTGTCAAGTAACAGACTTCCGAGATGTGCTTGGCTTCTACCGCGGCAACCTTGGCCTGACTCAAGCTGCCCATTCCCAGACAAACCTACAGACTAGAAAACACCAAACATCGCCGTGGATGTGAGACAGATACACACAGGCTCAACCGTTGTCCAAGTCCTACTGGTGTGTGTTCTACTTGTACCTTTGTGATCAACATTCACAGTGAGCTACTAGTGTACACAGGACATTACATGTAGGCCATTCACAGTGAGCTACTAGTGTACACAGGACATTACATGTAGGCCACCACCATCACCACCATCACCCCAGGACGTGATGTAACTGAGGCAAGTAACACGTCACATCACAGTTGTACATGGACATGTGCTTGCTGTGCTTATCATGTTGTGATATATTGCTAGAATACTCAATGGACCAATGGCTGAGATGTAAATTGGGCTGGTTGATTCACCATAGAACAGTCCTCAGTCTCTGTCCCCTGATACAGACTGGCAGTGGCGACACTTCATGCTACTTCTGTCATATTTTCACCAGAACTTTGGGAAAATGCGCGCATCTGACAAGCAGTCCTAAGGTGATTCCCACGTGTTTTGGTGCTCTCCTTTACCAACAATTTCTTTTGACCCGTATGGGCTGTACGTGCAAGATTCCGTCAGTTTTCATCTTCTGTTCATCGGGGTCCCAAGATGCGTGCCAGTAGGACAGTGGTGGTTGAATGATAGTCCTTTGTTTTTGAACTGAACTTCTGCACTACTAGTCACTGGCATTAGAGTATGTTTGCCACTGCCACTGCCTCTTTTCTTTTTCTTTTTGTATAGTTTATTAGTTTATTTTGCTATTTTTTCCTCTTGCTCCCTGGTTGGATGCACTGTCACTTCCTTGTACCGGTACATGTACTGGCTATAATTCATTTGATATGGATTGTAATAGCTAATAAATGCTGGAAGTTTGAAATGCTGGAATAGTAGTGTATCTGGCACTAAGTCAGAAACAGTGACTTTCTTGTTCCGAAATGCGTCGATGAGGATATTTGTTGTGGTACCAAGAGTTCATATCCCCCCATATGGGGTTATGAACTCTTGGTGGTAGATTACTAGTAGATGGGCCGGGATGCAGGCATGAGCTCTCCAGTCTCTAGCCTGTATCAACACAGTGACTTTCCTTGACATGAACTATTAAACTTACTTTACCTGCCCTTCGCTTGTTCTGGGCTCGTTCAGGTGCCAATGTGCACAGTGTCAAGCTGTGAAGTGCACAGGCAAGTACAATTGTCCCAAGCAGTCAGCTGACGCCGCGGCATGGTCGATCTACTAAAGTACTTGCCATGCTACTGTGGACTGTAGTCTGTAGTCACACAATGTCCTAGTGCTGCACACTGGGTGACATACTGGTTATGGATTGGTGGAGTCTCTGTCTTTCCATCTACTTGTAGATGTTGTGTACATGTACAGGTACTATACACAGTACCAAGTACATGTACCTATGCCTCAGTCGAAAGGGGTTCTTGCTGCAGTGGTAGTACACATGCACTGTGCACTCCTTGAGTGCCGGTAGCGAGTTCTACCCAGGACAATACACTATTCTATTGCAGGAGTCCTAATGGGTTTGTAGGCAAGCAGTGGTTCCTACCATACACCAGTCTCACTGTCTGCATGTGCTTCCCTGGACGCAAATGTTGGGCGTGTGGACGTAAGTGGTGGGCGTATGGATCATTGGATGTAAGCTTCAACCACCCTGCCTCATCAGGGCCAAATTCCCCTTTAATACTGTAGGTGGAAATATGCCTATAACATAAGCAAGGCAAACCGCCGCAGCCTATGACTCTATGAGCGAGTGAGGAACAGCCTGGGAAATGCCCTGCATGTTTAGCCTAAGGGTAAGTACTTTCATCGAAAGTACGCTACATGTATAAACCAATCTAAGATAATTATAAGGAAGTAACGTTAGGTTGCTAATAGTATTTCATGATGAAACAGTTGACAAATGCGTGGAATCCATTATTTGGGAGACATGCGACCTGTATTATTATTATTAATTAAAAAATTATTATTATTATTACCCAATGCTGTAGACAGCAAGCTGTTTCGGCCATAAAGGCCTCATCAGTACAGCTACGAGCTAAATAGGCCGAGTTACCGAGTTATTATTATTAGGTTGCTCCCCACACTGGAGCTCGCGCCCTTTCCCCGCCGACTTGACTTGACACTTGACTGACACGGCTGCCATCCAGAGCACACGAGAAGTCCGTCAAATCTTCGCCTCGGCAAACCTGCAAGGAAGCACCACTTTCTGCTCAATACAGATTACGGTGTTTCGCGGAATCATCACAGGCCCCTCATCAGCTGAAGCGTGAATTCGCAAGCTCCAGTGTTGGCAGCAACCGACTTTCTTGTAGTTATCGCCGAAGTCGCTACTGCTGCCTTCAGTTTGTACCATGATTATTAGAGGAAAGTTTTGAAAATTGACTAATAATGGGGGACAAAAGCGACAGCCAGATCAAGTAATTGTTGAAAGAAGGTTGGGAGAGAGATGAGGAGAGGCGATGGGTTGTAAGCAGCTACCGCTACCCACTACTACATGTACATGGACTAGTGTACTGGTGATGAGGGCTTCTATAGTCAGTATGATGGCTGTGCCGTGGCCACATGATCATGAGCTATCGTCCACAGCATAACATCTTCCCCTGGCACTGAGACGCCCTGACCATGTTCAATGATTGCCAGGACATTGGCAGTGCTACCTAACCATGGGAAGGGCACAATGAGCAATTCCCGACAAGGGAAAATTACCCGCCGCACACGTGATGACGTACTTCTCTCGCCACCACTTAAGCTCAAAGTCTTTCGGATTTGATTTCAGACAAGTTACGGACTGCTTGGCGTCGCTCATATGCGAGCCTTTTTGCATTAGAGCTAGCCATTGTCCCGGACCAGCCACAATGTGCCGTAGGAAAAATCCATCTCGGAAGCCTTTCTGCACGAAATTCCTGTCAAGTTCCGGGCCGACTGACCATTTCTCTGCGGTTGGAGCTTGATCAGAGAATACCATGACCCACTTGTCCTCCAAACTGAAGTATGTTGCTGTGACCAAACCCATATTTGCTCTATTTTTCGGCTCCATGAGTGTGGTGGCAGTCAATTCTCCTTTGTGCCAGAACAGATTGCAGCGTTCCTTGGGCAACATAGGCTGAAAGAGGGCGCCGATCTTGTTGCCGACAGACGCTAGCTGCGTGATGGTCATCTTGCCGGATCTGTCTTTCCATGCCTCCTGTAGTTGCTCATACGTGGTGAACACCATAAACAGCTGGTCGAAATCTTCATCCTTGACACCTGATGCCGATGCCCCAACGCCCACCCGACACGGGTCGTCAGCCAAGTTGAATGTGGCGTACCACTGCGAGCCGTTGGCACCGATCACTCCGATCCTCTCGCCAAGAGCGGATCGGCTCTGAATTCGTGCCTTCAAGTCGTCCACAGATTGTGTCATCACCCTGTGTGTGTCTTCAATATCTGCACTTTTACGGAAGTACACGCCAGGTACAGTGGCCACGAGAACCCAGTTGTACCAATCCGTCACGGTCGTCACAACATCAGCGCAAGCTGTCATTATGTCCCCGTTCCGCGACAAACAGTTACACTACAGTGTAAGTAGTCAGTCTGAGCCTTTTTCAGTCAATTCCTGAAGCAGCTTATGTCTGAGTGACCCTTGGTAGGACTCTAGGAGCTAATACTGCAGTATCTGGCTTGTATTTGTTGAGATACGCGATACGACGTTCGCTAGTTTGGGAAGACGTTCAAGTCCTCTGAAAAAATGTGAACTGTTCTCCCTGAGCGACCAACCGTTCAACTGCCGTCGTATGGAGGGCGTATTGCTCCTTTTTAAAAGTGCAGATGAGGGTGTGTAGTGTTTGTCCTGAGCGGTTTGCATTTTAAAGAGGCCTTGCTGACAGGGTGCATTCTTCGCACCAGCTATCCTCAGCTACGTGTCTTGGACGAGGATCGGGACGTGAAGAAGGAATCGTTTTCATGTCGATGTGCAAAAATGTATCGGTATGAGTCATGTCGGGAAAGTTCGAAAGCCAAGTAACCCTTCTTGCAGACATCTATTCTTAGTTATTATTCACGCTTGGAGGGTGCACGATCGAAGGGGGTCTATTTTGTAGGCCCGCAAAGAGTCGATGCTCGGCAGATGTTGATCTCTGCATGTATGAATCAGGTGAACGGGAAGACTCCGTCACCCATCGGCATATGGCCATTCTCGACAGCATGCACCCGACGCTGCACACTGAAGTCGAGACTGAACTGTTACTTGCCCTCACTCGATCGATCATGGCGTTACTCGAGCAACGCACGGGGACTTCACCTAGTTCACCATGATCCGTCGCGTGAGTGCTAGTGCACCTGTCACCACGTCATGTGACTCACAGTGCACACTGCAGAGTGCAGTTGTACTTTGTAGTGGCTTGCTGACTGAGTCATTGTAGCCAATGTTGGCTACCACTGCCAGGCAGGCCCGAAGCCGAAGGCGAAGTGCCATCATCATGATCATGTCGTGCACCTGCACTGACTGTAGCTTTCTATGCGAAGGGACATGAAGTGGGGGAAATACCGCCAGTGCAGTCACCAAGTCGCCGCAACAACTAACTACGTAACTAGTACTTGAACACGGCCAAGCGTGCAAGGAAGGGGGTCGTGAAGCTTTCACGCGCTACCGCGGATACCGCATACATGCTAGTACATGTACCGGTACTACAATAGTTAGCTTATGTTACACAGTGTATGCAAGTAGCCAGTGGCAAACATCATTTTCGTGCTGAATCCGTGAACGGGCACCTGGACAAAGGGAGATTGACCGGGAACCTTTCCTCTACCTAGTACCTGTATCTAGCAGTGTTTACTTTATAATACAATCACTGAATCAGGTAACACACTGGTTACTTACTACATGAATGCCGCCCGGAGCACTTCTTTTATGCTTTTACTTGAGGGGGTTCCTCAAAAGCGTATACGGGCTATTGATTGAGGGATCTCCAGTACGGAAGCAAAAATGGTAAAGGGCAAACATCTGAGCCTTTCTGCCGGATCATGAATTTCAAAGAGGATATTATGGTAGAGACAAGTATGAGATGTCTTGCATACATGCATCTTGCCATAACCTCACGAAAAGTCATGACATTTTTAGGTCCGGTCATACAGCCGTTCTCGACTGCTTGGCAAATTCAACTCAAAATTCATCAACACAACAGTCCAATCGGTCCTAGCTGGTAGTACATGTGTTTGCGCTAGTGGTAAACGGTGCATACAATGGCAATGTCACATTCAATGTCATGTGGAATGATGGGGAGAATCGTGAAAACCCTGTCAAAAACCTGTCAAAAACCTGTGAAACCCGTTCTTCACGACTCCTTGGTGTACCGTAACATGGTAACTCAGTGCACGAAACCATACTTGTCCATACTACCATAGTACATGTGCACGATTGTACAGTGCTGGCAACTGAAATCCGACCCCCTGAGCGGTGCGCTCAGCTGATCAGGGGGTTGGATTTCAGTTGCCAGCACTGTACTTTGCTACTTGCAGGAAGTACCCACCACCACACTCCATTATTCACCCGGCCCAGTGTCTGGAGATATGTGGATTTTGTAGAAAGAAAAAAAGTCGTGAAAATACGGACTACAATACAGACAACGTAGCTGGTTGTATCGGACTGCTCTGCTCGGTTGTGGTGTCAGTTTCCGGATGAAGATCAAAATACATGTAGAACCCGTGCCAAGTTCTAAACCTAAGGTACTAGTAGGCAAGCATATTTGTCATTTCCGTTTCTGGGTGCGTGGCGTTATTCCATACACATTCAGAACATTCTGAGGCATACCATCGTAGATGTACGGAGAAAGAAAACGAACCCCTTGGTAGCACCGGTACTATTACATCGCCAATGATTGATTTGCTCCCCCCCCCCCCCATCCCTCCCTCCTCTCTCTCTCTATCTATCTATCTATCTATCTATCCCTACCTCCTCTATCTCCTCTCTGTCTGTCTGTCTGTGTCTTCCCGGCCTTTTCCTCTGAGCCCCACACCATGAATACCAGAGCCCTGTGTACTTCCGTCAGCGCCTCACTTCCCTTGAATCATGGACAGTCTCTCACTAGCTCCTTTATCAGTGCCAGGCCAGCCTTTCCAATTCGGCTGTAACTTTGTCGGACATGACCCTATCTGTGTCATGGACAGCATGCAACTGGCATTTAGAATTTTAGAGCTCCACGCAACAGGACACAGCACAATCAAATCAGTACCACATTGTTGTCAGTGGACGGTGATTGCGGGGAGTATTGAAGAAGAGGAAATAGGAAAAGGGAAATCTTGTGAATGTTTTGATCTTGATGAAAATAAATGGTAGTAGTGATGTTGATCAGTTCGTCATCACGATACGCGCACACACATCAAACTCTGCAAGATACTGTGACATAGTTCACGCACGCATAAGAGAAACAGAAGGCGGTCAGGTTAATTGTGCGTTGAAATCTGAGCTGAACGAGAGAATTCGTTCCTGAAAAACATGCATGAAAGAGAGAGAGAGTCCGAATTAGAAAAATTCTGGGTAGACCTGGCGAGTTATGGCATCTGCGGTTGCTGGTAGCTCATTCAAGTTGATAGCCAGGCTGAGCATGGACGTAGTACCACCAATTGTCAGGTGGATATGGCTGTTGACGTCAGTGTCAAACACAAGGTGAGTTAGCTTGGAATGGTAGTCTACATTGTGTATCTTCACAACACTGCCACCCTGCTCCAGTAGACTATTGATAGCACTGAGCCTATTTCTGAGACTGAGCAGGTCACGTGATAGGTCCGTTGTTGATGTGCCAGCTGTACGCGCTGCCTCCAGAAGGTCTTCCGCCATCTTGATAGCATCTTGCAGGCGCTGTTGAGCGGCATTCAGCACCTTGAGCGTCTCCTCTTCCAGCCTAGTGAGGACGGTCTGATCAAGAGAAGCCTGTAGTTTGAGATGTGCCCAGTTGACAATGCTCTCTCGGCGTCGGTTTTGTGTATAGTTGGTGTGCAGTGTGAATGTTGAAGCTGTAAAGAGTACGTTACCATGGCCGTTGGCGTAGAAACCAGTTGCATTGAGATGTGCCATTGTAGAGTTTGAAGTGATTTTGTTAGTGATTTCCATAGCACCATGAAGATCAATAGGAACATCAGTTTGCTGGAGACTGGCAGAGATTCTGACAAGGAGCTGTCCCTGTGACATGGTATCCGGTGCTTGCGGTGGGCTGAATGTCATTGGCCCAAGTCTGAAAGATATTGTGTCCAATTCCGTCTGAACACTGGATGGCACACCATTCACTAGCATTATGTCTGAAGTAAAATCGGCCCTGTTTCTGAACAGGTTCAGGCTTCCGGAAGCGGCAATGCTGTCTTGCAGTGGATGTGATGCATTACCAACAGTACAGACCTGGCCTGGACTGGTTGTGTAGTTCAGGGTGAGGCTGCGGACAGCAGAGTCGTCAATATGAACAATGCCACGGCCTGCACGGACACCAAGTGCATTCAGCACATCCGTGTACGTCAGGTCTTCAAATGTTGCCTCAAAGCCAAGCACCGTATTGCTCTCAGGCACTGTGTGGAGTTTGCCCAAGCCAACGAGACACGCTAACGGTCTACGGAAGCGTGCACACCCAGTACCATAGCTAGTTAGTACATTGATGTTGAATGTGTGTGCTGCACATTCGGGACAACTGTTCTCAACAACAACCTCGCCGCCAATGTCTTCTAAGTGCAAGTTTTTGATGCCGAAGAAATTATCCACCAATTGCCCAGACGTGAAGTAGGCAGTAGAGCGTGGACTTCGTGCATTTATAGTCTGTCCTCCTTGCAGCTCAACTAGATTTCTCTGGCACGGTAGGTGAAGATTCATCAGCATGTAGCCAACGTCCACATTATCGGAGCCAGTAATCAAGACCTCCACATCGCTCATCATGATACCACCGATGCGTTGATTTGTACTCACCAGTGCTGTCAACTCCATGGGCTGGTTAGGTAACAATCGGCTGTGCAGCATTACGTTCTTACCACCAGCTAGCTTGGACAGGAAGTGACAAGCATAGTTTGCAGCACAATCCTCCGGGAGTTGAGTTGTAACTACCAGATTACGACCGTCATCGAATGGAGCACCTGCTGGATACTGTTGAGATACAACAGCCGGTAGACTATCCAATGAATCCACGGACGAAACAATAGTTGTCATAGAACATGGTCTTGTGCTTGTGCACAGCATGTCAGCCATTGATGGTGGTCCACGTGCATTTGCTCCAAGCAAGTTTGCCAGACTGTAGTTCTGGTTCATTATCATTGCAATCACCTTCCTCTCATTGTTCTTGTTGCTTACGAATGCTCTCAGCTGATGTGCACCTTCATCGGGATAGGCAGTTTGGCCAGAGATCTCTAGCTCAGTACCAGTGGTGTACCCATCAGTTATGGCTGCATCCTCCACAACCACTGCTGTACGTTGCCGTCTTCCCTGGAATTGAGAGCAACGGCCTCGCCGTCCGCCCTCCACCCCATTGCAGACAGTCTGCAGAGAGAATTGCTGGACACGGGACTCAACCTTGAACGAGTAACGCTGGTGTTCTTCACTATATGTTTGAGCAGCGGCTACAGGCCGGCCAAACATGGTACCTTCCATCTCCAGAAATATGTGAAGTTCCTCATTTCCAGAGTCATGGTAGTTGTACAGAGTGGCAATGGCCTCACCACTACGCATGTTAAAGTGACGACCAGTGTACGTTTCATCATCCTGCAGCCTAGCAACAACAACAAATCGGTTCAGCGTCTCCTCATAGGCGATATGCTTCAAGTCAGACGACATGACATCTGGGAAACGTGTCCGGAATGCTCTGAACTCCCCATTTCGGAGAGTCTTGGGAAACAAAGATGTGATAAAGGAACCAAAGCTTGGCCAGCGATAGTTCCTTCGGCCACGGAAGCGGTCATCGAGAACGAGGAAGAATGCAGACGGGCGAACAGTGGACGGTAGACGCAGTGGTCGGGTGCTTGGCGGAGTGAATGATCCCAGGGCCCGGAGTAATGTTGTTGATGCAAACAATCCACCAGCAGTGCGAGGCGAGCTAGGAGTGTTGAAGACAAACTTAATGTCACCTGAAAGAGCTTGGTTAGGTCTGACTGAGAGATGAATGCCGTTGACCCTGTCCAATCGGGATCCCGCCAATGACCTTGACACCTCAATATGAGCAGTTGAAGTTGAAGAGCGCCTCTTCTCTGGAGCATCTGCATTGTCCTCAACCTTGACCACTACTCTTACTCCATTGCGATTTGTCCTGCGGTCAAACAACCTCACGACACGCATTATTCCAGTGTCGGGCTCAATGGAGAAGTAGACCCTGTCATGTCGCCGTGGTAATGAGAATGTCATCCGTCCTGCATTGCCACCATCACCGTCCGTAGCGACAAACTTGTGAACAATGCGACCACGCGTGTCACTATCGATCAGGTCGATCTCATAACGTGACTCATCGAAAGTGGGAGTGCGCCGATTGGCAGGAACAATGGTGACTGACACTAATGCTGGTTCTGATTGTAGTGAAGGTGACCCAGAGTCACTGGCTGTTATCACAAAGTTTATTGACTGGAGATTTTCCCACATGATTGTCCGTGCAGTACGCAGTACTCCTGTGTCTTCTTCCAATTCAAAGTTCTGTGCCATGGCATCCACATTGTCTGTGAAACATGACTGCTCCAGTTTTCCCATCACTATTTCTGGAATACAGTATTCAGCAACGTCCATGCCATATGTCACACTGCCACCACCACTTTCCAGTGAGTCTTTGTCAGTTGCCAGCAGTGTTGTAAGAATAGAACCAACTGTCAGCTCACGCTCACTGACCGTCATCTGTACATCTCTCTGACCAAACACTGGAGGGTTATCATTGACGTCTTGCACCTTGAGAATGATATCAATAGTCGCCGTTGCCGCCACAAGAGGGAAGACGATGTCTTGTTCTGTTGCCTGAACTTGGAAGCTGTACTCAGGCTGTGTTTCAAAGTTGATTGGCCGATCAAGGATGAGCGTTCCTGTCATTGCTTCGATTCTGACAGGAAGTGAAGTGTCGGTTGAGATTATGGCGTAGAGCAAATCGATGGCCTCAAACTCTTCATGGTCTGATGCAGTGACTTGGCCAATAGTGGTGTTTGCTGCTGTGTTTTCCAACACCGGAATTTCCTTTGGATTGTTCAGCTGGCAGCGGAAACCCCACATGCTCGTCATGTTGCACATGCAAACGTAGCGACCCAGATTGTTGAGACACATGGCACCGGCATGACAGGGATTAGACTGACATTCATCAACGTCCTCCTCACAGTGCATACCGGTGAAACCAACACGACACTCGCAAGTGAAGTCCTTCACAGCTCCGACACACACGGCACTGTTCAAGCACATGCCAGCCGTGGAGCAGTCGCATACATCACCATTGCCATCGCCGTCTGTGTCGATCTGATTGGGATTGGAGTGTTTGGGACAGTTGTCCACATTGTCGGGGTGACCATCACCATCCGTATCACCTGCACAGTGATGAAAAACAGCAACGGTATCATATCACATAATCAGGGAGAATCAAACTAAGCAAAGCCAAGCAATACAATTGCAGGATGTATCCTGAGTGCTGGTACCATGTTACTGTTCACCACTCGCTTCTCAGCAGGGCTATGTTGGTGGAGTAAAAAGAAAGGGAATGAAGCTGCACGGCCGTCATTTAAAAAGTCTTAAAAATGAAATTGGAAAAAGAAAGGAAATGAGTAACTTGCAAAATGTGTGCCCCACAGGCGTATTTATGTCAGCAGGGCCACACAGGAGAACTTGTTTTTCATTATTTTTCACTCAACTCTAAAGGACACTGTGTCACATGGGAATTGAGGACAACCCGAGAATAGGACCATGACCTGGGAATTGAGGACACCTTTCGGCAGTCCCCAGTTTTCAGGTTCCTGTGTTAGTTGTTACTTTGAAGTCACGGCATGTAGTTATGACTTACCAGCACAGTCACTTGCACTGGACGCTCCAGGCATTGCTGTTGACATTCCCTGTGGACATTGGTCACACTTGCTTTGCCCTGTGGAACTCTGATACATGCCTAGTGGACATGGAGTACATGGAGTGTGTCCATGACCACCGCTTGAATACTGGCCTTTCTCACATGGTGCTGTACACCGACACAACACACCACAGTACACACGGGCAGAAGCAATGCATTTAGTCAGATTTGCTGTACAATGACCAAGTATACCCCGGTCCTGCACTAATCTGAAGATCCCAAGAGCAATCATAATATACCATGTAAATGGACACCAATGGAATGTTGAAGTCTATGATATCCCACTGACACCATCATCTTGCCAGTATTGACTATTTGCTAGATATCACCTGAGTACATATAGATTTAGTGATTCACACACAGCATTATTATACTGTAGTGCTCAACCATAAATTGAGTCTCATCACGGTATACAAGTCAACGCATTACACCATAATTTGCTGCCCGTACAGAATATTCCACAGTCAGTAATGTGCACAAGACTGGTATTCTTACCAAGACATAGTGCTGCACTGGAGCTGGCATTCATCACAGTTGACAAACCATCCGGGCACATCTTGCATGTTTGCTGACCAAGTTCATCCTGGTAGGTAGGCACTGGACACGGCGTGCATGGCAGCCTGCCATCCGCGGACACTGTACCAACTCGGCATCTCTCAGTAAAAACAATGTTGATGTTGACCATGACTGAAGAGGATCGTTCTGGAACACCACTATCACTAGCGGTCACCGAGCAAACGCAGAAATCCTTAGTATTCCATGGCATGAGTGCCTGACCACCAATCAACTCTCCACTTGTGCTGTTGATCTGCAACCAAGTACAGTTGCAGAAGCCACCCGTCAAGCCGTACGATATCTTTCCTCTGTCACCTAGATCAGGATCGGTTGCTGTAGTTATTCCAACGCTGAAGCCAGGCGCCGCAATGTCTTTTTCTTCAAGTGTGAAGCTCATTACGGTGTCCATGAATGTTGGAGTGTTATCATTCTTTGGTAGAATGGTTACCTTGGTTACCTTGGTATCGGTGCTAGCAGACAGGACAGCACCTCCATCTGCTCCAGTGAGACTAACAATAAGCATCTCATCCTGCTCAACAATGGCATCATCAATGATCGACACGCGGATTGTTCCCGACACTTCTCCTTGCTGCATTACAAGCATAGAATCCCCACCGACATAGTCCTGGCCGACCAATGCCTTCACATCACCCATGGCAACTGAATCGGATGAAGCTGTGTAGTGCACGATGATAGATCCAAATGAGCCTTGCTGTCTTGAGACATCAACGAGTGCAAAACTGTCAAAGCCCTCTCTGACTACAATATTGGTTTGCACCATCTCCAGTACTCCATATGGGTTGTCATTCTCCAGTATGGTTATCTGCATTGCAGAGCGTACACCAATATGTGCTTGATCTGCTGAGACCAGTGTGAGGACAATTGTTTCATTCAACTCTGGAACAACATCGTCCTTGATATCTACTGTCAACATAGCAGATGATTCACCACTGGCAATATCCACAACACCGGAGACCGTGCGGAAATCTCCAGTCTCAAAAGATGATAAACTCAATGGTGCTTCATCCAGACTGGCTTGGAATGCTACTGAAAATCGAACAGTTGTTGCTCGCGTGCCGCATGCCCTCACGATCTTCAGGGAAAGTGTTCCAGCTGATTCACTTACAACCATCTCTGTTTGGTCGAACTCCACTACCCCACCCTGTGCCTGAGTCTTCAGGACATTAACTATGGTGGTTGAGTCATCTACAAACGCATTCGGCTCAGCAGACTTAAGTCGTAGCCTGATCTGACCCAGACTACCAGTAGGCGCCGGAACAGGGAGCTGAATTGTGGAATCCCAAACACCTTGCGCCACACTGTGCGATCCTTCACTCTGCAGGCTACCTGTAAAGCTGTGCAATGGCTCTGCAGTCCACGATACACTCACATCACCATAGGCTCCGTAGTTTCTCTTCAGGTCAACTGCTGCAGTGCCAGTGTTCCGTGTGACCAAGCAGGAAGATGGAGTTGGAAGAGTGAAGACACCCGATTGACGCGGGTACCTGAAGAAAGTAGCGTACTGTGCAGGACTGATGACAGACTTGACGAAGTTGGTGACTGATGAGTCTGTCTTGTTGAAGATGGACTTGACAGCACAATCTGGGCACGATGGTTCTAACCATTCTTTACTAACAGTGTCCCAGTATCTTATGATGACTTCAAGCTCATCATGAGGAATGGAAAGGTCGACAATATCCTTATTGGCTTGTAGAAGTGTGGCAGCTCTGTACAGCACGAGGACTTCATTAGGCTCTGCTTTGCTGACAAGCTCATCCACAATAGTGCCATTCAGCCACATAATGCGTACCGAGAATGTATAGTTTCCATCCATCCAGCCCTGAAACAAACACAGAGAAAACGAAATGAAAATAATTAGACCAGGAGAATCATGTGGCATGGTATAACACTCGCAACGTTTCACCAAGTAATGAAGCTAAAGAAGTACATGCCTGGGAAAAGAAAGGATCTTCATCTGGAGTAAGTTATTTTGAACATCTAGCTACTGACGGTTAGCCTCTACCATTGTAAAGTACCAGAAAGTCTCCATTGGCATTCAGGTTTGGACTAGAGCTGCATTGGCAGAAAAGAGGGTAATAAGTCCCTGTGTGAGAATATACACAACTAATCACTTGACCCCTTACCTCCGGAGGATTGGAGTCAGGAGCTACATACTGGATAGTGCCTTGTTGCTCCAGTCGCGGCACAGTCGCACGTCTCTTCCTACCCACTGCTTGAGCACCGCCACCCGATGGGAACAGTCTCTCAGATCTCATTTGAACAGTATCACCTGCAGTGCTAGGGTACATTCTCATTGCGCCGATTGTCTCCTCGCGATTGGCTGGGAATTTGTCGTTGGGGTCAACAGTTCGGTTCGGGTCCACGCTAGCACTGAGTTCTGCATTGTCAAAGTAGAGCACAGTTGGCATATCCACATCCTTTGGAACATCAACCAAGCTGCCACCAACCTCAAATCCATTGGATGACACATTGGTCATCAAGCCAGCATTGTTGATTGCAATGACAGTGACAAAGTAGCGAACGCCAACTTGCAAATTTACGTTTGGTAGGATATACTGGAATCTAACTCCACCACGGGCTGCTTTAACAATGTCACTTCCACCAGGTGTCGTTCCCAGGGAGATCAGGTAGTTGGCAATGCCACTTTCAGCATCTGATGCATTCCAGTTGATGGGTACAGCATCTGTGAAGACTAGCCTCTCCTGGTCAGGTGCATCATACCCATCATTAACATACAGCACATCCGGTGGACTCAGGTCCACTAAGAACCCATCGGATGACTGGTTGACCTTGAGACCAGCCCAGTTTGTAGCCACGACAGTTGTGTAGTACATAGTGAACGGCTGGATATTACACCCATTGCATTCTGCCTGGCCTGAGCCATTGACGGAAGTGATGAGATCAATGAGATCGCACATGCCCGGCTTGGTACCTACGCACCACATGTAGTTGTTGATGTCACTTTCTAGATCACTGAAGCCATTGTATGTCACCTCGAACGGGAACGAAAGAGAGCCATAGAAATCTACGTCCTGACTGCCAGATCCATCTGAGACTTTGCCAGCAACTGGTGGCGTGCTATCCACAGTGAATGTCCTAGACCTGGCACTGGCTATCTTGCCGGATGGTGTCCTAGCGTTCACTTCCAATAGGAACAGATTGTCTTCTGTAAGGCCAGGTGCGGCAACTGGTGCCATGATATTGATACGCTCTTGGTCTGGTTGTACACAGCCAGTCACATCATCACAGAACCAGCAGTTATCCAGAGCACCACCACTGGATATCGTTCCTGATGGGCACTTCTGACACATGCTTGGTAAGCTGGATGGTTCGGTTGTTGCTTGCCGACTGTAGTTCTGATGACAGAATGGAGTGATGTAGAGCTTGTTGTCGGACGTAGACACTGTCAATAACTGGTAGTTGAATGAAAGTGACAATGGGGCAGTGGCACTGTTCTGCTGACCGGCGGACATGCTGACTGCACCGAAGCGACTGCAAGAAACACTGCCAGCAGATATCTCAATGTCAAACACCAGTAGCATGCTGTTTGAGGTGGAAACTGCTAGCAGTCCACCAGCGTCATCCCTAACCTGCCAGGCCATTGCATCACCAGATGGTATAGCATCAGTGGCAGTACATTCAGCTGCACTGCTGCTACTGCCATCTGCTTCTAAAGTAAAGATTACCACCTTGCTATTAGAAGATGATGCAGGGTCAGTGTGTCGTACAATACACTGATGACTTGAACCCAGTTGAATAAGCTGAATGGACTGGATAGTGTCGGACGTCAACACAGTCCCAGATTGCATGTTCAGTACTCCTTGATTAGTTGTGAAGGACAGCACCTGCATACCATCAGTGATTACAATGTAGGAATCAGATGCTGTGAGTGCGTACATTGGAAGTAGCAAGCTACCGAATGATGCATCCACTGACACTCTTGATAGAACCCTTCCCGTCTTGTCCAAGGATATCAGTTGAATGGCATTACTTGCACTGCTGCCAAGTACATACACAATGTTATCTGGTGATATTGTTGTTGCTAGTACTGAAGACAAAGCAAGTGCACTGATATCCAGTGTAACCGCTTTCATTGTCGCATTCACAATGATCACCTTGCTTTGCGCTGAGAATACGACCAGACCAGCAGACACAGACACCTTGTAGTTCTCTCCTGGCATTGACTGATAACTGAACACTGGGTTGGAGGGTTGGTCAACATGAACAATAAAGATGAGTTCAGAGGACACAATCGCCAAGTGACCGGAAGGTGAGACAGCAGCAGATGATGCAAAGTCAACGAGTTTTTCAGTTGTTTGGAATGACATTTCCATGTGCGATGATTCAGCAAATTGACGTGTCTCACTGCAACATGGACTAGGAATGTCATCATAGACACCCAGACTTTGGTTTTGAGTTGCGTAGTAGCCAGTCAATGTAAATGATTCTTGATTACTCAACGTGTTTGTGATACTGCTGTTGTCTTCCACAAGAACACTGGGAACTGACAGGAAGAACTCAGCTCGTGGATCAGTGAATACCCATGGGAATTGAGTTGAGGAACGAATCGTAGTGTTTTTCTGCAGGTTGATAGTGGCTCCAATCTGAGTTCTGTCACCAATGAACGAACTTCCATAGACATTACCTCCCGTCCACGTGTCCACAGCAACCTCGATTGGCTCTCTATCCACAACGAAGCCATCTGATTCCGCTGCAATATCCAGACCAGCTCCATTGATAGCACGCACAACAACAGTGTAACGTCGACCCGCAATTAGTGTCACCGATACATTTAGTGATGTTAAAAGTCCGACTGAGTTGAATTCCACGACAACGCTGCGATCAAGCCAATCATCTACATTCTCATCAAATGTTTCTTCCATGAGAGCAAATTGATACTCAGCAATACCACTTTCAGCATCCACAAATCCACTCCACGTTGCCTGTATGAATGATGTGCTCCATTGGTAATCAAGATCATCACGAGCATCGCTGGACAACCCATCCAGAACCTTTCCAGCTAGTGGATGTGTTCTATCAATCATGAAGCCATCGGATGTTGACTTGGTTGTGAGGCCAGCTCCATTGGTGGCAACTACAGTGATGAAGACATTCATACCATTACTCAGTGCATAGCCCGTGGAGAGAGCTTCAGTTGCCATTCCGACAGAGGTCAGAGGGAAGATATCTCCTGCTTCTGGTGAAGTGCCAGCTGACCAAGCAAAGTCTGCAATGCCACTCTCATCATCAGAAAAACCACTCCACGTTGCACCAATGCCTGCGGTATTGTATTGGAAGTCAATGTCCATAGTCACCAGAAGACCATCTGAGACATTGCCGGATTTGGGTGGTGAAACATCAACCAACACACCATCAGTGAATGCTGACTCAGAACTGCCAGCAGCGTTGGTGGCTTCCACCTCAACAGCGTATGTTGATCCTGACTCGAGTTGAAGTGGAATTGTGAAGGCAGTCATGGCTGGTGATAACCTATAACAGACCAGAGATTCATTGAGATTGGGTGACTGATGCGCACATACTCGGAACTCAGTCAGTGGACTTCCAAAGTCATGGAAGCCTTCCCAAGAAGCTGAAAGATGAGTGGTGTTGGTCTGGTATTGAACATCTACTCCACGCTGGCTACCATCGAAGACTGGGCCTACGTCTGGACTGGATTCATCAACAGTGATAGTTGACATTGATGTAACAATAGTACTCAAGCCAGCATTGTTCACAGCCTTGACCTGTACTACATATGTTAGACCGTCCGTGAGGCCTGCTGATTGGGTGGTAGCTTTCTGCAGTTGATGTACACTAGTGAAACTAGTTGCACAAGCGCTTCCAGAGACTTGGCAGATTCTCCACTCGTAGTGGGAAATTCCACTCTCACCATCAGAGAAGCCACTCCATTCTGCAGCGATCAAGTCGGCATCATTCTGGAATCCACTGCTAGAGCTAATCTGCACTGTTCCCTCTGTTGGTGGTGAATTGTCACTCAACACTCCATCAGTACTCTTCTCTGCGTGTAGACCAGCTCTGTTGAAAGCACGCACGCTGCAGTATGTTGTCTGTCCGATCTGCAGCACAGCTGGCACGGTCACTTCTGTAGCAGTACCAGTACTCTGCCAAGGTGCAATGTCAGTCTGTCCAGGCAGGTTTCCAAACGCCACCTGATAGTGATCAATACTACTGACATTATCTGCAAACAGAGCCCAGGCACAGGACAATGATGATGTCGTACCAGAGAATTGAAGATCATACTGTGAACGACCGTCACGCACAATACCACCGCGTGGTGCTGAGAAGTCCAGGGTTAGTCCAGGAGAGACACGTGTTCGGGTAAGACCTGCCTTGTTAGTTGCTCTCACAGTTGTGTAGTATGTGCCGCCTTCCTGGAGAGAGTCCGACTCGAAAGATTGAGTGGTGGAAAGTTTGCTTATTTCCCGACAAGCCATGGCATCATCAATTGCCATCTCTGATGATCCGACGCACCATTCCACCAAGCTTATCTCACTCTGTTGATCAAAGAACTGGCTCCAGCGAGCAGATACTTTCTTGACACTGCTGAATGTTGTACCGCTGTTGGCGTTGGAGAAAACGCCACCTTCCGGTGGTGTATCGTCGAGCACAAGACAGCTTGATGTGCCAGGTGATGCCAGTCCGGCAGAGTTTCTAGCTGTGATCTTTGCAAAGTAGCAGACACCAGTGAGTGCATCAGCCAATGATACAGTGAAGCTGTCCATACCGATCACCCTCAAGTCACTGACTGTACATACCTCAACATCATCAGCTGCATAGTAGCAGAGTGAGAGATCAAAGACCAGTCCATCACTATGTTCGTCAGAGGAAGACCAAAACAGAGGTATATCAGACACTGCCTGCTGGTGCTTGCTCCAAGGAGATGATGGTGTTCCGAAGGAGACCTGCGGTGTGGAGGGAGGTGAGTTGTCAATGATAACTCCGTCGGATTTAATCATCTGTGTCAGACCAGCACCATTCTCAGCCATAACAGTTAGATAGACAGCAGTTCCGTCATCCCGATAGGCGATTCTCGCATCAACAGAGGCTGACGTTGTGAAGACCCAGTTTTGAATGTCGGTGAGACCGGGCAATGTTCCAAGAGCCCATCGGTATCCAACAATAGAGCTGACATCATCCTCACAAGCATCCCATGATCCAACATAGCCTTCACTGCCTGATTTATAGCTGACATCTACTCTTTCGCTGCCATCACGAATAGCTCCGCAGGTCGGTGGAGTAGAGTCAACGACGAATGGGCTTGACTGAACCTCCGAGGTCAAGCCAGCCTGGTTGGTTGCACGGACAGCTATGAAGTAGCTCTTCCCATCCTCCAGTGTCAGGCCAGTGGCTGTTGCAGACAAATCTCCACCAGCATCTGTCCAATGTAGAATATCACATGTAGTGACAAGACTGCCAATGCACCACTCATAGCTCAAGATACCACTGTCCGTGTCTTTGAATGGTGTCCACCATGCACTTACACGGCTCTTGTCACTCTGGTAAGCACTGTTAGCTGAAACCACACCATCCTCTGGCTCACTGAAGTCAAACGTTGTACTTGAAGATATTCCGATGACAGAGAGACCAGCATTGTTTGTAGCACGTACTTTAGCCACCAGGCACTCACCAGTAGGGAGTTGCACATTAGGAGTGACAACGCTTGTTACAAGGCCAACATTTGTGAAGTCCCGGATGCAGCGACTGTCCTTGGCATAACACAGAGCCCATTCGTATGATTTGATTGAAGAGTCTGCGTCAACAAAGTTATCCCAGCTAATCTGGAGCTCATCAGAACCAATAAATTTCTTATGAGCTTTCGAAGAGAGATCACCAATGCGGACGGTTGCCACAGCTGGCTCTGTTTTATCGACAACCACACCGTCACTAGTCTGAACACTCTCCAGGCCAAAGCAGTTGACTGCCTTCACAGACACGTAATATTTGACGGCTACAGCCGAGCTGGGGATCACAGTTGATGCAGTTCGCTCTAAGCCAGTAGATGTGTATGCCATGGTGTTGCACTGACCAGCCGATGTACCAATGCACCACTGGTATTCAACGATAGTCGAGACATCCTCTCTGAACTCGGACCAAGAGGCAGAAATACTGCTCTCGGTCTGGTAGTCAAGATCCTCTGGTCCCGGTCCGTCAATAACCACACCACGTTCTGGAGACGTTGTGTCAAAGACAATTCCCGTAGAGTAAGCCTCAGTGCGAAGACTGGCTTTGTCCGTTGCGATTACAGTGGCATATACGGACTCGCCGTGGGCAATTGGCAACTTAGGAGTAGCTGCGGATGTAGCTTGTTCTGCGTTGAACCAATCCTTAATGGAATTGTCACCTGGCGTAGTGCCCAGAGCCCAATGGAAGTTCTCAATGCCACTGCTGGCATCCGTGAAACCAAACCAATGCAGAGTAAAGCCGTCTTGTGTCTTGGACAACTGCACAGTACCAGCAGTCGGTGGTGTTTCATCAATAGTCAATGATGTGCTGCTGCACCTCTCGGTAAACAGACCAACCTTGTTGTAGATTCTAACTGTTGCCACAATTGGAGATGTGTTCTCCCTTAGCAGATGCTGTGGAATGTCAAACTGTTGCGTTCCTTCTGCAACAAACGTGAATGGTAGAAGGTTGGTGACATGGCAGCAGACACCAAGAGCAACTGTTGCATGTGAGATACCACTCTCCAGGTCACTGGCATCCCATTCCACCCACACTTCATCTTGCGATGTAATGTACCGCTGTGGGAGATTGAAGTTGACAGAACTGATGTCGGGAGGTGTGCTATCGATGATGGCTCCATTCGACTGAGCACAGACTTGTCGGTCGATGGCATTGGTTGCACACACTCTGCAGAAATAGGACTTTCCTTGCTCCAGTGACAAGCCATTGAAAAACGCATTCTGATGGTCAGACTCATACGTTTTTTTGCTGATCATGACTTCAGGAGTAGCAGCTTCAAAAAGCTGTGCTGTGTAAGATACAATACCGTGTGTAGGATCGGTGTAGCCAGACCATGAACACCAATAGCTACGAATAAACTTCTGCTGTTGGCTGTCGTTCACATTTGGCCCATCCAACACCACACCAGCAGAGAAAGGGCCAAACAGTGCAGTAAACGGAGAAGACTCGACGTCAGATTGAAGACCAGCACCATTTGTCAACCGCAACACAATCACATAAGTCCTGTTGTTCGTGACCAGGACATTATCAAGCTGAGCTTTGTTTGGTGCGGGCGCACAGTCACACAGACGTTGGAATCCAGTTCCAGTTGGAGAGCCAGCCTCTTTCAGCAACCAGTCCATTGCAGCAATACCAGTCTCTGGGTCAGTCAATCCAAACCAAGCTACATCCAAGGATACATTGGCTGTTGCTGTATCACTGGTGATTTCTGGGTATACGACTGACACCGTCAAGTCACCATTGAGTACAGGTGGTGATGTGTCAGTCACGACACGTGCACTGGACAGTGATCTGAGACCAATATTGTCATAGGCAAACAGAGTGACAAACACTTGCGAGTTTTCCGGTATGGCAACAGCTGGAGAAGCACTGCTGGTGGAATAGCTTGTGGACAATGCAACATTAGTCAGTGGAAGAATATCACTTCCACCATGGGTAGTTCCAATGCTCAGAACAAACTCCTTCAGACCACTTCCTGTGTCTTCTGCTTGCCATTCTCCATCCACACTTTTGCTTGTTGGATCGAATGTGAAGCGAGAAAGCAGGAAGGTTGGAGGTGATAGGTCGATAATCACACCATTAGTAGACTTGGTAGCTGAAAGACCTGCCTTGTTAGTCAGTGTGAGATTGACGAAATGTGTTGTGTCTGCTGCCAGGCGGAATCCACTGAACAGTGATGTACTTCCTGTGACAGGCAGCTCAATGAGACGACCGGTTGGGTCTACGCGCTGGATTGTGTGAAGGCCTGACTCCGCATCTGCACATTCCCAGTTCACAGCCAATGAAGACTGTGAAGTCTGGTAGACCCGATCCTGGCCAAGAACATTGCCATCGTTCACAAACGTACACGTTGGTGCAGTCAAATCAACCGTTACGCCATTAGATGAAGCCCTGTTTTCCAGACCAGCTTGATTAGTGGCACTGATGGTCACATAGTATTTCACACCGTGTTCAAAACTTCCTGACAGTGTTGTGCTGGTGACGGATGAAACATCAGTGAAAGCGACAACATCGTCCAGGTCTGGTTGCTTACCAATTCCAATCTTGACACTCATCAAACCGCTGTGTGGATCATTGACCATCCATGCTGCTTGTAGTTCAGTGGCGCTGGATGAAAACTGCATGTCAGCAAGGTGATCTGAACCATCATTCACATAGGTAAACTGTGGCGGTGATTGATCGAATGCGATACCATCCGAGGAGATTGTAGTACGTGTGCCCACACCGTTAGTTACACGAACGGTACTATAGTAGCGTTGTCCTTCTAGCATATTGATGGATGCATCACTAGCTTGATTAGCGGATGAAGGGATGACTGTGAATGCTTGCACGTCTTGAGCTCCTGGCACGGTACCCACAGCCCATTCCTGGCGGTGTATTCCACTGCCTGGATCCATGCACTGAAAGTGAACTGAAAGTACTGGCTGAGAGCTTGTCCACGTAATATCTACCACTCCACCATCGGAGATAGATGTGCAGTTTGGTGGTGTGCTGTCAGCCGCAAATGCATTGCTGATTATTACAGCTCCAACTCCAGCTCTGTTGACTGCCTTCAGCACCACATAGTAATCTTTGCCTTCTTCCAGTGCAACGTTGCGGACAATGACTTGATCTGCTGAAGCTGCAGACTGGTACGGAATAACTGCATCATACAGGTTATCACTGGAATTGGACAAGCCCACAAAGTACTGCTGAATATCTGTATCATCGTCGAAACAAGCATCCCAGTTAGCTGTGTAATAGTGTGTATATCTTGCCCAGGTCAGCTGACCTTGAAGACCAGGGCGAACTTGCCCTGGACATGTTGGTGGACTTGAGTCAACCACCACACCATTGGATGCAGACACAGTCTCCGATCCAGCTAGATCAGTTTCCTTCACAAGGAAATGCAGACGAACACCATTCGGGAATCCACCATTCGGGCTAACCGAGGATCGCACTGTGGAAAGATCAACATTACTGAACGGAGCATAGTCAGCATTCATATTGCCAGTTCCGACGCCAACCTGGCGAGACGCAAGACCAACATCATCACCTGTCCATCTCCAGTTAGCCCAGAGTGTAGTGTTGATAGACTGATACACACTGTCAATGTCACTCCATCCATCCAGCACCAGGCCTGTGTGTGGAGGAGATTTATCCACCACAAATCCATTGCTTGTTATGGCTACCCGGCGTCTTGCACCATTCCTAGCCTTGACTGTTAAGAAGTAGCGCTGACCATCAAACAAAGGTCCCAGCTGCACAGTGTACTTGCCATCATTCTGTTGGGATTTAGTCACAGGTACAACGTCAAAGCCACCTGGGTAAGTACCGAGGGACCACTCACTTTCAGTGATACCGGACTCGTTGTCTTGCGATTCATAGGAGACACTGATGTTGAATGTGTCGCGGCTAGTCACTGTGAGATCTTCATTTGTCTCCGCAATCTTCTGCACAATGTTCTTCAGTTGCGGTGGTGTCTCATCGATAAGCACACCATCACTACGACTCTCAGCTGTCAATCCAGCTCGATTGTGTGCCCGGACTGCATAGTAGTATTTTTGTCCTTGTGTCAGAATGCCTGATCGACCGGTCACTTCAAAGTCCACTCGTGCAAATTGCCACGGTATGACCATGGTACCATCTTCAGCAAAGACAGCAGTCTCCACATGTGAGAGGCCTGACTCCCAGTCATACCAGGTATCGTTCAAGCATGTTGAAATATCCGGAGTCTTCACAGCAGTCTTTGGAGGCCATGCATCAGATGTATGCGTAGCTAAGCACAGAGGGTAGTTACCGAACATAGAAGTTGCAAAGTCCCAGTAAGCGAGATCTTCACGCAGTACCTGACTGTCGAATACTTTGCCAATCTCTGGCGGTGTCACATCCACCATGAAGCCATCGGTGGAAGCAGACTGCACCAAGCCAGCGGCATTACTGCAATTGATAGAGACTGTGTAAATACCGCCATTTTCCAACTGTAGATTAGTCAGTAGAGTAGATGTGGTATCACCATTCAGGTCAATGGTATCTACAACGGTGCCATTCCTGCTCACAAGTGAAACATCGTATCTTCTCACCGGACTTTCAGAGTCAAGGAAGGCATACTGCCATGACGGTGATGCAGCCTGAAGAGTTGTTTGGAAATCTTGATCAAACTGGCTGTACTGCAGGGGCAAATTGTCGTACAGGTAGATATCAGCCAAATGTGGTGCAGTCTTGTCCACTAGTATACCGTCCGATACCACCGTTCTGCGGAGGCCAGCACGATTCCAGGCACGGCTGATGACAAAGTGTGGACTTCCTGCAGAAATTGTGTATGACGTGAAGCTGGCGTTCACCTCCCCAGTTTGTTCAGAGAACATTTGCATTGGGACGATGTCAGATCCACCTTGGAAAGAACCGATACCAGCTTCCTGCATTATGACTCCACTCTCTGGGTCGTAGCAATCCCAGTTGGCACCCATTACCTTCAGTGTTGATGAATAGTCAATATCTTCCAACACACCATCCTCAATGTCGATCACCTCTGTGCACACTGGTGAGGTGTAATCCACAAGGAAGCCGTCGGAATAGCAGTCCGTAAATAGCCCAGCCTTGTTCCAAACACGGATTTCTGTGCGGTATGTTCCACCTAGCAGCAGGTTGAGCCCATCGGTGAAAGCATTCAGTCGAAGGTTGATATTCCTCAGCGAGAATTGTCTAGCACCGGAGGCATCGACTATGGACCATTCATAATGTGAGATTGGGCTTTCTGGATCTGAGAATCCAGACCAGGCTGTTTTAAAGTTGATTGTTGATACTACATAGTCTTTGTCCTTTGTGATGTCAAACGAATCATCTACAATTTGTCCACACACAGGGTTGGTCGTGTCAACAAGAAAACCATCAGTGGAGACCCACGTTTCGATCGTCTTGTCGTTTAGGGCATAGGCAGAGACATAGTAGCGATGATTATGCTGCAGGTCAAGATTGTTATTCTGCAGACTTGTAGAGTAACCAACATCAGTGAATTCCTGCAAGTCGGTACCATTTGGTATTGTACCAATAGCCCAAGTTGTTGCAACAAGCCGAGAGACATCCTCTGTAACTGAAAGAACAGCTTGCACTGTGTTTCTACTCCATTGGTAATCAAAGTCCTGTGGGAATGACGTGTTTCCATCGCGGAGCACAATCTGGGGAGGCGTTGTGTCAGCAACAAACGCTCGTGCTGTCTGACTTGTTTTTAGATTCTCGTCGTTCCTTGCATTCACTGTAACAAATACCTGCTTGTTGTGTGGCATCTGAACACCTTCCAGAGTGAACGAAGTAGCTGTGGCCATGTCTGTGTCTCCAACGATATCATCAGCACCTGCTGATGTTCCAACAGTCAAGCTGTACTCCACTACGGACGACTCGTCATCTTTGAATCCATTCCAAGAGCAGGAAATGTCATTCACTCCAACCTGGTCTGCCTTGACCGAACCACCAGTGTTGTAGATGGGTGGCGTGGTATCAGGAGCAGCGCCGCATGTGTCCAGCACCACTGATGACAAGACGGTTCCCGGCAAATGCCAGATAGTGATGTCCTCTCGATCACACCAATCAATCCACGGTATGCATACCCAGGATAGCCAGCCACTGGCACACTTCAACGCCGGGCACAGGAGCAGCTGGTAGTATGCTGAGAGTCGCAGCGAGATTGGAATGACTTCCAGAGTTGTCTTCAAGCACAGTTGGAGCGCATTGCTCGGTGTCAGTTTCATCGTTATCTCGGGGATGAACCTGGTGTTGAAGATGGTAGCAGTCAGCGCAATGCCACCGCGAGCAATCAACAGGAACACACCCGCCTCAGCTCTAAACTCAGCAAACACATACGGGATTATGGCAGCCTTCACAGAGCGGTCTGCCATGCACAGGGCTCCAGCGAAGTCCATTCCGTAAGATGCACTCAACTCCATTCTGAACTCGATTGGCAGGAGGGGCACAATGAGGTAGATCTGACGGAATTCCCAGATGATCTTCGTCCTGGGTGATAGTAGTGGTCCACCGCCAGACAAACAGCCACTATAACCCTCTCCCGTGTTAGCAATGTCATCAAACTCAGTGTTCTCTTCCTCCGGCTCAGCAAAGTCAAGCAAATCCTGGTCAGTGGAATCAACCTTCTGAACGGCCTTGGCCTTCACTTTGGGGGCAGGTCGTCGCTTGTTCGCTCTTGTTGCAGTGACTTCCGTAGTGTTCCCTGTTGGGATCACTTCTCTCGGCGAGATAACGTCTCGTCCCAATAGCCTCAGGAAGACCTCATTGTCAGTGATAGCTTCTTTGATCTTGAGATTGGCCTCCATAACTGGGTATTTAAAGTACCAGGTGCTGTCTTCAACATCATTCAGAGACAAAAGAGCCTTTGGCTGATGGCCTTGTGAAGCACTGGCAAATGTGACTATGAGAGAATCGTCCTGGCTGTTTGTGTAAGCCAGACCACTTGCTCCATTGGGAACTCGGACGGAGCGCGATGGATCCTTGGTGAGCAAGTTGATGAAAGGGGCCGTGCCAAGCTTGAAAGGACTGGATGCTTGTGGGATGACTCTGAAATCCACACGGCATGGGAATCCAATCTTGTCACCACATGCCAACAAGCCAACATAGGTGTGACTGCCGACGACCTTCATTATCATGTCCTGAACATAGGGCCCAATGACAAGGGCTTTGGTTGGTGTCAATGACCTAATCTTTCCGGACGAGTCTAGTTTGATACCTATGGCCGCACCACCGTATTTGCCTTTCACGTGTGACGAAGGAACAGGAAGCTTGGCCGTGCCAGTCTTGCTGTTGTCATAGGAGTCAGCTAGCCACAGCAGGTTTGCGGCGCTTTCATAGAACACACCGTAGCCGGCTGCATCTGGCGCATACCTGGCGGTGATATTGATGGTGAGAGGCTCTGGTGACGACAGGTCGAACAAGCTCTTCTTCAGGGAAAACAACACAATGCTCTCAGAGGATTTATGGGCCTTCTCCACTCCAAACAGGTAGACGTAGTCCTTTGCTCGACCTATTCCCAGACGGTATGAATAGTGTTTCTCCAGACCGGTATTGATCTCAAATATTCTGAGAACCTCGTCTGTTTTCTGATTCATGGCCACAACCAGTGGGTTCTTGTCAGCATTCAGGCCGGTGCCAAACATGCTGATGAGGAAGATTCCATCAATGTCTTTGCCATTCTCGTCATCATTGAGAATGGTGACACCTTGAGCTTGCCAGTCTTCATAAAGGCCGGGAATCACAGTGAGATCCCTGCTCAGTGTCTGGAAATGCGGATATTTGAGCGGCAGGACCCAATCTCGGTAGGCATCACTGGAGCGCTTCTTCTTGTTCAGGCATAGCGTTTCGGAGCAGTGTTGTAATGTTGTGTAGTCTTCCAGCTCACTTGGGTCCAGAGTTCTACTTTGCCATTGAAGTCTGGCAAGGTAGACATTGATCTTGTCAATTAGCTTGTCCGGGAGGGTGGTGATGAGCCTGATCTGGTCACCGGCTTGGCCCAGAACATCTGCACCAGAAACCTTCTTCAGCTGGGTCAAAAGCTGTCTTGCATTCTGAACTTGCGTAGTCACCTGCTTCAGAACACCGCCAACGGGACCCTCAAGGAACTTAGTCAGCAAAGTTGTCAGATTGAGGCCCCTCACAAACGTATCAATCTCGCTATCAGTTGGCAGAACTTGATCTAACTTCTCGCAGAAGTCCAATACACCAAACATTCTGTCACTGAAGGACTTGATGCGCTGCAGGATACCTGTATCACCCACAATGTCATTTATCCTCGGTTCCCACACTGCGATGTTTGTCTCCACGACGTCCGTGACATCTTGAAGCAACTCCAGCTTGGACAGAAGGCTGCTGACCTCAAATTTGTCAATAATACCGGCAATGAACTGGCTGGCATCCTTCAGTTGAGCCAGTTGCGGTTGAATTGTCCTGAGGGGCTCCAGTTGAGTCTGCATGGCAGTTGTTGCAGAAGATAGCTGCGAGAGTGTTCCGGACAGAAAGGCCTTTGCAGGTTCGATGAGTGGTTGCAGAATGGACATACCGGATGCCATCTCTTTCAGGTCCTGGACAAGGATATCTGTGATGCACACGGCACCTGGAACGCACTCAAGGTCAAGGTAGAGCTCGATGTTTGCAAGGTGATCCTTCAGCAAACGCTGTGTGGCAGCCCGTGTCACTCGGAACTGACCGTGGAATTGCTTGACTGTTGACCTAGCTTCGTCGAGGGCAGATTGGAATGTCTGGCGGTAGCTGTTGTACTGATCCTTGACGCCTGTCATGGTCAAGAATTTGTCAGCCAACGATCTGGTGTCGGTTAAGAATCCAGTTTGTGCTCTCAGTTGTGGAATAATGGCTCCCACCGAAGCAACAAACTCCTTGATTCTAAGTGTGTACCTGTCCAGGATGGAGTAGATGGGTTCAATGACGCTTCTCACCGCTTCTTTACTCCTCTCTTTCAGCTGAGCAAGGAGCGATGAAGCGATCCTCGTTACATCCAGGCTCTCAGCAGCATTGTTGATCAGGTTGGTGAACTTGTCCTCCTGCTCCTTTATCCAACCAGTTGTTAGTGCCAAGCCCTCGTTTAGGTACTTCCCGGGCAATGTCGTAATGATTTCATTCGCTTTGTCTGCAAGACCATTGACAGTGTCGGTGACGATGTTGAATCCACCATCATCTAGAAGAATCCTGTTGGTTAACAGCACAACGTCTGCCACCTTAGTTGCCAAGGGACCAATGTCAGGAATCGTCTTGGCAAACATGGCCGCCGCATCAATGAGATCTCTGGAGCTGCGCAGGATGACTCCAAACTTGGTTCCATTGGTTGCCCAGTCCTTCAAGTTCTCCAGGTTCGTTAAGACTACCTCTGTGACGTTGTGAACTCCGGTCAATAGGAAACGTTCTATTTTCTGAATCATTTCCTCGACGACAGGTTTCACCTTGGAGATGATGACATCGTTAGCCTTGGCAGTGAGTTTTTGTACCATAAATAGCAGCTTATCTCTAGCTTTGCCGACCAAGTCCTGGAAAGTTGACGCCACCTTGTTTTTCGTCAGTGCACCCAATAGGACATCGCCGGCCTTGTCAATGAGACCATCAATGCCAGTGGTGAAATTCTGGATGACATTTCTGACCAGGCCAGATATTTCATCCACCTTCATGTCGATGGTCTGAACAGCTGTTGTTGCCGTGTCTAGGATACCTTCGTACTTGGCTAGGGCATTGACAACCACATCACTGTCCAGCACACTCTGCACTACACCATCCATAGAGGTGAAGAACGAGTTGATGCGCTGGGTTGCCGTATCCGTCACCTGCAGAGAGAACCTTTCAACTGAGTCGACAACCCCGATGGCATTCTCAAAGACTGGCTCAGCCTTTGCCATAGCAGCATCCAGCAGCTTGACTGCCCGCACGAGGCTTTCAAACAGGGCACGGGCTTCTGGTCTGCTTGTAGCTTTCTGGAATGCCCTGGAGACAAATGCTTCGATTGATTGTTGTACATCCGTGACGAGGCCATTCAGTTCGATAAAAATCATGTCAATTGACAGGATCTTCCCACTGTAAAATTGAAGTTGGTCAATGAATGTGGTGACACCATTCAAGAACGACACAACGTTGGAGAGGAATGACGTCAGTTTTTGTGAGCTAGCCACAGCTGTGATAGTGCGGTTGGCCAGGTTGGTCGCATACGTCACAGATTCTCTGACAGCAGTGATGGTTTTCAGCTTGTACTTCTCCACGAAGTTGCGGAGAAAGTCGTTGGCACGGTTGAGATTCGTCTCGATGAGGTCACGTGCTTTGAGTCCCTTCTCACGGATGAAGTCATTCAGCTCACGAATTTTACCCAGAGATGTTTTGACGAAGTTTCCAATGGTGACTAGCTCATTTGTTGCCTTGACAATAACTTTGAAAGCCTTGGTTTCTTGCAATAGCTCAACCCCTTTCTCGATGAATGTCTCGGCACGGCTGGCAACTTCCAGAGCTCTGTCAGCCATTACAAAGAATCTGCCAACAGGTGCGGCAAGTTCCACCAGAGGTGTGTCTAGCAATCCCTGCAATGGCCGGACATAGGATCTCATCAGGTTTAGGAACTTGAAGACCGCACCGACCACTTTGCTGATGACGGAAGATGCTGAAGCAGCCAAGTTGTTGATGCTATCCCACACAGTGTCCAGGAGATCTGTTGGAATAAGACTCTTGTAGGCAAGTCGAGCACGGAAGGCAATTTTCCCATGAAGAATGTCAATATCGCCACCGAATGCCTTTGCCTTGATAATACCCTCGTTGAAGACGTCGATTTCCATGTTGCCGTCAAATAGAGACACATACAGCTGCAGGAGGTTGCGCAAAGTGAATTTCATCTCTGCGCCGACCCAGCTATTGCCAATCTTCTTCTCCCAGCCATCATCTACACCAGCTGTGATGTCAAGGAGAGGCTTTAGGAAATCACGAGCAGTCAGTGCTCTCTTCAGCCGATCCTTGGAAGCCCGTCGATCTTCCCTCAGCTTCTGTAAACCGTTCCAGAATGTCTCATCTTCCTCAGCAATGTTGGTGTTTTGTTCAAAGAAATTGTGGATGGCAATATCCAAGTCATTGCCAAAGCCAATTTCTGCCATTGCATGCTCACGTATTGCTGCAATGGTTTCACCTTTCAGTCCCATCTTCATGTGACGCACTCGCAGTTGATCAACAACATTAGCCTTCTCCTGGTGAGATGCTGTTCCATTCTTCAGGTGTTCAAGATAGTGATGCTCAGCAATGGAACAGTTCATGTGTCGCATTGCACCATAGGCAATAAGACGAACTTGCTTGCGATGATCTTGTAGATGTCCGATGACCTTTTCAATGCTTGCACAATTGCCAGCGTTACCAATGGCTGCAAGGTGGACTCGCGTGTGCAGTTCCACTTCGTCATCTGTCTGCTCACCATGCTTAGGACAGCTATGAAGCTGCTTTTCCAGCCATGATAGAAGTTTCTCCGCCAGCTCAGGCTCTTTCTCACTGACAACTTGCGACAAAGACCCAAGTGCCAGTGATGCATAGTGGCGGATTGAATTGCTGCCATGGTTTTCAGCCATGTGACGGACGGTGTTGACGAGTTGAAGATGCGGGTCTTCGACAAAGTGTGAATCAATCAGGATGTGGCTGATGATGTCATGTGTTACGCTGGAATTCATCAGCAAGTTACTCAAACACGGGTGTGAGTCTTGGGAGACCATACCTACTGCTGTCAGACCATAGAATTCATTGTTGGATGTGAAATGGCCGGCGCATATCTTTTCCACGGCCACTGCTACCATTTCAGCATCGTTGCGTGCATGGATGAGAATGTCATGAAGACATTTCAGTGACTTGGACGATGCAATTGTCTCAACGCATGGATACAGAACGTCATAAAGTCTTTCCTCGGCTGACATCTGCTTCTTAGGCTCAGGGTGAAGACCTTCTGCTCTGGAATACTGGATTTTGGTTAGATCGACTCCATTCATCAAACTGCCATTGCTGAATGTTGCAGAGGCACCATCCAGAAATGCCTCCAATGATCTCTTGTGTCGATTATCTTGTTCACAGTCATCATCACTCTTCCACAGTCGTCCTCGGCTGATCAGTATGGTGGAGTCTCCTTCATATGACTTTGCTCGTTGAGAAAGCTTGGTGGCACCGCGGCCATTAAAGAAGTTGGTGTAGGCAAAGTCATTCTTCTCCAGATGTCCGTCCACGATGAGCAAATCATTCTGCAGTTTGCTGGTGGGCGCAGACTTTTCCATGTGCTCATCGGCATAGTATTGGATGTGCTGGCCGTGAGCTGTGCGCTTCAGCCTCATTCCTCTCGGCCCATGACCATCAACGCTGTAGTGCACCTTGAATCGACCCTGCTCCAGTGTCTCGTGTGATGTGAACTGTGATTTTCCAGAGTTGAAATCCGTCAAGTTACGTTGCAGCGAGGCCAGAATACCTACATTGAAATAGAAAAAAGAGTTAAAACAGAACACAAAGAACCTCATAAGGTTGCTGGTGACCTGCTGTTGAAAACAAAACGGACAGACCACCAAAGTCCAGCTCCAGATCACATGCTACATATGCGGCTGCCGATCTGCTATAGAAAATTGATATGCCAGAATTGTATTTCAAGCACATACTAGCACACAAAGCGTATGCATCGCCCATGGCTGCTAGTCTCGATGGTGATGCCCGAGCACTAATCCATGGCGAGCGGCAGCAATAATCGTCTATTAAAGACTGCTGCGGCTCAAGTCAAAGCCGTCGTCACGCACACAGTCTCAGGACTCAGTGTGCAGTGGATTATTGCTCATATCTCCTACAGTAATCTCGCTCCATGAAAAATACTGTAAGAATATGTAACGAACAAGTAAATCTAACGAGTTAACGAGCAAAGATTTGTCGTCATTTTAAAATTTGTTAGCAAAAGTCGTATGCTTTCAGGCCTCGCACGATCGAAATCGATCATTTCACATTATTGCATGCAGCGCGTGTTCAACAGATCGTAACTCGGTCAATTCTCAACGGAATTCAGCAATCGAAAGATCTATATGATAGCAGAGACGCTCAGCAGTCGGCTCGAACAACTCCGAAGTCTCTCAGATGAATTTTGAAGAAGCGGCAGGAGATCGAAAAATTTGAATTTTTTACGCTCTTTAATACGCTGGATAAATTTCATTTTCTTTATTCTCCTGAGATCGGTGTCTTGCTTCTCAAGACCATGTCGCAGCGCCCGTCCTGGTATACTGTGATGGACAACAATAAACGTCTTTGACGAGCATTCCTAGTATTACTGCGTCTGTCTGAGAAAATCGTTAACTTTTCAAACCGTTAACCTTCGAAAATCAGAAAATCGTTAACTTTGCGGGTCGTTAGAATATTCAATAATATGATTTACAGTAGCGGATGGGCCAGTCAACTCCGGTATGTTCCTATTCCATACCATTCCAGGCACATAGCGCCGTATCGCAAAATTCGCAAACAAAGCAGCTAGAGTTTGCCGAACCCTGTCCGCAAAAACGCCCAAAACATGATAAAAAAAAGTATCGCAAAGTGTCTGCGTTCAACGTTCATTCAATGCATGTGTGGATGTGTCGACTGGACTGCATGTGGCTCAGCGCAGTGTGAAGCAGGGAGTAGTAAATACCAGTGTTTTACTGCTCCCTGTTGTGAAGTGACTACACGGTGAAGTTATTGTTCCTTTGCTGCTCCCTGCCATTAGAGGAAAAGTAGCATGTTTGTTTGCAAGTCCAGATGTCGGAGCCTCCAGCAAAACGTTTGCAAGAAGCAGTCGATGGTACATGAAGTTCAAGATCAAAGGGTAATGATGTATAGTCTGCTAAATCAGACTCGTTGAATTCTCGTGAGAAGCGCCATAGGTTTTGATGAATGCAGTGTACCGTAAACAGTCCAAACAAAGGAGCTGGCTGAGCCAGGATCCTTGGCTGCAAAAATGAAAATAGGGTGAAATGTGTACGCTATGTCACGCCACATGACCTTCCAAAGCAGACTGAGAAGGGCTACGCTACGCCCATGCCATCCCAAGGAATATTGCAATCATGATTGTGCTTGGATCCATTTTCATTCCGGGGAGAGTCCCAGCCTCGCTGTTTTTCGGCACGCCATTTTTGGGATGCCAAATCTCATAGTACATGTATTGCTGAGCACCACTACTGCTGGTTTGTTTTACGACCGCCGACTATGACTATGATTGTTCCCATCGGATCGAGCACTAACGGTGTTCTAACGGTGTTCCCACAAGCTGTCCGTTAAAAAACGGTATCAATGTCAGTCATAGAAGACTCAGTGCAAGGATATTCAAACAAAAACAAGGACACTGCGGGCAAAGTGTGGGCTAACTGTCTCTTCATCTCACCTTTCTTGAATATGATGACATCATCTGTTTCATTGTGTGGGAAATACACGGAGTTGATGTGTCCGGCGCTGTCCTGCTCGAACAAACAATCGCTGCCTAGTTTGTGCAGCAGCCTGGCGTCTGTCGACGCATGACGGTGCTCTGCATGAGGCCGGGGATTGTCGATAACCAGCTTCAAGAGCCATGACTGTGGTCTCCTGTCAAGCTCTTGAAGAACGCTCACTTCAACCTGAGATTGTGAGGCGAGAAATAACCATGATAACACAGCAGAATCATGACTGAAAAAGGCGCTCAGAATCAATACGTCACCATGGTCACTCAGTCAGTCAGTCGTCAGATAAAATAGCCAATCAGCGGATTGTACAGGTTAAAAGTAAAGTAAATTATCGTATCCGTTCCCGAAGGGAACTCACGACGGCCGCTAACACCCGATAAACCCTAGCGGCAGATGCAGCGCCTAACGGTGGGGGTGAGTGGGTAAGTCTCACAACCACTGGCACAAGTGCCGAAAGCGACCCCATTAGCTGCATCCATGTACCCCTTGGGCCTGGCCACAAGTTCCCAGTTGACTGTGTGTAGCAGCACGGCTGGAAAAACCGCTCCCAGGCAGGACTTGAACCAGGTACCTCTCGTATCTCAATCATGGTCTTTGACCAACCCACTGTGCCTGCCTATTGTACAGGTTACAGAGAGTAAATCTACCTGTTCTAAATATAGTTGCCAGGAATGGCCTAAGGCTAACTAACCATAATTATTAGTATACCAAGACTACTCCCTAGCCCTGGTAATCTGGTAATCATGGTAATGGAGTTTAGCCACCGAGACTGCTACGGCTCAGCTGCGGCATTCTGCCATATGCCGTCATCACCATCGAGACTACCAATTCCCGGTTTGAATCGGACCAACACTGCCATTGGAGAACACACAACACACAACATGACTACCGCAGTACCGGTACTGGCAGCAGCCAACCACCATAGTCCATGGTCTAGTCTTGATGGCGCTCATCTGGAGCCCATTTCCATGATTTCCCTTGCTGCAAAAGACGTACTTCAAGTAGATCTACACACATGATGCAGCTCTTCCGCTGGTTACGATTGCAAATCGCATAGTCCATGGTCTAGTCTTGATGGCGCTCATCTGGAGCCCATTTCCATGATTTCCCTTGCTGCAAAAGACATACTTCAAGTAGATCTACAATGCAGCTCTTCCGCTGGTTACGATTGCATATCGGAGCTTCGAGCTTCGATATAACAGTGTATACCAACCCGAAATCGGGTTTTCCTTTGCTCGAGATAGGGGGGGGGGGGGGGGGGGGATGGGAGGTACGAATGTTGAATTCTGAATAGTGCGCTAATATTGCTTTAAAGCTTAGCCTTGCCATGTGAATGAAACGCAGCTTTACAACTATAATTTAACCTGTTGTCACCATTCCCTTCTGCCTTGTTAGTGTGTGGTATTGCTCCATCTTTTGAGGTGTTGAGCACTCTAGCAATCTGGAAATTCCCACTGTTGTGTGTGTCCATGATGTCATAATGTTTACCTCTGCGTCGACTCCCATGATGGTCTTGCCTTGTCCGCCGGTACTGCGGATACCGAACTTCATACTGTAATGATATGGTAGACATTGACCCGGGTGTAGAACCAGCCTGGCTGGGCTGTACCGCTGCTGCTGCTGGTGGTTAACTGCGACTGCATACTGTGCAGCGAGCGCTAGAACGCTCAGTAGGCAAGCCGCTTGTACTAGCCACGCTCTGTGACCGAGGCAACATTGCCTCATTTTCATTGATTTACTCTATTCTTTGGTGTTGATATTGTGTTCTTTTCGCCTTTCTGCTCAAATATTACAAATGAAAACAACAAGAAGAGAAAGTTGTACTCGAAGTATGCTTTCCTATCAGGATCGAAAATTGCAAACCGACTGTCGATCCGATTTCTTCGGAATGGTTGAAGCTTTGCTAGCAGTAGCGAACATGTTTCATTTGACTCATGCCGGTTCGGCGCTCCGAGTCTGAGGCCATGCCAAGCATCAGCTCCAGTCTTAGTCGTGTATTATTATCCCCAGCATGAGTGGATAGCTGTCTGGGCATGTAGAGCACGGTGTCTGACAGGGCATGGCATGAACAAGCCTCGTCAATATGCTCTGCAGACCTAGCACAGTTCTTCAGAGCCGACACTGCGACAGGCTAGGCGTCAGCATGAGTGGGTGCCCACACACCATACATAACCTCTAGAACCTCTACGGCTCTAGATCAGGCTACACCAGTACTGTGGCAGTAGACCAAGACAGTGCAGTTGTCAGTCAGTTTGACATCTTGACAGGTTCGTGCAGCACACGGCGCCTTTCATCCCCACCTAAAGCACGGGCTACAGTCGTCCAGATCACGTGCGTGGGTGGCATTGAAGGCATTGAAAACACTGATATGCTGATTTCTGGAAAATGCTACGAAGTAGTACAGTGCGTCAGTAAATAAAAAGTGCAGTATGATAAGATTCTAACAAGCACGGTGTGGTGCGTGATGCATGGTTGCGCAAGTACATCATTGTACAATGTAGTTAACAGCAGTGATGTGTTCCCGTAATAAAATTTAATCTACTTCAGTACCATCCAGTGATCAAAACATGGTGATACACTGTAGGTAGCATTACCAGTACTAGTAATCTGGTCACTCATGGTCTACTGGTCCGTGAAGGTCCTGGAAATGGCCGTCGGGAGTTCGTCGGTTACAGTGTGCAATTTGGAATGCTGAGGCCGGAGTGAGGGTGACTGCTGCTATCATAATTACACAATGGTCATGTACGACACCTTCGCAGCCACAACGCTTCGAGAATGTCTTGAGTCAGAGATGGCGGAGAAGCAAACAATTTTGCTGCAGTAGATACATGTATAGCAAGACTTGAAGTACATGTACCGGTATACGGTATACATGTATGTGGCGATGTTTGCATCATGGCATACTGATAAGTAGATGTTGATTTGGCTGGAGCTGACTGATGACAAGTAATTAGTTAGTTGATGGTGCGAAGTCCTACCACGCACATTCATACATTCACGCCTGAAACAAAGTCACAACGACTATTAGTTGCAAGAACACCAACAGCTGCATGACAGAAGATTAGAGTGGTACAGAGTAGCACAGCGAGTAGTGCAGATTCTACTACAAAAACATAGTCGATCTGCTAATACAATGAACTTCTCTTTTCAACTGCCTCAACCTATTGAATATTACATTATGACATAGTAGATTGACAATGACGTAATATGGACATCATGTAGTTGTCTCTACTGAAGATTGATTGTAGGGTAGATAAGCGACCAAGGAAAATCATAGTAAGGAGGTTGTAACGTCGAACTTTCTTGCCAGTCTAGTATGTTTAAAGATTGTTGACGATTGCTTCCAGAATAACGTTAATTAAATCGTATCGTTATTCCCCAGGGACATGGACACACAGGACGTGGGCAAGTGCAATGAAGACGTGCAATAATGCAATAATCTCAGCCCACCGCAATATGAGTGCTGATGTGAATGCATATTGTAACGTGGTCCCGTGTACAGTTCAACATAATAATGATGTTCTTCATTATCACCAGCCGGTTATTGCTCAAAAATGAAAAAAAGTTCTAAGCCCGGTGGTCCCATATGCTGTATCTATTCTCACTTACGCCACAATCGCTCCTACAGACAGTTGACTGGATGTACATGTACAAGAAGTACAAGTGCATGCACAGTAGGAATGGTACATAGTCATGCATTCACACACTTGACAGGAATCAAAAGCGTCTCTGCTGTAACTCTGAGTTTCACGGTTTTAATTAAGGTGGCAGTCTGGGTTCAGAGGGTCAAAAAACAAAGTTTCGATTTTCTGTATTTTTTCACTGGCAGCGTCTTGTGTATGGTCCAAAGGGTTTATCCTGAAAATTTGAGCGTAATCGGGTGCTTCCTTCCGGAGATATAGCCGCGCAAAGTCTGCACAATTGTTTTTGAAATACTGAAATATCAGCAATTTTCTACAAAATTTAGGTTTGCACACTATTCCGATTTTTACCGTCAATCTTTGAGCGATTTCATTAAAATTTTCTGGAGCGACTCCTGGTACTCCTCTGCGCTGCAGACTGACAGCCGCGCACGATCTTTGTCACCATGGCAACCAAGATAACTTTTGCGCATGCGCAAATTCAAAAAAATTCAAATTTCGACTCTCATGATCTCAGCTGATCGCTCTGCTGTTGAAACTAGTTACTTTTGGAGTAATTGTTTTGGAGTAATTGTTTCTTGGAGCTAACCCCTTCGTTGGCTACTATGGGGAAGTCTAGAGCCAAGGGAAAGCCCGGACGATCTAAGAAAAGGAAAAGAACGTTCTATGGAGTGTCTCAGGCGCCGAAGGCTCCCTCTGGTGAAATTTCGCCTGCAAAACAAATTCCTGACTTGCCACTGTCTGATGACGACCTTGAAGTGTCAGCTGAAGCCACGTCTTCAAACAGCGATAGTGATGGAAGTGGCGGTGAAGTCGACAGCAGTTCCTCCGACAGTGACTTGGATGAAGAGTGTGAGGAAGGGGCGCATGGATTTCGCCTGATTGATCTCGAGTGCCTTCAGCAGCTTTTGTCAGCTGCAGTTTGTTGCAGTGGCTGTAATGGCGCAGTCACGATCAGCGAATCGCAACGGGGAGGCCTTGCATCATGCCTGGAGCTTTCCTGTGTTAACTGCGGCGACATAGCAAGCGAATTTATGTCCAAGAAATTCAATCGGGTCTGGGAGGTGAACAGACGAGCAGTATTCGGAATGCGACTGATTGGCCGTGGACGTCAATCAATGGTAAAGCTGGCGGGTGCACTGAATATGCCATCACCTATGAGTCGGTCGACATTTTACAGCCATGCTAAAGGCCTGCATTCCGCGTCCAAGAGCGTCGCTGAGCGTAGCATGACTGAGGCAGCTGAGAAAGCAGTGTCCGCAGCAGATGGGGGTAGCGATATCGCTGCTTCCTATGACGGTACCTGGATGCGCCGAGGATTCGCATCGCTCTTCGGAGCCTTCACTATAATTGCATATGATGTCGGCAAAGTGGTGGACTGCGAAGTGCTTTCAAAGTTTTGCCACAAGTGCACGCACTTGGCGTCTAGAAAAGAGAAGGGAGAGCTAACCAAAGATGACTATGATCGACAGATTGCCGAACACGATTGCTCAGTCAACACCACTGTATCAGCTCCTGCCATGGAGAGTGCAGCCGCCAAGACTCTGTGGGCCAGGTCCTTTGAGAGCCGCAAGCTGAGGTACACCACCTACATTGGTGATGGAGATACCAAGAGTTTTAAGGCTGTGCGTGACGCTTGTCCGTATGGGCCCGAGGTGCCTGTAGTCAAGGAGGAATGTGTCGGCCACGTTCAAAAACGCATCGGTACCAGCCTAAGAAAGCTGAAGAAAAACCTTGCGGGCAAGAAGCTTGCTGATGGGCGCACTATAGGCGGACGTGGTCGCCTCACGGATGCCATGATCGACAAGCTGCAAGCCTACTATGGCATGGCTGTGCGGAACAACAGCGGAGACTTGCAAGCCATGGCCAGGGCCATATGGGCATCCCTCATGCATCGTGCATCCAGCGACAGTAAACCTCAGCACCAGTATTGTCCGCCTGGAATTAACAGCTGGTGTAGATGGCAGCAGCAACAGGCAGGTGGTGATGTCTACGCCCACCACAATATCCTGCCAGAGGCAGTATGGAAGGAACTGAAGCCGGTCTACATTCGGTTGTCCGACCGGAGTTTGCTCGAGCGCTGCCAGAAGGGTGCTACGCAGAATCGCAACGAAGCGTTCAATGGACTCGTGTGGCAGTTGTGTCCAAAGACAGGCTTTGCATCCGCTCCCACTGTCCAGATGTGCGTCTACCTGGCCGTGGCCTGGTTCAATGATGGAGGTGTGGCAGTGAAACGCGTTCTGGACGAGATGGGCCTCCCTACTGGACACCATACGACACGTCTCATCAAGCTGCTAGACCGTGAGAGACAGGCACATGCTGCCAGAAAGAAGTCAGAAGAAGGGAAGAGGTCACGAAAGAAGCGAAGGAGGATCAGGAAAGGCATCCAGGATGAGCAGCAAGAGGAAGAAGGTTTGACATATGAAGCTGGTGGCTTCGACTAAGTTCTAGTAAGTTCTAGTTGGACAGACATACCTCCATCTGTACTTGCACAGAGCACTTTTTTTCTCCATTTTCCACTGAGTCCCGTACCTCTTAGACAGCGTAGCGAAGAACCTGTAAGTCACAGACCCCATAAACCATACATTTTTGGAAACTGTGAGCATTTATCAAGGTGCTAAGTGTCATGGATTTTTATATTTGTCTAGTAGCTTTGAGTAAAGTGCTACTGATCGAGGACCTAAATTTTGCGCGATTGCATGATTTTTGTTTGACAGCTTGAGTACTTTGTTCTGAATATGATTTCAAAATTCCGCTCCACTTAGCACCTAGGTATATGTGAAGGAAATCCTGTGGAGCACTCAGTTTCTACCCAGCTTCTTTCTGCGTTTGCATATTGCGTCTAAGGTATTGGTGGTACGGCATAATCGCAGATTTGACTATTGTGTCTGCGGATTCCCATGTGTGAGCTTGATTTATACTTCATTGGACTTAGTGAAATACACTGGGTATGTGGTCAAGATTTGAGCAAAATTCATCAATTATTATGGAAGTTACGGCTGTGTTCATGCGGTCGGGCCGCGAACCCAGACTGCCACCTTAAGGGGGGACGGGAGGTTCAGAGGGTCAAAAAATGAATTTCTGAGTTTTGAACTTTTTGCTATGGAATCTTGTCTTAGGATATTTGAAGCGCCAGAATTTCAAATTTGAGCGTAATCGGTTTAGTAGAAGTGGAGTTATGAGCTAAAGTATGTCGAGATAAATTTCAAATGTACATACACTCGAACGTCTCTTATCCGGGCACCTTGGGACCGGGCA